GTACGAGAGAGAATGCTTTTATACCATGGCGTTGGAAAAATCAGTTTAACTTCGAGAAAAAAATACGAAAACAAAAAACGGGACAAGAGAACAAAGGGAGTGTCAAAGGTAAATAAATGTTTAACGACGAGGAACAAACAATGACTAAGAGTTAATAAACCTACCATCCTTTCGTATTGAAAAAGGATTGAGCGAAATTACATAACGGGACGAAGAATGCGTGTTAAATTTCGGTATAATTTTGATCACGTATGTGTTTCACCGACTAAAATCAACACAGGTAGACAGGAACACACGTTTCTTCTTGTTTAAAAATTACTTCGAAACACAAGAGTAGCGCGTGCAAGCTTAACTTTTTATCACACGCTATTAAGCAAAAAATATTAACGGATCACAATTGAACAAACATATCACTTTTCTGTGTAAATGATTTTATAAATTTCATGAAAAGCCAATAAAGACTGTAAAGCTGTAGACTTCAGCATTTTTGTTTGTATTAGTCGAAAACGACAACAGAAAAATACATTAAGAAAATTCCTAACATAAAATAAATATGCACTGAAGCTGCAAGCCGATGTACTATTTATAAAGAATAAATCAATTTATTATACCTTACTGTACAATCAAAAGTATCGAAATATTCCTACTACTTGTTTAATTATCAATGAGAAATAATTATTGTAGTCATTATAAGTATTTTTACAACATTCTAAAAGTAAAATTGTGGTTGTGTCTATATTTTATAATATAATAAAACAAAATTTGGCACTAGGATGCAAAGAAATTCCCAGTAGTAACTCTTTTAGTAGGATATAGGTGCTACATATCGCTGCCCGACAGGTCGCGAGGCTACTGCCGTTTAATCTCCATGGGGGATTATTGGGGATGATGATGATAATGGATACTGGGAAAGCCTTCTGGCTTACTGTACTTCCTTAGTTCCTCACAGTTCAGTGCAAAGGACTCGATCTTTCTCCTAAGAAGTATTAGGTGATTCTTGCAATTCCATTCCCTGGGTTTAGTTATCCTGGTTATGTCTCCATTGAGTGGTTGCTTTGCTTTGAAAGATAACATGGGTGGCTGTTTCTTCCACATCATTGCATAATCACAGATAGGCGGGCTAGGTATTGAATATGTTCATGTTGTATAATGTTTTTTCAGATGCCAGTGACCGGTTATTAGTATTGTTTTAGCATACATTTACTGTGTTTAGCTCCCCTAGAGTCTATCCACTTCTCCTTTTATCTTTTTATTCAGTGATGGAGGTTCTGCATTTGTTTTTGTTGTCCCAAGAATAGGTTCAGGGTCTTGCAGATCCTCCTCTAGTCAGGGTGCCTGTCCTCTCGTTACCCAAAATTCCCTTGTGTTCTGACACGCAAGGTATCAGGTTATTGTTTACTGTTATTGCTTATAATTGTTACTATAGGTAGTATAGTAAATAAATTGACAAGGAGATAGCAGTTACACTTTTTATGGATATAGAGAAACGCTATACAGATCAATTAAAAACAGGGGAGTCTCGGATAACAAATGTCAATGGTAGAAGAAGGCGTAAGGAACAGGATAATCACATCCAACTTGGGAGGTGAAACCATCCAGGCTAAGACAGCCAGGGGATGATCACAAAGGGGTGTTCTCTCACCTCTACTGTGGACGACGCTGACGAACTCCTACAAATGCTGGAATAAGAAGGATTCTACTGTCTAGGCTATGCGGACGACCTAAGTAAAGGATTAAAGTAGTAAAGGGCTGCCATGCAGACATCGTGATGGATCGTATACCTCAATCTGGTTGACAGAATGATGCAAAAGGGAGGAGCTATCTATTAACCCTCACAAAACCATAATGACTCCATTCACAAGGAAGAGGACAATAGGAAACCTAAAAATTCCACGTCTAAGCCCCGATCCCATTTTCCAAGGAACCAAATATCTAGAGATGACACTAGACCAACGGCTCACATGGTATCCACATTTGACTAAAACCACCCAGAGAGCCCAAATTGCTCGGGTAAGGTGCAGACGGCTGTGCGCTGAGGTTTTAACCCCAAAATGACCCTATGGCTGTATACCTGCGTCTAAAGACCAATTTAATTGAAATTGAATTAATTGAAAGATATTAATCGGTCAAGCGGACCACGAAAACTAGTGAACTTAAGACCAAAATTGTCATATGGGTCATGGGAGAGTCTGCAGGCCAAAACAATCAGGCTATTGAGTGGCAACCAAAGACAAGCTTGTTTCTGTGTCACTGGAGCCATGAGCACAACGCCAACTGCGGCCCTGGAAGAGTTGTTAAAGTGTGGTCCCACCACTTCATATTTTGATCCAATAAGAGGCCAGAGCAGCAGCCCACAGGCTCATAAATGGGCAACCATATACAAGGATAGGGCATGTAAATAAACATTAGAAATTGAGGGAGGAGACACAGGCTGATGCCACATTAGGCATACCAGAACGGGAAGAATGGGCCAAAGGAACACCGCTAAAGGCAAACTCCTACTGGCACAGTGACGGCTCCAAAATCGACTAAGGAACGCAGGCTGGAGTCTTCGGTATGAATCCAAAGACCGAACTGACGGTAGACATAGATAAATATGCTACATTTTTCCAGTCTGAAATCATAACGATTGAACACTGCGCCAGAGAAATTAAAAGGCTGGGAATACATCTTACATGATAGCCATCTTCTCTAACAATCAGGCAGCACTAAAGGTCCTAGCCCCATACGAAGTGAAGACAAAGAGCGACTGGAACTGCATGAAGGCCCTGACTGAATCCTGACCCTAGCATGGGTCTTGGACATTCGAGCCCCGAGGCAACGAAAAGTTGGCATGTTGGCCAAAGAGGGAGCCATCATGTGCTCTCTGGGTCCTGCACCCTACTGTGGCTTAGCATCTTGCCCTAAAAGAGGATAAATCTTAAAATGGATCCTTGATGAGTCCAAAAACTGGTGAAACAATGCCACAGATTCATCGGACCATCCGCATAACTTACAAAGCAATTACTGGAAGGCAACCGAACCAGGAATCTGGTTGGACTCCTCACAGGACACTGCCACTTAAGAAAGCACATGCACCGGATAGGAGTGCAGACAGAAGAAACACTGTAGAGCTACTGCCAGGAAGAAGAGAGGACCGCAGAACATATTTTATGCCTATGTAGGTGCAGGTTCTTGCAAATAGGACAGGAAATACCGCAAGCAAGATCCTACACTAAGGAGCCGCTGGCAAAGCTATGGAGGTTGATTAACAACCTGAAGCTGGCCAGTGAGATAAACAACAGGGAAGCATAATAGATCTATTCAGGTCAAGGTGCTGAAGGCATTGTGGCCGCCTCTTTTATCCCTATCCCTATCCCCTAGAACATTAGAAGATACGATGGATGTGAAAAGTATTGTTTATCATATCCTTCCAATCCTCGGTTTCCTCAGATCTATTCACTTCATGCGTTAGCTTGTTGAAATGGATTTGTAAACCGTGCCTTCTCAAACAGACTGATAAGATAACATTTGTTTACCATTTTAAAAATCGACTCACGTGAGTTCACCGGGGAGAATAACTCCCATGTCCTCTATTTAAGAAAAGAAATCAAAACCTTTTTATACGTATAAAAAAAATATGTTAAAAATTTCTTTTACCCACAGCCTTAGGAACGAGGCCCCTTTACTGAAAAACGGAAGAATTGCGAGGGGAAAGGATCTGGAGCCATCGTTATCCCGATTTTGCGTATTGGATTTCGCACGGAAAATGTCTCAGAATGGAATTCATCTGATTAATTTTTCCGAGATGCCTTTGTTCCAGAAGCCAGAGGAAAGTATCGACGCAACAATGTAGCTCACAACAAAGGAAGAAGCTTTTCATAGTTCGTTTCCCTATTTGAATCGCTTCTTGAAATATGTGATTATGCAAAATCCATTGTTTGCTGCATTATGGGAATAAACAATTTATTTTGCAAATAAATTTCTAAACCTTAGCAACACACCGTTTTTAAAATTGCAAACCTAATATAAAAGTTGATCACACTAACGTCCTAATTCCAGAATCCTCGAGTCTAATTCGAAATGCATATTCCTGATGTAAAGGCAGTATTTACAAAAAAATAAATTCAATATTCCAAACATGATCAATTTGATCTAACACTGAAATAATAAATATGGCGGTTCGGACAAAAAATTCATTCAAATATGCTTAAAACTTGCCATGTCATAGATTCGATATAGAATTTTCGACTAACACAGTTCATAATTTTATGTAGTTACCGATGGACTTCGTTTTGTGAGACGCGTTTCGGCATTTGGCCATCTTCAATGATTTATTTATCGATTTCTCGTGTTTATGTCATATTTGTAGAACTCCATAAGCTGAATGTAAATCATTTATGTTGTAAATCATTTACAACATGTAAAATATATTTTTATTACTTCTATTGAAAAAAAGATTAAAAAAGGTCCCAATGTTGGGACTGAGTCGGTCTTCAAATAAACTTGAAATCGTATGAAAAAATATTAATTATGTCAATCTGTGAGCATAGTTAAGATTGTTTTGCCCTGTTGATGACCTTAAAATAGATAGAAAGCATGGCAGTAACAACTGGATTTGCTTTTTCATCAAGACCACACCAAGATCTAGAGTATTAGTATTTATAAGTTATCATAAATGAACCAAATTGTTACTAAATGTATGCTGAATGTCAATAGTAATTTTTTTTTCACAATGATAGAACAGCCCTGGGAAAATCCGTTATGTAAAACCCGTACAACTCTGGACAATTATGTTCTTGTATAATTAATAAGTTCTTGTTAGGTTATTATTAAGTTCTTGTATAATATTCTTTTACATTTCACATGTTGATTTGGATTATTAAGATTAAATCAAATTATACCATAATTTGACAACGGTTAATTTTACATTTGTAATGCAAAGATTCTTCCTTTTCAACCGGGATTTGCCCAGGGAGTTCAATTTTATTATTGAATGGCCAATAAAAATAAATCATCACCCTTTCGTTGACAGGAGGCGTCTCATCCTTTCCACGTTTGAGCGAAGGTGCTGTTATGATTTTCCTAGTCGGCCCGTTCAGGTGAATTCCGCTCTGCAGGTCCATCTTCTTCACGAGCACTTCAGAAACAACTTAGTGAAACCACTGAGATTTTGCAAAAACACACAGACATTATTCCGATTACGATTCGGATTCTTTGAATAACCGTTATTTTTCAACAACACTTTATCACAGTCATATTTCGGCCCTTTTCTTCAAATTTCTGAAAACAAAAAGATATTATTTTATTAACAAAATTTTAAACACAGCAAGAGATAGTTAATAAAAACTATAATAGTTTAAAGGTTAAAGTATGTACTTTGAAAACATTTGTCTGTTTTGTTGCTTGTTTTTGTACTTTTAATCAAACGATCAGAATAAGACGCATAAACTTTCATTCGTCTTGTCTCGCATGCCATGGAATTTAATTGATTTAATATGTAAAATATAGAGTAAAATGGTTTTGACTCCAACTGGGTAGTTGCACGTTAAGTCCTCCTGTGACTGGAATTACTTTTACTTTTACTTTAAATTTCTTAGAATCTGGTAGTATCCTATCTATCAATATAGAATGCCTATCCTCGTAGTAATTGTCCCTCAGACACATTTTTATCCAGCTTGGGTAGGGTATATGTGTGCTTTTTCGTGTCTATGTCTTAACTCGAATACGTAAAATGTTGAGAGATAAAAACCGCTAGAATAGGCAGACCAGATCTCAAGAAGAAATCTAGAACAAATCTCTACATACTTTTACGAACAATCTGGGTTTACATATCCTCGCCGCCTGTCTAAGAGTGACTAGGCTCAATAAGTAGGTTGAAAATCCATTCACATTAGATCTGGAACGATAGAACTGGGGACTAATATTTGAAAAACCGTAAATCAACCAACAATGTTTAACAACTGTGAATAAAACAAGAATAATTACTGTAAAATATATCTTTGATAATCATGATTTAAGATCAAATTGGATTAAAAACCTGAGGCAATGGTTCAACCAAAGCATTGGACCCTCTTCAGAGCTGCTGTTGACAGACTGGCTAACGTCCGTTAACGGATAGAATACTTAAAGAAAAAGAAGATCAAATTCTGATAAACAAAACTGTACAGCCAATGCGGTATAGCATTTCTCATACCTAAAGAGATCCACGAAGAGGCACCAACGAAAGTGGTCAGTTTTATAAGGAATAGCGCACTTTTGAAGGTATGGCTATAAGCTATAGCGCTATTCCACAATAACAGTAGGTCTGTTTAGGTCGCAGTGGAGGAAAGAATTGTATTCTGCATCACCCCTCCCCCAAAACCCATTTAAAAAAATCCGAACATCCGTACATCAAACATTCCAGTAACCGAACTGTACAAGAAGTCAAAATTACAAATGAGTTGAAAGAGGGAGAGTCTATGAGTGAAAAACTGAAAAGAGAGAGTGAATGAGTCAATGAGCGAGTGTGTAAATGAGAAAAAAAGTAAGTGAATGCGTAAATGAATGAAAATGAGAGAGTGAGTGAGCGATGGAAATTATGAATAAATAAGAGAGAAAGTGAGTGAATGAATGAGACAGAGATAGATAGATTGAGTGAGAGTGAGAGGGAGAGTACACGAAAAACCAAGACTAGCTCTGACTATACGAATTTTTGAGAATTTCTTTTGTTCAGTGAATAACTCAACTCCCCTCAAAAAACTAAATGTTAGATCTGTCTACATTTTTCTTATGTTAAGAACTACTATTTAAAAATGAAAAAAAAAGAGGATGAAGCAATGAAGAAAAATGTAAATATATTTACAGTAGTATATGCAAATTCTAATAGGTTTAATGTTTTGTATATGCAATACGCAATAATAATAAAGCGTGGTGTTGATTTTTTTTTGTACATATGCATGTATTTTTTAACACTCCCTGTAATCCGAATACCCCCTGCAATAATAAGTTCGGATTACTGAGAGAGCAACAATGTATTGGCTTGTCGGTAACAATAACAACTCATTGTCTTACAGACTGTGGCTTCTTAAGTTTCTCTTCAATCTTAGTTATGTAGTCTTTAACCTTGTACACCTCTTTAATAAGAATTTCAGTGCATAATTATAAGGATAATTTTATAAGAAGAGTTAAATGTTTATGCCATTATTGAGGATTTCTTGTGGTCGTTAAATTAAAATATTTCCATTTCTTTCAGACGAAAGCGTTCTAATCATCGTATTATGCAATCCACCTTGTTCTTGATTCGAGACAAAAACTTCGCCTTAAATATAATAAAATGAAATAAAGGATTTTTCATTTTTTGAGGAATCTGAACGATCGGACTCTAGTTTCTGAAGTTCTCAGGGAAAACTCGAGCTTATACATAGTTAATAAAATGTATTGAGGGTTCTGATGTTTATTCAAGGGTCGATTTCTTTTTCTTAGGCTTTTTACTCAAATTGAACCTGTTGTCTTGAACTTAGTTCCCTTTTGTTTAGAAGTGTTTTACACTGTGCTACAAGGTTATCTTAGTATAATTTTTCTACTTGAAGCTAATTCAAGCCCGTCTAATTGTTTATATTGGGACTTTTAGTAATGATGATGGGGTCGTTCATCGTCTTTACAGGAAAAAAGATTTATTTTAATCCACCTGCCTTTGAATTTCCCACTGGGTTTTGTCCCCGGCAATCCGCCTGTAAACATAATATCCAGCATAACGGTAACTAGCACTCGAGAGAGGGAAGGCTATCGCGGAAAAGCGGTTGTACAAACGGGAAAAAATCACGTTTCTGAAAGCAAAAGTCGACGATTTTACCATTTTCCCCGGCTAATTAACGTTAAAATATTGTATAAAATCGTAAAATTTCATAAGAAAATGTTATATTTAGATATCATGTTTTTTCCTCGCTTCTATTTAAAATGTGGTGTGCAACCACTACCCTATATTCTTGTATTATGCAAATAAATATATTATTTTCTATTTACATAATAATAGATCAATTAAACATTACATGTTTTAAACTATCCTGCAATTGTTTATAAATTATTAACCTTTTTAACAACTACATTAAATACATTGTACAGACATCCATCAGCTACAGGAAAAAGTCATTACGTCACCAAATACTATAAATTCAAACAACCACAAGACCGTTAATTAAATTTACTTACTTTTAATTTTGATTACAGATACTTTGTGATGTGCTAGTGATTACCAAACCCATTTCTCTCCTGATAATTAATTGTAAATCGTAAAATGTAAAAAAAAGGACCGTTTGTAAATGGTTACGAAGCCACGTAACCTTCCTCACTTCAAAATAAAATTTTAAACCCTGTATATGTATTAGGTAAATAAAATATATTCGAAATGAGGGGATCGATTACATTTTTGCTTTCAACTATCTGGCAGTTATTTATAAATTATTAATTTTTAATTTTAATTATACATACTTTGCGTTATGAGCCAGTGAATAACAAACGTGTTTCCCTCCTGATAATTATAAATCGTAAAACGAACAAAAAAAATCGTTGTAAAAGGATGCAAAGTCTTTTACCATTCTCAGTTCAAAATAAAATTGTAAGGCTTGCTTAACCACCCCTATAATATGTATATGTACTATGTAAATAAAATTTAGTCGAAATGAGGGGATCGATTACATATTTCTCCTCAATTATCCGGCAATTATTTTTTTTTTAATTATTGCTTGTCGGAAAATGAAAGTTATGTTATGACGTCACTAAACAATAGAATTCAAAAATCAACATCAAACGGACTTCAATGTTTTTTTTAAATGATGTATTTATTTTAATTATACATACGTTCTTGCATTGTGCAAATCAGTAAACGCATTTCCCTCCTGCTAATCGGCATTAAAATATTTTTTAAAATGTAAAATTTGACAGGAAAAACGACCGTTTATCTACGGTTAGGGGGCCACGTTAGCTTTCTCACTTCAAAATAAAATTTGAGGTGTACAACCAATAAAATATATAATATTCTTGTCGAAATCGATTATATTTTGGTTTTAAGCTTTCCGGCATTTATTTATAGACTGTTAACGTTGTTTTAATTATTTACTCTGCGGAAAATGACAGTTGGACATCGATCAGCTGTAAAAACTCATGACGTCACTTAATAATATATTACAAAATAACTGAAAAATGAACACACTTTGGGTTTAATTTAATTAATAAATCAATTTTTAATTTTTTAATACACTTTGTTTTTATGTGCAAGTTACTGACACAATTTTAAGAGATTTTTCTGTAATTCTATTAACTTTAGAAAATTAAGAAATATAACAGAGAAATTCAGTGGTTAGCTCGTTAATTATAAAAACAGGACATTTATGCGCATATTTAATTTTTGCATAGATTTAGTACTAGGTTTTTAAAGGATTAACACCTCGGGATGTATTTCGGACATGATTTAGTGTTTCTAACTGTGTAAGACGGGAATATAAACGGACCGAACACCTCAGCGACCGCAGGTGAATGTTTTATTACATTTTAACATTAATAAACAGGCGGTAGTGGAGAAGATGGGTTTAAAAATTAAAAGAGGCTTTGCTTGGGACATACGATCGACGGCTTATGGAGCATAATTGAGATAACGGATCGGCGGACACGGAATAAACAAACAAGGGAAAGACTCGTGTCGCAGCTCGGCCAGGTGAACGGCGGCGGGCGGCGGACGGAAGGACGAAAAATGAGGAAAAAGAGTTGGTCGGACTCACCCGGGTCCTGGCGATGGCTCTGGCTGGCGATGTTGGCCGACGAGCCCGGGCTCATTTCTCGGCTTTTGGCTATGAAACGCAATGAAAGCGGTCAGCGAGCGGTCGACGCGGTCTTCGGAAGCGAACTGATTTCCGCACACGGCCGACGACGTGACCGACCCCCGATAGGTTATGGCGGTTCGACGAACGGCCGGCAGATGGCGCTGCTAGCTGCTAACTTGGAAACACCTTGAACTTTTGGGAAAAAATTTACACAAATCAGTTTTTTTTAAATATATAATTAAAATCACCCACAAAACTCAATTTAATACAAAACAAATTTAAGAACAAATAATGTCAATTGAAATGAATTTTAAAAAAATGATAGTCAAATGCGATTCACAATATAGGAAACATCTTGACCTTTTGGGAAAAAATTTACACAAATCAGTTTTTTTTTTAAATATATAATTAAAATCACCCACAAAAACTCAATTTAATAAAAAAAATTATTAGACTTAAGAACAAATAATGGCAATTGAAATGAATTTTAAAAAAATGATATAGTCAAATGTGATTGACAATGTAGTAAACTTCTTAAACTTTTGGGAAAAAATATGTACACAAATCATTTTTTTTTAATATATAATTAAATGAAAAAATAAATGGTAATTAAAATGAGATTAAAATTAAATGATATCAAGTGTAATTCACAATATTGGAAACATCTTCAACTTTTGGGGAAAAATGTACACAATTTTTTTTTTCAATATATATAATTAAAATCACCCACAAAATCTCAATTCAATATGAAAAATAATAGATATACAATAATACAAATAATGGCAATTGAAATGAAATAAAAAATTAAATGACATACTCAAGTGTGATACACAAAGTTGGAAACATCTTGAACTTTTGAAAAAAAATTAACACAAATCACACACAATCTCAGTTTAATATAAAAAATAATATGCTTCATAAGAAATAATCGTTATTGAAATGAAATCACAAAGAAAAGTTAACTGATATATTCAAATGTAATTCGTAAACACTGAGGGGTGATGAACCTGTAATTTAGTCGATATTGGTCATACTTATTATCATTTAGTTATTTATTATTTAGTTTATTAGCATTTCACCATCCTCAGTGTTGGCTCTGTACGTGCATTTTTGTAAAGTCAAGTCTGTTTATAAGGTTGCAACGAGTGGGTTGCATTGTGATTGGCAATAGGGTGTGGAAGGGGTGGAATAAGTCACAAAATTAAGGAACCTTTATAGTTTAAAATAAAAGTCATTTTGAAATTAAATTAATCTTTAAATTCACAGTGGTTTGTTTTATGTTAAATCTTTTAACTTGTTTTTGTTGTTTAGTGAAATGTGAAATGCAACATGGAAATGGAAATAAAGTTATTTATTTCCGCTATATGAATCAATTTCAGACTTCAGGCCCAAGGAAAAATGGCATAGATAAAAACATCCACATCTGAATAATTGGAAATTGATATAAAACCTTAAATTTTAGAATAGAGAAAATTTTAAGCACAAAAAATTAAAGGCCATTCATATATACCAGCATGTAACATGGCAGACACGGTATAAACATGACAGCTCAATACGAGCATCAACAAATAAATTGGGAGTAGAATGAAAATGTACCTACCTACTTTTTTTAAACTAAACATGTTAAAAATAAAAAACTTTTCGGTTGAGCAAAGCAACATCGAGGAAAGAAGTTGGATTGTGTGGAAGTAGGACAAAAAAGTGTAATAAGATATGATGTGCATACAATAAATTTAAAAATAAAAAAATAAAAATAACAATACACGCTCTAAAAAGACCTAGTAGACAATGAAGACAGATTTCATATCCTCGAACCAGTTCAATTAATTTTTCGATGTTCATCCCTTCACCAATGCCATAGACATGCACCAGCTCAGATAAAATAATTACTATGCATGAATTCATGCACAGACATGTGCCAGCACAACTAAAATATTCTTTACAACAATACTGGCCATTGCTGGCGAATGTCTGTACATGCACATTCCTCTCAATTCCTGCAGAAGTCTCTAGAACAGGGGTGCTCAAACGGTCGATCGCGATCGACCAGTCGATCGCGAGTGCTTTTTGAGTAGATNGTAAGTAGTCTAAAAATATTGAGGTAGATCGCCAGCAGTTCAAGTTTGAGCACCCCTGCTCTAGAAGAATTAAATGACACATGCAGTGAAATTAATCAAATTAATTCAGACAAACTGCAAAAAGAAGCTTGAATATTACATTATTTTTAATTACATTACATTATTATTACATTATTTTTAAATGTTCAATAAATTTTGGGAACAATCAATTTATTTGTTATTTGACTTTGACACAAGCTTTGACTGAATACTTCTTGTTTCATCATATATATAATTAAATTGATCACGGAGTTTTTTCATTTTCATTTTACACAGCTCACAGTCTTCACAGCCTCGAGAATGCAACTGAGAAAACATTGCGAATTTTTTTACGAACTGTGATTTCATTTCATTAGTACTTGGTTGAGAAATAATAGTGTATGACTTGCTCTTCTCTGAGTAACTGGGCACATTTGTTATTTTGTTTAGGTTTTTATTTTGATTAAGTATGTTGTTCTCTACTTGAATGGTGTTTTTAATGGATTTTTTGAACAAGGTAAGTTTGGACAAACTCGACTCTGGATATGAGCCATGAAGAAGATGAGGGTACTTTGGAGTATAGACTTTTGAGAGTTTGTCCATCTTTGTTTTAGCAAAATCATCTATTTGTTTACAAAGTTTAAGGTGGTCAACTGTAAAAATGGGAGGTGGTATGTTAGTAATTGTGGATAATTGAGTTTTATGATTTGGTGTTGATGACTCCTTACCACCAGCATTTTTTTCTGTTAGTTCCTTCCTTTTTGCAAATTCTTTTTGACTAGCTTTTATACTTGTAAGTAATCCGAGCAATGATGGGTTAGTTTGTACACAATGTAAAGATTTCTTCTTTTCTTGTTTTATGCATTTCTTATCTTTATCAACATCAGAAGTTTCTTCTATTTCTTTGCAATTCATTTCCACATTGTCTTTTATTAAATTGAATTTTTTTTCTGGTTTCGCATTCCCTATAGAACAAAAGAAATCATAAAGTTTTGAGAAGTAATTTACTTGGTTTGAGGAGATGACTGGTTTCTCTTTTCTTCCAAAATTCAAAAGGTTTTTTTTCTTTGAGAGAATATATGAAGTAGGCTCCATTTTGGTTTGATATAGCTTTGGCTTTTTAGGAGGTTGAAGCCTCATTGAGAAAATCAATTCTAGCAAATTTTTCTTCTCCACCGAACACTCAGTTTTGTGTTCAGTGAATTGAAATTTGTCTTTCCAATTGGGGACAGGTCTCTTTTTAAACTCTTTCAAATCAAAAAATTCTTTTTTCTCGCCATAATTTTCTGGCCAATTATCACCATTAAATTCAGATTTAGCAGTATCATTTTTTTGCATTGTTTTACATTCTTTGCAGATATTGTTTCTGTTTTGTTGGCATAAAATTTCTATTTCCGCACGCAGTTTGATGTCCTCTCCTTTTTTTTCACAACTTTCACCTTTGATGTCATCTTTTTTCTTTGAGAGTATGAGACTATTTTTAGAGTGCTTACGAATTTCCTCTCTTTCCTTCTCATCTCTCAATGTTTTAGCTTTGGCTTTTATCCTCTCTTCGATAATACTATTCGCCACACTCTCATTATTGTTGCTGTTCTTTAAAGATGGCAAATTACTTGACAAATTATCACTCTTTTTACTTTCCGTGTCAACACAATTTACAATGGAATCAAATGTGTTAAAGTTTTTGTCTTTTTCCTTACCCACGATTGGGGCAAATGGGGTTGATGCTTTTTGAACCTCTTTTATAGTAGAAGGAGATGATAGATGAACCTTTCGAGGAGTTGAAGGGGGAACAGGTAGAATTAATGGAGTACAGCCTTTATTACAAATTGCACAGTTTTCATTTTCTACAAATGGCATTGCTACAGGGGTTTCAGACGGTTTAAACTCAGGATTCAAGTCCACAGTCTGTTTGTTTGTCATTAGCAAATACTCTGGCTTCTTAGAAACATCCTCGTTGTTTCCGTTGCTGCATAGTTTCTTTATTAAAGTGCCGACAAGACTTTTTGCATCACAAATCGTATCATCAGGGAAATATTTGGTGTCCAAATATTTGAGTCCATTCTCTACATCCCTGTTAATGCATTTTGCAGCGTGCTCGACCAGCAGTGTCTCACTCTGGGTCAGCACCGGGAGATTGAATCTATACTTTATACCCTGTGGGCCTAGAATGACAGGAAGGGCGAAGTAAGAAGTTTCAGGCACTAAAATCGTTTTGGCCAAAAGTATTTCTGCAATATTTGGCTCTCCTCTCAAACCAGCTAATACCGAGTGGACGAATCTTACTGTTGCATATGCCTTATTCACAGATTCAGCTTGCCCTCTCGTCCTGTGAATCAGTGTCTCAGAATTTTTGATATCCCATGTCATTGAAAGCCAATTTTTCTAAAACAAATAAATATATCTTTTGTAATTGATTAATAATTATAAGATCATAGAGCTATGGTTTCATTAATTTAGACATCCTTACAAATAATTTATTAAACATTAGAATATATTTTTTTAATGAAATATCTAGCTTAATCACAATTGTAATTTCAGTTCATTTTGACAAAATATCCTTCATAAATACATATTTATGATACATCTCATTTGTGTTAATTTTTTTCTATAATTTTATTATTATAACTTCATGAATAATGCAATACATTATTACAAATTACAAAATGGCAAAAAAATAGAATACCTTCGTGAGGTTTAGAGTAGGCCTCGCCTGTGAAAATACTGGGACTCTCGTGTCTGGCGAGGAGCCACCAATGACAGGGAGGATGACTTTTCTCGGATCCATGTTGAGAAAGTTAGCTGCAAGTTTGTTTGCTCTGACATTATCAACCGCTGTCACGCCCAGGACTTTGTTGCAATCATAGACACCCAAATTAATCAAATACTCACTCACAAGAGGCAAAAGACAATTGACAGGGGATATAGCGACAAGGACTACGGCCTGTGGAAAATGCTTATTAATTCAAAGCAATTCTTGCTTTACATGTTGAAACTTACTTGAGGCGCATTTTCAGCAATCGCACAGGCATATTCATGCAACTTGCTACTCTCCTTGTGCAAGTTTCTTTTGTGATGGGGAACAAGTGATGTGATATCTTCCTGGTCCCCGATCAAAACCACATCGGAATTCTGAAATTTGCAATGTTTGATTGATTAAAAAAATGTTTAATTGATAACCTTACGGATTTACCTTGACAGCACATTGTAACTGATCTTGACCAATGTAAGCCCTTATTTTACACTGAGTGTTAATATTTGAGATATCACAAGGGAAGCCTACATCATCTTCATCGTACAAAGCGAGTCTGTTGATATGAGGTGATTGCTTTAGTAAAAATGAAGACAGTTTTGCAAATAAGCTGTTTAATCCAAGAATTGTTAACTGAAATAAGAAAATAAATAATAATTGTACATGGACTGAGAGTAAATATTTAAATTGTGTTATGATTCTTATTCATGCGAATATTATCAGAAATTTAAATTTTAAATCAATAGTTATGCATATTATTAACCTAAAACACAATTCAATAAATAACAAATTAAGTTTATTCAGTTTTAGTTTTCTTTATTTCTTATTTTTTACATCACTACAGTTCGATTCAATTTTTATCAATTTTGTATGTTGCATGGCACTTTAACTTTTTCTTACCAACTTTTAATTAATTAATTTTGTGTTTTGTTCTTGTTGAAATTTTAATTTTTAAGACTATTAATTTTTAAGACTATAGTATGAAACTTACCTTCTTCCGATTTACACAGCATTGAGCTTTTCCCATGTTGTGTATGAGTACGACTCTGCATGCATATATTTATTGTAAGTGTTGGTAAACTATTACATTTTTGTATATATTAAAAATTTGGGATTTTAATGTAATGTAACTAAAAAATAAGAATATGAAAAGTGTTGTTTCCAAGGTGATAAGGAATAAAAGTCAGCAAATTATTGTAAAAAAAATTTATTATATACATATGATTTAAACAATTGCTAAATCATATAATGTGCATCTTGAATTAGGTCAGTTCACTTTATTACAAGAAAATAAAGGTTCAATGGTTCTGAGAAATGCTTTTTCAAATTCGGCAGTACTAAATCTATCAACAGAAGACCTACAAATACAAATAAAAGTTTTTACACAAATTTAAAATTAATTAGTAATTTCAAATATGAATAAATGCTTACCGAGCAGCTTCCCTTATCTTTTTCCGGGTTGCTGGAGATAATTTAATAATTGCAGCAATCGCTTCAGCATATTCTCGTTCATCATATGCTAAGAACCCATTCCTGCTTCCTTCCGCTTCTTCGATTATATCAGCTTTGGGTCCACCAGAGCGATGTGCGACCATAATGTGGCCTGCAGCCATGCACTCAACAACACCTGAGGGTTATCAAAATTATTAACTTTGAAAAAAAAATTCAAATATTTTTTACCAATTCCAAAATGTTCATTCCACATGGCATGAAGACCAATCATGCTGGAAGCAAGTTCTTGTTTTAACTCTTCATATGTAACATTGACTTTAAATTCAACATTATTTTCAAGTGACAAATGCTTGCAGAGATCCATCATGTCCTTTACTCTAATATGGTCTTCACTGTCTCGACACGATCCGATGAACACTAATTTAATCTGTAACATCAAATAATAATTATATATATCAAATGCAATTTTACATCAAATAAAAATTTACTCTGTCCCAAGTTTCCTCGCTCACAATCTGCCTCAGCTCGTACAATGCTTTTAATTGAAGGGGATGGTCTTTTTCTGGTCTATACTGGCCAACGGACACAATTTTAATCTCCTTGCTTTCCCCTATGAATTTAAACAGTTATGAATTCCGCCGAGCAAAAATTAATTGTGACATACCTATGTCTTTAGCTAAAGGCATGGCTTGGAGTGATTTAGTGTCGCAAGGAGGATAAACCCTGTGGGTAGGGTTCTTTCCATCCCTGCAGCCCGACCAAATATAGGTGATCTGGTCCTCAGTCCATGACGAATTGACCATAATTGAGTCTGAATACCCTCCACAAATACTATAAACCTGAAAAAAATTGTATAGCTTCAAATAAGGAATAAATCTTTTGACGATAAACTTACCATAGCAAAGAGTCTGTAGTAAACGAGTTTTGCGAAGGAAAGAATCGGACTTCTTGCGACATGGGCACGGTTTGTAATTGTTACGTCTCGTGAAATCACTCTCTTGAGCATGTCTTTTGATATGGTAGGGTAATGTACATAGCAAGCCGTAGTGCAACCACCAATTAATTTGAACAATGGAAGTGTAAAGGAAAAGCCCATGCTGTCAATATACACATCTAAAATCATAGTAAAATTGTAAATAAATAATATGTTTAACGTAAATCTAATTACTATATTTTCAAAGTTCTAATCAAACAAAATAAAAGATATTTTGCATCATTATTATACAAGTTTAAAATAATAGATAAGCACTGATTACATTTTTAAATTATTCTAAGTAATTTAGTATTTTCTGTCTATTTTGGTCTTCCAATTCTTGTTTTAGTCTGTAAGACATATATTACTTTTACATCAACAGCAGTGAGGTCATTCAATGATCATTCTTTTACACATTTCCTTTTTTTATTTTTTTTAATGTATTTTCAAGGTCTTTTGTTCAAAACTTTTCTAATTTTTATTATTATTATAATAAGTCTATAGGGGATTGCGGTGGCCAGATGAGGTTTGAGGTGAGGGTGAGTATGGAGTTCACTTTTTGGAAAAGATAATTCTGCTCAGAGAAGTTTTAGCCAACTTTATTTATAGAAGTATATTTAATTCTTGAAATCCGGATCGCTACCTAAAATTTATGCAAGTAGAACTGTCTTTTCTAAAACGGTTTTATGCAAAGTTTAGAAACAAAACTCATCAGTATGAACTAGACTTACAAATTTCTTCTTCAACTGTACCACGATCAATGGGATATGAGTACACATGAAATTCAATTACCTGGTAAAAAAGCGAATAGGGCTTCACAACCGAGTGAAATAGATCCTAAGGATTGACAGAGAAGTGTAAAATGCGGGTATCGGCTTGCCTCGATGTACTTCCTCTTATGCAAATAAATAAATTCAACTGGTGACGATAAAGTGATGTTGAATCGTGTATATACTTTCTTGACTATCTCTGCTGGAGAGGCATTCAGATCTCCAGTGTATATTACTATTTTCGTCGAACTATATCTGAAAACATATTTTTTAATCAAGAAACTGTTTATTTTTATATTTTCGATGAGCTACCTTGCTTGAATTGCCTTGACCGCACACCACAGCACTCGTTCTCCACCGCCGCCAGCATTGCAGTACGGGTGAAACAGCGCAACTGAGAATGGCTGACCACTCTTTCTCGCTTTTTCTCTAACTTTCTGAAAGTACTGGGAAAAAAGAAAAGATGAATAACCGACTCAAACAAACTCTCTCTGATCATACCTTCTTGGCAATCAATGATAACAATATTATAAGTACTACTGTGGAAACTACGAGCACGAACGCCCATTGAATCAACGAAACTAAATTGATGGAATACATTTTAAAACAGCTAAAATCCATTTAAACTATTATCACATTCTTTTATATAAACTGAGTTGAAAGTTTTCCAAGTTAAAGTAGAAATCACGTCATCTCTATCTATACTTCCTATTAAAACTCATATCTCATTCTAATTAGATTTACAAACTACAAAAATTGACACGTTGACACAAAATAAAAGAAGCCGGGGAAGATAAAATAAAAACTGTTTTTCTAAAAATGACAAAAGTTCAAACAAAATACGTAATCAACAAAGAGGTTTCAGTACTGTATCTCACTATCTCTTATCAATACGATACAACCACATATCGACACACTTTCAAAGTACATTTGTTTAAATTTTTGAAATAGTACTAATAGGTTTGGTATGATACTGGCACTTCAAAATCCTCTGGTAAATGTTTTTTTATCAAAAACCAGAGAGAAAATATTTGAATTATTATGATATATGCGAGCTTTAGAAAGTTGGCTGTTTTGATTGACTACATTTTCTTGTGGGTAAAATGTCAGGTTTCAAATTGAACAAGTTTCTTTTGTCATAGCTTCTCTTTTGATTCTATTCTTTTTTTTTCTCTCAAATTTTCAGTTTAGCATGGACTTCCTCTTTGAAATGTTTTAGCAGTTCCCATGAGGCCTGAAGAGCCGACGGAGGACGACTGCTGTCACAACGGCTGCAACCCGTGTGTATTCGACATATATGAATGCCAGCTCGAGCGATGGCGGAAAGATGGTTTGGGAAAAAATAGCCCCAGATTTGATCTTCTTTCAGAAACTCATTTCAAAACCTTTGTGCTATCGAAGGTCCGTCGATTGACAGCTGACACAAATTTATACACCTTTACGGCTGTTAAAGACAATGAAAGCCAGCGTGGTTTGCTTCCGATTAAAGCAGGGCAGCATCTTATCCTTAAAATGAATGAAGAACTGAAAACAAATAAATTGACCACAAGAGCTTACACAGTTATCCCAAACAGCGAGGAAAACCAGAATTGTGGATTTGATGTGGCCATCAAACTCTATGAGAACGGTTTAATGTCAAATTACCTTAAAACATTGAACGTAGGTGATTCAACTCTATGGAGAGGGCCTTATGGCGATTTTTCTTACACCACTAATAAGTACCCTCATATAATAATGATATCCATGGGTACTGGAGTTGCACCGATGTATGCTGTATCAAAAGCCATAATATCCAATGATCAAGATGATACGATTATCACGTTTTTGTATGGATGCAAATCATCGGCAGATATAATCCTGAGGTCTGAATTAGAAAAACTGTCATCCTTTTGGAATTTTCACAGTACTTATTTCTTATCGCAAAACTTTGATATTAAAAACAAAAAATATTCTGAGAAATTCGTTGAAGGTCGAATAGGTGAAAGTGTTCTGCTAAATTTTATTAAATCAGTTGAGAGGGATCAATTTTTAATCTGCGGCTCTGAAAAGTTTTGCTGTGATATTAAAGGTTCACTTATTAAACATGGTGTTAAAGAAAGCAACATATTTATTTTCTAAGCCAAAGAAGATAAGAAAAGATTTATCCTAATATTTATTGGAATTTTAATGTTAATTTTGCTGTCACGACTACAGAATCGTATACAATGAACCAAATTACATTAAGCCCTCTTGTAGGACAGTAATAAAAAATACAATAAAATACCAATAACAAGACTGATCAGTAGAACAATTATTTTAAAGTTTTTGTTATTTATTATTTTTTGTTTCACTTTATTATGTATAAACTGGATGAGAATGATAATGATTGTTGTTTCTAATACACAACAACACCTCCTTCCCAAATATTAAAATAAAAGTAAACATAGGGAACTGATTAGTGATTTATTAAGCCAAAATCTGCACACACGTGTAGTGCTGGTACTGTGAGCAGGCAATTTAAATTTTGAAATCTCACCCTTACTACACTACACTGAGCCTAGATGAGAACAAAGACAGAGAGAAAAATTGAGTTGCTCAGCAGGAGCACATGAACATTGTAAATAGTGTGACCCACCCATTGTAAAGTTTATTATTATTACGAGCCCAATACAGGTGTATAGAGTTGAGCCTATCACTTCTTACTTTTCACTGGCAATTCTAGATTCTGTTCTTCACAATGAAGTATTGGCAGGCCTCGAGAATCACCCACCCCTGGTGTTGGCAGTCCAGGGTCAATGTCAAACCTCGGTTTGATATGTCCAGTCATTGAGGTTGGGATCCATTTGCTATCAATAGGTAGGTGATTTCAGCTCCCAAGGTTATCAGATCCTAATTCTAAACCCATTCACTCTTAAATACATTCATTCTTATTTACATAATTCGTACAGTTAGAATGGTGGAGTCTTGATATTCCTCCTTCACGCTTTATGCCTATTATATAACTTAATTGAGGGATGATGGGATACTCAATATTTGACCATGGACCCTCACCAATATATTTACTCTTTAACAAACCCTAGGGACACTAAACTATCATTACTTGTATACAGTACTGTTTACTCCAAAAATAAGAACACGGACCTAGATACTCAGTGCTTAAGCACAATTCTCATATTGAGCAGCATTCCTACGTGCTCAATATAAGAAGCCATATATATCGGATGGCATTTCTACATGTTCTCTATATGGAGCCAAGGATTTGTTACAAGTGAAAATGAGAGGAAAAAAAATGTTTCTTTGCATGGGGTGACCGAACTCGGGCAGAGAAAAGGGTGCCTTTGGCAAGGTTGAGCGAAGCCTGGAAGAGGCCAAAGATGCGCGGGTGGTATTTGGAAGCCGAAGGAGGCCCAGTCAGGGCTCGGCGAGGAGTCGGGCCCAGCCGGTGTGAACAAGAAGGCTTGAGCTTGGACAGGGCAGTGTGGACAAGCCGGACAAAAAAGTAGAAAAAAGGACGTGGTGGTGTTTTATTTAATTACTTTGGGACTTTTCTCTTCGTGGAGTGGACGGTTCACGCATGTGACGGGAGACCGCTCTGGAGCGAGAAGGAAGAGAATTTAGACAAGGTTTGAACTTTTAATTTATTTTATTATGAGAATGGTTTTCAGACAGTTTTGTTTTTTGTTTTATTGTTGAAGAATCTTGTTTTATTTCTTTTTTTCCATTTTATTCATATTAATATTTTACTTTTTTTTTCTTTCTGTTTTGCTATTTCACCCTGAAGGTTTCACTGTTTTCCGAAAATAAAAACGGTGTGGTGCCAATTATTTTACTTTTGTTGTCGAAGCGGCCATGGAACAAAAAAGCTCCACTGAGCCCCAGGTACCCGGCGACTGGGTGAATTGTCAACTGAAGAGGAACCGGTGGCAGATTGCACCATTAATTAGGTAGGACTGATCAAGTCCTTTCTCTGCATGCTGGACACATACACAGGGGGCTTTGAGCCAGAATCACAGGGAACAAAAATTAAAATTTAATTTAAATGAAGGTTTTTAATAGCCATAAATCAATAGATACAAATGTAATAAAATTGGCAGTTCATTAACTATATACAAAATAAATTACACTTGTTAATTTTAGGCTTAAAACAACAAACCAAAGACTGAAAAAAATGCAATTATAATATTTACAATTGATACATTAATTACATTTAAAAACACTACTAAGTAGTTAAAAAGAAACTACAACAAACAATTTGCATATAGAAAACAAACCCAAAACAATATTGTGACTAGCTTTCTTTTCTTAAAAGAGAAAAAGATCATTAGACGAAATACAAATCAAGATGAGCCATTTTATCTTTTGGCTGTCTTGGTTTCCCTTTGGCCTTCCCTCTACCTCGCCCTCTAGGCTTGGAAATAGCTGGTCGACACGCAACGGCCCATTGCTTCTCAACGAGAGAAGATAATTCTGTGCAGCAGAAAATACAACCGGTCAGCTCAGTCGCCTTGTTCGGCAGTTTTGTCTTCTCTTTTTTGTACTCGATCGAAACGGTCTGTGCCCCACAGCTGCATACGTCTTTCCCTACAGAGACTTTTGTGGCATCTTCAAACAGATAATATATAACATCACATTTGTTGCAGCCCATTTTCCACTTTGGAGCTGATGATGGATCGAGCACCAAAGTGCCGTCACATTCTTGGCAAGACGAGATCCCATTATTAAGGAGAGAATGGACACAAGACGGGTGCTGGCAAGAATTGCATCCTGAGCCTTTTTTCATGTCTTCAAATGGTGGATTGTTGTAACAGTAAGGACACAGAGGAAAACTTTTACCCTTTGAGCCCATTAACCAATAAACAAGTTCAAAATCGTCAAGAGGGCACTTCAATTCTTTATAAGTCCTTATCATACCATTCTGCGGTAAATTGTACGTCTCATCGCAGTGGGGGCAATATAGCCTAGAAGGTTTGGCCTGAATATATTTTAAAAATCTCCGACACTTTCCACATCTCGAGTGCGGTTTTCCAGCATTTGCCAATGTAGAAAATCTTACTTCAAACAACTGATCCATTCCTTCGATATTTTTAACAAAGTAGACAAATTTCATTTTAAAAATGTTTACAGTATGAAGCAAGACCGAATGGTAATCTGCAAGGCCTTGTGCGATCAAATTTAACTGCTTTTCAACTGCAGATCGCATTGTAGGAAGAACAAGCTCTGGGTCAATTTTTTGATAACCATGCACCAGAACAATCCCAAGAGTCGTAGGAATCAATCTTCTTCCTTGTTCGACTCTAACAAAATTCCTTAAACCAATGTTATTTATGTGAACTGGAATTGAGGCATCTGTGCCAATCCCATGCTTCTCCATTAACGAGATCAGTTCCGATTCTGTCAAATAGTCTGGAGGGCATGTTTGACAATCGACCATTTTAACATCCAGCACGGTCACCTCTTCGCCTTTCTGAAACTCAGGTGCGATTTCATTTTTAGACAATGCCTGCCAGAACATGACAGTGGTATAACCCGGTGAAACGAGAGTTTTCCCACTAGTGAAAAAGACCTCAGTCCCAATACTTATTTTAACAGTAGTCGTTATGTATTCACAATCTTTGGAAACAGTTGCAATGAAGTGTCGTGCGATGAAGTCGTATATTTTCCAGCAATCGTTATCAAGATCTTTTTTTTGAGCGAGTTTCATGGGAGTGATAGGAGGGTGATCGCCAGCGTCATGTCCTTTCTTCGGTTTGTTTATTCCCTCTTTCATCAGTTGTTTGATTTCCATTCCCCAATCGGCAGAATTCTGAAGTTGGCTCAGTGTACCGTGAAGGTCAAAACTCTCAGGGTAATGCGTAGTTTCAGTTCTGGGATAACTTATATACCCTTCGATATATAACTTCTCTGCAATCTGCATGACGTAGTGTGGCCCCATTCCAAGTCTGGAACTGCCGACTTTCATGAGCTCGAATGTATTTAGCGCTTGAGGCCTGCCTTTGAAATGGGTATTGCTCACTACACTAATTACAACGCCTGTTGGGAATTCTTTGACTCCATAAAGGAACATCTGCGCTATTTCTTTTTCAAAACATCTCACCCTCTCCCAGCTGAGATTGACTTCTCGACCATCGCTTGTCTGAATCTTAGCTTCTAAAACCCAGTAGGGCTCTGGTTTGAAGGTCTGTATTTCATCATGGCGCCTGACACAAAAACCCAAAGTCGGCGTCTGGCAAGGACCATAAGATATGAATGAAGAGTCCAGATCTGCATACTTTCCTTGAAAAAACTTTGTCTGGAAACGTGTGAAAGCACAGCCGATCCGCAGGTCGAGTTCTTGCCTCGCATCCACAGATTTCGCCTCGTTTTCATTCGGCTTTCCCAGATTGGCCATAGCGTTGAACAGCTCCTTCTCCGTAATGGCTGAGAAATGTGCTCTGAATACGACATCATTGTGAGCCGTGTACGGCCTCTTGAGCGACTTCTCTACTGCGTGGATCACTTCGAAGCAGATATTTTCACCTTCTTTGTCGCAGTCCAACCAGAGAACCAAATGGTCGCAACCTTTCGCCTCGTGAGCGAGGAAAGCTGGGATTTTCAACTTAGCCATCGCCTCCTTCTTTTCCGTCGTGCAGGAGAACAGCTCCACAGGTTCCACCCTGTCCCAATTGTTGTACTTGCCGGTGAAGTCTAATGTCATAACGTGCCCGGCGACGGAGGTCATGTGAAAGACGACAGTCTCGTTCCTGAAAGTCCCAGTCCATTCGTGGACTTTGGTGCCGTTGAAGTTGCTCTTCCTCGGGCAGCTCTTCCCGTGGCTGAGGATGTTCGCGATCGAATCCGCCAGCGACGGCTTTTCCGCAACCATCAACACTTTTTTCATCTTCTCGAATATGCGACAACGTTCAAAACCAAAACATTTACAAAGGAAATATGAAAAAGTCCACTATCACAAAGACATTGAAACCGGTCATTCAAACGCTAACCAACCTAAACGATCAATTGTTTACTCTACAATCTACATCCTTAAAATCCTGTTATAAAGTTATAACTTGTAATCCTTCGGCTAGATATCGAACTTCAGTCGGCATCGACAATCGACATGACCTCTTCAGCCCCAACAAGGTCAGTACTCGAATTCAATCAGCTAAACTACCTTTAAAATAATGCAAATACTTTAAATTTCTTAAATAAACAAACTTTTAACCAAAATAGAAGAAGAAAAAAAGAACAAGTACGAAAAGTAATCGATTAGAAACAACGGACTAAATAAGGCGCACAAATGTGTTACTGTACTTATTATTTATATAATAAATTATTTATTTATTATTTTATATACTTGTATATAATTAATACTTATTATCTTTCTTTAACCAGTAGGATTATTTTATTTAGGAAAAGTAATTTAAATAATTTTTTAATCAAGGCAAACACAATCTAAACAGAATGCTTTGAACTACAAATTGCTGCATTCCTTCAATTTGCTTGACAATTTTGGTCAATTAATTGACCATTGTTTAATAAAAAAAACCATATGAATAAAGAGATGGATGAAAAAGATTCCAATTACTCATTAATATTTATAATTATTTCACCATAATTTTAATCAAATTTATTCACACCACCTCTATTCATGTTACCATTGCAAATAAGAATCTCAAAGCGATAAAAAAAGTATAGGGATGAATAGTGGTTTCGGTAATAGTAAGTAAGGTAAAATAAGCTTGTCTAACAATATTAAATATAGTAAAATATAAATAGGCCCCAAAAAAAAAAACACAGGTATAGTGTTGAAGAAAAAGAAATTCAGTTGTTACTGCCAAGCTCTCTACCTATTATAAGGTCATCATCAGGGAAAAACAACCTTAAATGTATCTACAGATTGACATATTTAAGTTTTTAATAGGTTGAAATCTCGGCAGTAACAACTGAATTTGTTTTTTCTTCATCACCATACCTTCGTCCAGTGTTTTTTTTAATTTTTCCTTCCCACAGTAACCCTGCAGGAAGGGATTTTATTTTATCAAATCTACATGTTCCATATAAATATTACATGTTTTTACTGCAGAGTATAGCATATTAATTATGCATTAAATAAAAGTTTAAACGTGAAATTTGAAATAATAGCATTACATTTTTTTTTTTTTTTCATTGAAACCTGTGTTCATTCATTCAAGTCCAAGTCCAGTTTATCCACAAACCCAACAAACATGTTCATGAGTGAAAAAGTAACTTCTAACATTGATAAAAAATAATAGTATTTATTTCTATGTATAGATTTTTGTTGTTATTCCTTGGCTCTATATAGATAGTGTGTAGGAATGCCACCCAATATAAAAATTGTGCTGGCTGCAAGACAAGTTTCTGGGCTCAATGTTCCAATTCATGGAGGAAATAGATTTGTTTTATTGCCTATAGTAATGATAGTTTTGTGTTGATAGTGAATTTATTTACAAGCGTGAATGTGTGTTTTGAGTGGGTCGATGGTGGAATATTGGGTACCTCATCAACCCTCAGTTAAGTTAGTTATTTAATAGGTGTATAAATGGTGATGGAGGAATATTGAGTACTTCAAACCCTGAGTGAATGATGTGGTTAGGAACTGATTGTGTTGGAGTGAACATGACTTAACTGTTGATAGCACCCAGAGCCCAAACTCAGTGGTTGTATGGATATGACTAGGGTCTGCCCCCAGATTGCCACCACCTCAGTGGACGATTCTCGCTGCCTGTGGGTAATTTATTGTAAAATACAAAAGCTAGGCCAGGTGCATTTTTTTAGAAACTCCTGTGATACGTGTCATGGAGTTTATAGTTTCAGATGGCAGATCTAGAAGTATATATGTCATAAGTGAATCAGATATCAATTTTTGTTCAATGTCAACTAAGTCATTTCTGAGAGTAGCTGAGACAAATGTCGGAGGATTCGTAAAGATGAATTTAAGAACTTATTTTGAACCATTCACCTGTTTTTGACAAAGGACTGTTTTGGCCAGTCAAATTCGGCATTTTTGAATTGGAGCAGTTCACTCAACGGACTGACTGTTTGATTAACTGTTAGAATTCACAATCTTAACTTTACACATACTTTACGCCTACAATTTATTTATAATGCTCAGTATCTAAAAATAGTTTTTAGTTATGTTTGCAGTAAATGAACTTAAATATGCTTTAATTTTTTACAGTAATCCAAATTATATTTGGGAACAAAGTTTAAACAAATAATATTAATTTTTCATCGTATAAAAATGTATCAAATCAATCGTCAAAGTCTTATTACAAACATTATATACATTGATTCAGATGACCTTAAAAGAGTCCATTAGAACCATAATACTATAAGAAATATAAAAGATCTTCAAGTCCATTATTCGGAGACCTGTGTAAAGACTGGCCAACTAAGAAAGCAAGTTTGTGAGCGTACTGACATTGTGCAGGTACTCGTACTGTCCCCTAAAACAGCCTCGGTTATTTGAAAATTACAATATCAGAACTTTAACTTACACTCCAATTAAAATACAGGTGGGTCATTTTGTATGTGAGCCGCTGCATTTTGTCTGGGTCGAGACCAGTTGAATCATCAATTACGTTGTATGCAGTTGGGCTTACTGTACCTTGCCTCACAGATTGTGAAACAAGGAAGAAATCATATCTGGAAATAAAAATAGTTTCAAATAAAATAAAAATTCAAATTGAATCTAATAAAACAACTTATAAATATATATATTTTTTACTTGTCAGGAGAAGTGATACAATCGTCAACGATTGTACCAGGCGGAGGATTTCTGTTTTCATAGAAAATCCTGGTGTTCAGGCGTTTAGTCACAATAATGAATGCCATGCCGGGTGGCTTTCCATTGTATATGTTGTTTAGTTTTTCCTGAATGAAATATGATTATGCATCGGTACAAATGTTGAAACATTAAATCAGGTATATGTTTTAAATTTGTACTTAATAATGTTTAGCCTAGTAAAAAACTCTAAAAGACATATCTTGATGTGATTGATGTCAGCCTTCATTGAAAGAAAGAAAAACATTAAGTTCCTTCATCACGTTTTCAAGAAATATTGCTTCACCAAACTCCGAAAAACTATTTCTAATGACTTACATGGTCAACAAATATAAAAATTGACTTACAATATTATAGCTGCAACATATATTATAAAAAAAAAATCACTAATGACCACAAGAAGAACTTTAGCAAGTCATGGGGACTAAAACCAAAAATGATTCTTTTGCTATATAAGGCAGGGCGATCCAATTTACCCTAAGGTTCACTAATTTGGTGGACTAAAGCCCAACAACCTACCCAAATATTGGGCAGCCTACAAAGACTGGCAAACCTATTATTGGAAATGGGGATTGACTATATATATGATTCTGGAAACAATCTTTACAACATCCTTCTCAACATAAGGGAAAAGAAGAATTCAGTAGGAAATCAGATACAATGATATGGTAGGCAGATGGCTCCAAAATAAATGAAGCAACTGGCTCAGGCGCTTTATGTAAAGCTAAAGTATGAGCAATCAAACTCATTAGGGAAGTACATCTCAGTTTTTAATGTGAGATACATGCCAACATTTGTGCCTTAGAAAAATCCTAAAAGATGATATACTGATTAAAAAACCTCATAAGATCAGATAGCCAAGCAGTCATTGAGCAAAGTTTGTTGTTACTGTCAATGCATTAATATGTAAAATAATCACATCAAAATTAGGCATCCAAGATTTACAAAATCTGGGAAAACACAACTACCTGATGATATCTTTGGTACCAGGACACAAAGGAATTTTGGCTAACAAAATTGTAGACAAACTGGTAATAGGAGGATCTTCAAGACCACATATTGGCCCTGAATCTATACTTTGGATGTAGAATCCTCCATCCCAGAATGGATCCAAAAAAGTCAAAAGGAAAAGTGGATAAACTGTAGAGGTGCTAAACTTATGCTAAACGCCCTCACCAAGAGTGGCAAAGACACTGCTACATTTAGAGAGGGCTAACTTAACGACGCTTAGCCCTGAATTGTATATGCAATTATAAAATATTCATTCATTAAAAAAAAAGATTTACCTTGATAACTCTCACTTCATGGTTAAACACAAATGGTATCTGCCCTTCACCAACACCATCTCTATAAATGACAACGCGAGAGGGCAAGTTGTCTTGATTGTATTGGCGATATTTCACCACTGCTTCTACAAAAAGAAAAGTTATTTAATTTACATCATGCCAAAAAACGAAAGTTTTAAACATGTAGTTTTAGAAATTATTTTATTGATACTAACTGACGATATTAATAGATAAATCATTTGATAATTCTTCACCACTTGTATGAGGTGTGGCTGCAGAATAATATCTAGATAGTCCTTTGTTGAGGGAAGCGACCATTGCACCAAATGACCGTCCTTTGTTCGTTGTATCGTGACATACATCATATCCAACAACCATTAAACCCTAACATATATCAATTATTGATCATTTATGGATATTTTGTTCTTTCAAGGAAATGGCTTACATTCATTGGTACTGAAACAGTCCATGGGGTACCTCCTATTTTGCAATTTATCTGGATTGCAATTTTTGTCGTGATGGACATTATTCCTTTTGATACAAGGTTCTTGGCTACTACGACTTGTGTCGGAACTGCTCTGTCCACACAACACTTTTTTTTAATAGCACCATAACGATCAGCTCGATTGTTAGGAACAATGCACATTATCAATTGAGGGTTCTTATAAGAAATCAACTGGTCTATTGCATCTACATATGTGCTACTCCTATCATCGTTCAATTCCTTACTGAAAATTGCAAGTAATAAATAAATTAAAAAATTTAAAAAATTAAATGCACATTTTCTTACATAATAGGCTGAGGGATAGTGAATTGTAGCGTTATAGCAGATTTTGTAAGAGCAGCTATGAAACTCTGTACATCAGGCTTAGATTTTGACATATAACAGATGGCCCAATTTCTTAGAGTGCCCATTATTAGCATAGGAAAGTTTCTCATACTTTTGGTCCAGTCAGCATCCCGGCCAGCATCTGAATGTGCTGAACCACCATATGTGATGACTTCATGTGGAAGGATCCTTCCGTTGAATTTCACCAGATCGGTGGAAAGTTTCATATTCCATTGTGTTAGATCTTCTTGAACCTTTTAAATGCCCAGAATTAAATGAATACATTTAAATTGCGATAAAATCTCTTACACTTGGTGTTGACTTGAGTCTTGAACTGAACTTGTGCAATTTTTGAATCCTCGCTTCTGGTACTACTCTTGTATGTTCTGCGAGCGCGCGCATTAATTGGAAATTTGATCTAAATGGCACAGTTTGTTAATGTATTCATTAATTATACAGCAAAATGTGTTGACTTTTACCTCATATCATCTGTCAAACCGGTTAACCTACACAATTCAGGAACTAGGTATATAATTTCTGTCATTCCAGCACGGATTTCTCGAGGTTTTGCTCGTGAAACAAGCATTGGTTGGTCTTTGACTCGGATTCTTATTTCATATCGCTATAAAAAAAGTAAAGTCTTTCAAAAATGTACAAAAATTAAAATAATTTGTTACCTGCAAATAATAGTCAATGTAGGTTCTTTCTTCCTTGTTTCTTAATTGAAATGTAGAATCAGGACGAGTATTAAAATCTATATCATCAATTCTGTATGTTCTGTTGTTATATTCTGTGAGAACAACTGATCCAATTATTGAATTCTCAAACACACTCTGAAAAATAATAATATTCAAGTTATGTTCTATTATGAACTTTGAAAATCTTTAATTAAAAATTATTTGTCATTCACAAAAAATTAAGAATCCCTTATAACCCTTATAAATAATTCACATATTCTTTTCTATCCCTTGTACATCGTTATTTGCCCTTTCACTCATCCACGGTTGAGAATTCATTACTGAAGAATTGGAAGATCTCATAAAAATCGACCACAGAAGAGGTTGAAAAAGAGGATAAAATAGAAGAAAAACAGTAATTAAGAATAGAAATATTTGAAGAAATCTTTCAGATAGTTCAAAAATTAAAAGATAAAATCATAGAATATGATCCAATAGTGAAATGAAGCATCAACATAACATGATTGTTAATTCAGGCAATGAGCCTCTCCAACAATTTTTTGAAGAATTTGAGAAAGCTGAAAGAGCAACTGTAGGTAGAAGAAAATCTTCGAAGCCAGAAATGTGAGGTATTTCTTATTATGTGCAATGATACTTGTTCATATCCCCTGCAGATAATGAGAGTCTACTGAATATCCCATTTTCCATTGTTCATTCATTAATAATAATTTAATTAAACTATTAAAATGGCCAAAGAAGCCATGAACAAGACAACGCAAACATTAATTATTCAGTCGTTAAATTTAATTTAAAAACCCAGAGGCCTGGAGGGTTATTGTATTGATTTATAATTCTATGGTGAATGTTAAACATTTAAAAACAAACAAAAACAATTTGTTAATTTAAAATTAAAATTCGTATTACTTTCCAGTCTTGTCGGCTTCTATTCATGCTTTCATACATTAAATCCAGTGCTGTTTCCCTCCGCATCACTTTGTGGGTGATTTCAGCACACATTAAAATATTGTTTTCATGTTGTCGTATCGATGTCAAGTAACCAGGCCACAACTCCATTTTATATTCTTTTATTTCAACCTTAGGGATGAATTACATTATTAATTATAAGAATGATTAATTATATTTCAGTTACCCTTGATTATATTAATTACCCTTGCTGCTGCATCGAAAAAATTTCGTCCAACCATTTGCAAGTGCAAGTTGTCCAAGCATTTTCTCATTAAAATGTTAAAAAGTTGTATGTAGTGATGATCGCCCATAACCAGGTCACCAGCTTTTTTAATTGTAATCCTTATTTTTTCCTGATCACTTTCACGTATTGAATACAATTCTATTGGCTGTTGAAAAATCAATTAGGAATCATGGATAACTTCAGGTCTGTGAATTTATATTTACTCCTGGTGAAAGTAGTTGGGTTACAAATAAAACAGTCCCATCAAAGATGTATCCTCCTCCAAGAGAGTCCTTGTGCATTCGTAGTAATGCTTTTCTTGTAACTGTTCTTTCTTCCTCTGGGCTGAAGTCAACCCTGTATTGATAAAGGGCCCAATCCGTGTGTGTTAACAATGCAAAATAGTTGGCAGAAAGTTCCACTACGTCTCCAGTCTTTCCTTTAATTGTCAATACAGTGAGGATCTGTTAACCACAACATTTAAATTTATTTTACCTTGCTTGCTAATAACATTTTTAGGCCTTGTAAAAACTTGCTGAGTGGACAGTGGTTTACGACCACGAAAATTTCCTTTTGTATTTGTATTAATGACAGTATCTCGTTTCTGGTCTCCACCACTTGGATTTACTATTGGAGTTACTAAAGGATTTACTAAAAAAAACATAAATAAAAAAGAAAAAAGGATAAACGTTGAAATACTGACTTGATAGAGTCTTAAGGTCTCTTGCTAAACATTCTGATCTTGTTTGTGGTTCATCACCCTGTTGTGGCAATGACAGTATTTTCAAAAAGTGCAATTAGTACAAATTAGTGAGTACTTACTCTCCCATCTAGAACTGGACCGCCTGGGGTGATGGGTGTCTGCTCGGCAGGACGCCTGGCCCTACCCCTCGAGCGGCCCCTAAGGCGACCTCTGCTTGCTTCAGGTATATCCATTTCAACCTAATAATTTCCAGAAATTGTTTTTGTAAACTTTTGGACACTCAATTGAATGTAAGAAAGTGTCAGAAAAAAATTAAATTCATACTAAGAAATCAGTATTAAATATGATCTAAACAGGACTCCTTGTATGTATTAAATTAAAACTAATTCTGTTGTATGTACATTTTAACATCCAAAAGTTCATAAGCTGTGTTTGGAACTTGAATTATTTTTTGGTGCTGTTATGTTATTTTATTTACTGATTTATAAGCTCAACTCTGCACATGTGTATAAAATCAAACTTATGACTTATTGTGGCTCGCACATTCTTTTGGTTTTGGCAGGCCATGATCAGACCTCGGTTTAGGCCATTCCACCGCAGAAGTTAGGCTATGGGGTAGTGTGTATAAAGTAGAATAATCAATGTTTTGTCATTGACCCATCTCACATACACATTTATGCTAATAAATACATTCAATATCAATATACACCAAAAGAAATACTAAATGAGATATCTATATGTACTATATAAACAAAGAAACAGCCCGTTTCCTCCAAAAATCAGAATAGGAGACTCAAAATACTGTCATACCCAAGTATAATTCTCATATCATAGGGTGGGTCCTGCATACTTTCTATATGGAGCCAAGGATCAACAAGTCTACAATCTGTCTGGAAATGTACTTGCAGATTACTTGGTTAGTCTGATGAGCTATGAATGCTCAAAATCCATATCACTCTGATAAACCAGTTTTTAAGTAAGAGCCATCATTACTCATACCATTACCACATTTTATTTTATTATTATTATTATTTTGCAACGGTTCGCAACAACATATCAACCCTCAGGATGTCGTTGTTTTTGAAAAAAGCTTATTTGTAATTTTGTTGGGTTCAAACTGGGACCTTTACCTTACAGTGATGAGGGCCGTGTCAATGAGTAAACCATTGTGGCCACTGGCCCGTCACTACTTAATTGTTCCAGTAGCTATTTTACAGAGCATTACATTCTGTAGAAGTTTGTAAAGTACTTTCTGTCCTTTTTTTTCTTCATCAGGTGTGCCTCAAGGTTCTATCCTTGGCTCTCTACTTTTCGTAAATGACATTACCCATTATTCTCTCAAGCTATTAACCTTTTATATGTTTGTGGATGACTCCACTATACAATGACTGACTTCTTCAATTCTCTCTTGTGAAACTTTCCAATGTGTATATAATTCTATAGAACTAAACACAAACAAATGTCACCATATTTCTTTCTTTAGAAAGTAAACAATGATGATGGACAATCCCTAGAGCATTTACCTACAATAAAAGACCTAGTTATACTACTTGACTTGACTCTTATCTCAACTTCTGTGAATAAACACACTTTACCATAAAGCCTTTTGAATGCTTGGATCAGTAGGACCACTAGAGAGTTCAAAAATATTTCAATACAAATCTCACATACTACTAATAGACCCAGTTCAAAATAGTTACTTTGTGAAAAAATGTATTGCATATTTTATAGACACTCCAAGGATTCCTATTGTAGGGATATGCCTTCTGCACCTCAACCTGAGTTTATCTGTTGTATTCCTCTAATTCACAGACCAGCTTCAGGTTGTGAATCAACCTCCCAGTGGTTCCTTAGTGTAGGATCTTGCATGTGACTTTTTCTCTCCTGGTTGCAATTATTTACATCTGTGTAGACCCTTACCAAAACATATAATGTGCTCTGTGGTCTCCTCTTTTTCCTGGCAGTATCTGTACAGTGTTTCTTTTGACCGTATTCCTATCTGGTGCCCTGTCAGGAGTCCAATCCTGGTTCTGTTGCAGTCACCCTCCAGTAAATCCTTTGTAAATCTTGCCAACAGCCCTTCTATGAATCTCTTTGTGTGCCTCATGCCTGGGGTGTTGTTCCATCAGGTTTTGTACTCATGAGGGATTCATTTTTGTGGCAAGGAGGCCTAGAGAATTTATATTGGTTCTTTTTTTGGCCAACATATCCACTTTCTACATCCCCAATGCCAAGGTCAGGTCATTGGTACTTACTTCTGCCAGGGATTCCATAGAATTAGGTATGTGATTTGCCTTTCTTTGCATGAGACTAAGGCCTTAAGTGCCTCTTATTCTAACTTTTTTATTCTTGACCAACTTTAAATAACTTCGTTTGAATCAAAACTGGTTTCTTTTGATCTACACTCGTTTTGCTCCATGCCTCCTCGGATTCCTACATTTTCAAGTACTACATCTCACACCAGACTACTTTGACATTCCATTCTAAAACAACATATCTACAAAATCATACTGCATACCCAAAATAAGTTTGATTTTAAAAATAATACATTTAAGAAAATGTTTATTACCTAATTATAAAAAAAAATAAAAAAATTATTGAGTAAAGAAAAAAAATGTAAAAAAAATTGCCCACTTTAACACCGAGTATTTCCACCTCTGGCACAAATTACATCAGTTAAATGCCTACATATTCCCTGCAAAAGATTTCTGATAAAATTCTGAGGAATTGTTTCCTGTTCATCAAGAACAGCCGTTTCCAACTCTTCTAGATTGTTATGGCCTGGGTTTTGCAGTTGTACTCTTCATTTAAGTTGGTCCCAAAAGTGTTTAATTGGTTCAAAACTGGACTTTGAGCTAGCCACACCAAACACTGAATTCCTACCCTATTCATGTAGTCATCCACAACACAAACTCTATGGGGCCTGGCATTATCCTGCATTAGCAAGAATCTCTCACTGACATACAGGCAAATAGTAGTAAAAGTTCTTCGATTATGTCTTGTAAGTACCTCTTTGGAGTTAGAAATATTCCTCATACAACAACCAATTCGGGCAGATATCCAAGGAAATGCCACCCAAGAAATGACCCATCATAGAATGCCATCTGAGGAATCACACAGCATGGGGTATACCTTTCTCCTCAGCAACTTCATATAAAATTATGCCCATCTGAAGATTTGAGGTCAACTCTCACCTCAAAACCTAACGGTTTTCCAATATCCAATACACATGTTCCTGTGTGTATTGAAGCCATTTTCTGAGCTGTGGCAAGAAGAGGTCCATGAGTTGGGTGCCCTGAGGTTATTTTTATTGAGCCTTCTTCCAATCCTGGGGAAATCGAAACATTTCGTCTTATCAGATTTCTTATCTTATTTCCTGTAATGCTGCAGTTTCGTAGAGTCTGATCACAAATGAATGTATCGTCTCTTGTGCTTGTAGACCTAGATTGGCCCTGTACTGGCCTTCTAATGTAAAGCCCTGTTTCTCTGAAGCACCAAAGAACTCTTCCTATTGTAGAGTTATTTACACTCAGTCTCCTGTCGACTTCGCACTGGCTATATCCTTCCTCTAATAACGTTATAACGCTGTCACTGTCATATTCACTCAACTCACTAAACTCATTGAAAAAGGTTTAAGAATAAGAATAATATCAAATGAAATCAACAAAAGAAAAAGGTTAACTGAAAGCAATCTTTAGGCATAGGAGAATGGAAGGGCATAATATATGCAAATGAGATTAATCAGTACTAAAGTAAATAAACAAAGCATTACTTACAGTTTATTTGGACTCTGACAGCTCCTAACTACCTGTACTACTGTTAATGTAGAAAAATAATGGATTTCATTTAAAATTAAATAAATTGAGTGGTGAATTAGATTTGTCCATCAGTGTATTCAGTATAAATTTTGCACCATTTATTAAAGTTTTAACTACTCTTCCTAGACATAATTTTTTACCTCCTACTCTCCCTATTTCCAATTAATAACTACTGTCGTCCAAATTATTTATTTTCTTTGTTAAATCAAGAGAAATTTCTCTTTTTTAATAAAATTTTATACATATTTCTCGTTTTATTTGTAAAACTTAGCTTGAAGTTTTTCATGTTTTTTAAATATTTTCATTGCATGTAAATATTATGATTTTATGTTATATCCTAGATAAACGTACATTTAAACATACAATTTCATTTATATTTATAATTTTTTTTATAAATGTGTATTGACATTAAAATAAATATTGAAAATAAAGCAAAAACGTAATTGCTACATTTTTACATTGGGACCAGGTTAAAGCATTTTATTTCGAAATCGAAAATATTTTGACTTACAAGTAATTTTATAGCTAAATTTAGATTGGACAAGATAAATTATTATAGATTATAGAAATAAAATCGGTATTTATTAAAAAAACACGTTTGCTTTACATTAACTATGAATTAGTTTATATTATCATATTTTGTTCTGCTTTACTCACTCATTATACGTTAAAATAAAAGCATTTAAAAAATGTTCACGTACCTCTAGTACAATAAATCAAATAGTGCCAATCCATGTTCTCATTTAAACGACTGTCTATCGAAAACGGTACATTTAAAATAGTACTAACCAAAACTAAACGAAAACGGCTCTCACTTTTTTTGTTTTTTTGAACCAAAGCCATATTTATAAACGTTTTAAAACGAAATCCCTTATTTTGTTTTCTAGTTTTTTGTTTAAATTGTAATTTATCTTTATATTTAAACCGTAAAAAGAATGAAACTATTATAACCAAGCAAGTTATTAATACTTATTTGGGCGTTTTATTTAGACTTTTTGTTAAATATTATTTGCGATTGTGTTTCATTTTGAATCAGCGGATTTAACTTTTATTCTTTCAATTTTCAAATAAAAACGAATTTGTTAGAAAGGTCATACGTACGCTTCGAATCGCCGTGTTGGCCACCATTTGTAAAAGACGCCGCTCTTTTAGTCATTTTCAGCCTTGGAAAACGGCTGCATACAAATTGATGAAAGCAGTCTACAATTTTATAAAATTTTAATAACCGTCCATTTTTTCGAGAGCCGATAACTATTGTAAATTCCAAAAGGGAAGCCGGAAAACAAGGATTTTGTTCATTTTTTTTCAAATCAACTTCTCGGAACGGATATCCAATGTTGTAACTTCCTTAATGCTTTGATACATTACGTGATTAAGACATTACCCTTAATTGTAAAAGTACTGGTTTATATTTACGATAAAAATGATAATTAATACATTAATATTATCAGTAAAGAGAAAATTGAAGGAATAAATTTCTTCATTTTTGTTAAGTTTATTACTAGGTTCGTATACAAAAAGTGGCGGGAGGTTCAAATTCGTTCTTTTACAGTTGTCACAAAAAATGTTTTATTTTATCTCAATTAAATTTTTTAACATAGCACAGGAATGCTAGTCCGTGTCAAAATTTCTCATTGGCATGGATGTATTAATAATTAATATGTGGTGATTAGTAATTAATTGTATTTATACACACAGGATATTTATTTTTACACTAAAAAATGAATGCTGATTTTTGTAGATTTATGTAAGCTTAAATTTGCACATGCATGTACATATATACATACATGCACACAGTTGAGTCTATCACTTATGCAGCAACATTTACATAAATTAACTCCCCCCCCACCATAAGTGGTAATTTAGTGTCAGACCACGGCCTTATCCATCCAGGTGCTGTCAACACAAATCAAAATGCTATTCAGTGATGATGTTTAATTAAAATTTTATTTTTATAAAGCTAAGAGCTGAGAAGGTCATTTCAACACCCAATGGAATCAGTTCCTAAATCCAAACCCATTCACACTCTCACTCATTTAAATACATTCTTTTCCATTTATATACCATTCACTCAAGATGGTGGAGTACTTGGCATTCCTCCATAACCTTTTACACCTATTATATAACTAACCTAATTGAGGGACAATAGGGTACTTAATATTCTGCTATTAGCCCTCTCACACCACACATTCATGGTAATAAATATGTTCACTCTCAATGCACAGTAAGTGTATACAGTAAAACAACTCTGGGGCCCAGATACTCATTGTGCTGTGCTCAAGACTGATTCTCATATCAGGTGGCAGTCCTACATGCTCTCTATATGGAGCCAAGGAATTGAACCCCTCAATTAGATGGGTCACAGTATTAACCTTTATCTCATGCTGGACACATTTGTGGGTTTTGGCCCAAAAGTAAATGTCTGTGTATAAATCTCACACAGCCTATTTTTAGTTGGCGTCAATTAATATATGGTGAAAAGCCAAAATATGTCTGACAGGCAAAACAGCAAGGGTAGGCAGACCAAAATGTTATTTAGTTGTCAGAACCAGTACTGAGAGCTTAAATTTTTAATTGTATTTTTATCTCCATCTATCCATTAATTCAATTAACTATATATCAAAATGCTATTCAATGATGATGTTTAATTAAAATTTTATTTTTATAAAGTTAAGAGCTGAGAAAGTTAGGACAAAACAATGAATGGTGGTGCAATGATTAAAATAGTATAATGTCTATATTCATTTTGCCCTTAAAAGGCTAATTCCCATATTTGAACCTGAAAACTTAATACCCAACCGTCAATTTGGATTCCGATCCCTCGATTGTACCATTCAGCAGTGTTTGAGAGTAATTGGCATATCCTCAGCCGTAGAAAATAAACAATATTGCTCAGCTGTATTTCTGGGTGTCGCATTCGATTGAGTACGGCACCCCGGCCTCTTACAAGTTAAAACATATCTTTCCTCATACCTACCATCTCATCATGAAGTCCTTCTCAGGTGGATGGTTTAAAGCGAGAATCGGCACTGATTTTTCACCCATCATGCCTATCAAAGCTGATATTCCACAAGGAAGTATCCTAGGTCTAATCCTTTACACTATTTACATTGCTGACCAACACATTCAAACACAAAACTCACAACCACATGGACGACGCCACAATCCTATCTACACACTCCAATCATATCCTGAATCTCATTACCAACTGACTAGTCCATTCAGTGTCAGATCAGATTGAATGAGCAAAAATATGACAAACAAAATTTATGCTCAAATGCCAGATCTGCTCACCAGGGAACATAAACTAGATAACTCCATTGAACCAAGTCCACTACTTTGGGCTTTACTTAAATAGCATTACATGGAACCCACTTCCAAGATTAAAATGACATGAATTGAGCAAACGATATGAACTAATCATGCAGGCACCTACTAGGACTAAAATCAGCATTAAGCATACATAACAAACTAACCACTTACAATTCATCAAATTGATTTGTACTTGTGGAGTCAAACTGTGGGGCTTGGCCAAATTCTCCAAAACCCAATCCTTTAATCCAAAGTTCTCTGATATATCCTCAATGATCCTTTCTTTGCCACCAAATGACCCATAATGATCCGAACTCGATTATTTTCATTTTAAAGTATCCTTCTTCCCTAAGCCACTAGCCCAAATTCTTTTCTTGTCCCACCCTTATTTCCTCCAAGCTTTGTACCCTCCCTAAATAAAATTCCAACACTGGTTCATTTCTCTCCCTACTGCCTCATCGTCTCACAGATCTGATAGATTTGTATATAATTATATATTTGCACAATGTATATTTATTTTAGACAGCTAGCAATAAATAAAATAAATAAAAAATAACAATTTTAAGGACACTGGTCTTGGTAATAAAAATAACAGTGTATATTCTCACTTTTTTTGTTATAAATATAAAAACTAATGCTTCTGCAAACAGTTTAACTGTTTATTTTGCTTAAAAATAAATACATACTAAGGAACTTGTTTAAAATGTGAAACATGTGAACCATACAAAATTATATTTAATAAAACTTAAAATATGTACAGATTTGACAAATGATAAATCAACAAAGGTTATATATATTTTTTTTTCAACAGAGGGAAATCTATTTGCCTTCTGTTGATTCATTTTATCATTCTTTTAACACCTTTTTTACTGGATGATTGTTTTTCTTTTCCTCCTTTGTTGCTCAGCAGTGGATGAGGTTCTGAAAAACAAAAACACATTTGTAAAGATGCATACACAGAAAATTAAAATAAAACTGTACCATCTGTGATAGACCCTTCGAGTGCGATGTCATAAACACGAAACTTGGAAGAAGCTGACCCTCCTGTGTTGGTAGGAGGAGGAGCAACTATCGATGGCCCATCTTCGGGATCTTCGACTTCGGGTGCGATCGGGAGGAATTGTAATATTTTCGATTCTTCAATTTCCTCGTCTGAACTACAAAATGCATTGACTGGTTCTATAGTTGTCACGTCCACCTTAAAAAGAAAATAAAGGTAATTAATTAATTTATAAGTAACTACAAATTAGGGTAGAAATTGTATGGTGTTTTTTACGAGTCAAATTATAAAATAAATCACCTCGAGGTCTTCGTCTTCTTTTTGTGGCCCTGCTGTCACAGATTTGTCTTCATCACTCAAATCAAACTCACTCTCCCTCTCTTCGTATTCGACATTTTCATCGAGTTCCTTAAAATCGGGCGCAAAGGCAGACCAGTTTTCAACTTGGTTCTGTGCCCAAACTGAGACCACTCCGCTACTTATAGATGCAATAATCGGTCTGACAGGATGCCACTGAAACAATTTTGAACTTTCTGATTATTTTTAAATCCTTTACAAAGAATGTCGAAAGTATATTGAGACTTTGCTCACCACAACATCGAGCAACAGTTCACCCTTTGTACCGTGTAAAATTTTAACAAGATTGCCAAATCCTTTTTCCCATATGTACAGGGCATGCTGTCGTGCAGACCCAGCACAAACATACTCTCCATCTCCAGAAAAACAGCATTTTTTCCACATAGTTCTGCAAGAAAATAATTTAAAAAATAGAATTTATGTCTCAGCCTCATTGTTAAACAAATCAAATCACATAATTTTCCTTTCAATATTAATCAAAATTAAATTAGAATTGCAGACTATAAAGATAAAAACTGTTTCAATACACAAAATACTTACTTATTATATTTTTCTAGATTATTTTAGTGTAAATTACTTACTTATTGACAAGATCTTGTAGTTTGTGTTTTGGTTCGGGTTCAGCATCATTTCCGCATGAAAAAATATCGTTTGAATTGTAAATTCTAATTATTCTATCACCTGTATTAATCAGGAAACATCTGCAAGTGTTATATCTCATAACTATGCGTTTAAAATATATGTTTTGTAATGCATAATAAAACCAAAACATACTCTCCCCTCCTTGCAAACTCAATACTTTTGATTGCTGTTGCACTCTGAGCTACACGAAAAGACGCTTTCATTTCTAAACTCGGTACTGAAAAAACTAAGACTTTTCCTTTCGAATTGCCTGTGTAAATGTGCTGACCTCTTCTGTCAAATGATGCGACGATTGTTAAATCTGTCTGTTAAAATGAATGCAGAATCAATTATTACTTACATACAGATTGGAAATAAAATTTAAACTCACATCATCATCTAAAGGTACGAGTTGATGCTTTCCATTTAGATCTACTATTACTGCAGCATGGCGAAGTGGGCACACTAGAAACATTTTATCATTACGTGGGTGGTACTGGGCCTGTAAGTTAATACAATCATTATTAAAAATATATGATATCTAAAAGGGTTATTCTTCCTGGCTATAACAATTGGAAAAAAAAAAAAAAAAAAAAAAAAAAAAAAAAAAAACCCAATAGGAAATACAAAACTGCCATTACTAAATAAATTGTTTGTGTTAATTATTTTAACCAATTATCAACTTTTGTAGTATACTTTTTAGTATATTAATTTTCATCCAAAGTAGGTTGAGATGAAAAATTACTAAAATTTTCTAAACAAACAATATTTCACACGATAGCAAATTTGATAAGATTTTATTTTTTTAACAGCCGGCTTCTTGATAATCAAGTAAAATTTGGTGTTGGTATCAAACGGTTGAACATGGAAAAGGAAAGGAAGGGCCTGTCAAGAACAAACACCTCCCAAGAGAGAACTGAGCCAGCTCCGCCATTAGGACAGGTAAGTACTTTTTTACCTCTCTTATGATTATGGGCATTTTTTGTGGGATGTAGATAAAAACATTGCATTTATTATATTATGGACGTAATTATTTAAATATGTTTTTATTTTAATTATTAATTGTGCATTTACTCAACTAGGATAGAATACACGTAAATTGTTGAGATAATTATTCTTGAAGGGCCCCTGAGCAACAAATTAAATTTCAGCACAACTATTTAACAGAGAGCAAAATATGGGAACTGAAACTGACTTAGGTTTGAATTCAGGGCTGCTGGATTCGGCCTTAATCGTTGCGGCCACCGATACTTCCACTGACAATTGTTATATGAATTGTTTACAAAATACAATAAAAATGGTCGTTTCCAAACAAAACATAATAAACCTCAACTATGAACTCAAAATGGGAGTTTCACAGAACACCAGGCTTTCACACTTAATAGGCATGGTGGAAGAATAAAAAACAGTCATATTTGGTACATATACCAATAGATAACAAACCAAAATAGATATATTTTGAAGAAATATTTTTAAAGTTGAACAATATTTCTTTTTGGGTAAATAAATACACAAAACTTTTTGGACCACAACGAAATCCATTAACTTGATTTGCGAACCTGTTTTTTGAATTTCAAGTTATTCACTCTATATTCTACATTTATTTTATTTTTAATCCAAAACATGATTTTCTATGCATATTATTTTCTATAACATACTGCCAGCATTCAGAAATATCCCATTTTGTAAAAGTCTGATGATGAAATCTGTAAGTCCAATTTTCAGAACATTTTCAATCAAAATTTTAAGTGTTGTCTGAATGGAGAAACAAGTCAAAATCAGAAGGAACTAAGTCTGGACAGTATGGAGCATGAGCGTACTCGGCGATTTTACTCTGAGTGAATCCTGGTGATTGTCATGGTGAAACATGACATTACGTCTTTTCTCCAGAACTGGACGTTTTTCCTTCAATGCTGACTAAAGACACTAGCTCCACACAGTATAACTTTGTCATTAGGGTTTGGTCGCATGGTAACAGTTACCAACAAATTATTCCTCACCAAAGACAATAGGTCCTTACGAGGGTAAAAGGTTAATCCTGCTCTTGACATTGGTGTTTCATTCTTCTTGTAAATGGTCCTTCAGCATTTAAAATCTTTGCAAAGGACCCACTTCTCATCCCTAGTGACCAATAGGAAATAAACCATATCATTTATTTAGGCAAAGAGCTATGCGGTCTTCCTAGTTCCTGAGAGACAATTCTTGAGGGACCAATGAATCGTGTTTCACAATGTAATCCAGAGATAGGATCTTTTTTTCTATTGTAGTGTGATGTACCTGAAATCTCTCTGATAGCTATGCTACAGTTAATTTGTCCTCATCCTCCAAAGTCACTAATACGTTGTTGCTTTTAAGCTCATTAGGTTTTCCACTATGAGCCTGGTCTTTGATTTGTCTCTCCTCATTATAAAAAGGTTGGAACCTCTGTTGATCACAAGTTCTTTTACTTTGCTACTTTATTATTTTATCATTCCACATCAATATCGACAGGCATTTGTTCGTTTTAAGCAATGCCTCAAATGAATTTTATCTACTTCCATGTCGTACATGTTAAAATTTATTCTAGACTGACTTTTGTCTACTAGTCAGAATACAAATTACCCCTATCTTAACAATATTTTTCAATAAGGCCTTTCCAACCCTAGAGCTAACTAGTAATAAAAGATCACCTTTATATGGGTGAAAGTCTAAATAAAAAAATTTAAAAAAAGTATGAGCACCCCCAATATAAAACTATGTTAGAATAATGATAGACCTGTTGACCAGACATTGCCATCTGAAGAAAAAATTTTCAACTGAGAAATATTCAGAGATGAGATTATATATAAACAACTTATAACTCTGGTCTATGGTCAACTGGACTTTACCAAAAAGTGAACTACACATCTAGAGACTCTAAAAAGTAGCTGTACAATTATTCTTTATTCTTTTCTTCGACCAAGATTTATATTAAATTAATTAATTTCTGAAAACTGACCTTTAATATTGGCGAGGGAAACCTAAAACGTTCTTCACATTCACCGGATAAAACATCCCAAATGCAGACATTGTTATCTGTCGAGGCACTCAGCAATTTATGTCCATCTCGAGACCAACTACATTAACAAACAACATATAAATAATAATAATGTAAATTTAATCATTGAGAGTTATATTATGATAATAATTTAGGTTATTTCGTTTAAGAATTTGATTCTTGTACAAAATGGAGCTGGGTACAAAGTTTGGGTACACTTTGATTTTTACTCTGAGTGAATCCTGGTAAATTGTCATGGTGAAATTGTAAGTTACAATTTACAAATTATCCTTCTGTTTTTTGTTGAGGCAAAGCATTTTATTTTGTGCTTAATTTTAATTTTCAAGAGGCAAGCAAAGTTTATACAATAATGATAATATGTCTGCCAAGTTAAATAGGAATCTTAGCTTTACCTTTTCAACTCCATATGCATAACTAGGAGCCCAGATATCTCATCCATACAGCAGAGCTAACTTTTAACATCCCATTTTTTCAGATTTATAGAAAGGATGTATATTTAAAACTAAGTATTGTTACATTACTCTCTGTGACAAAGTAATACAATGTTTTTCTGAATTTTCCTGAGGATGAAAAAGAAACTCCCAAGTAAATAAAATTGCCTGAAACTGCCAGGACTTTATTGGTTGTTGTGTAAAGGTCTTTTCAGGGTGACTGATCCCAATTTCTGAAAAGGTGCAATGCTTCCCACCCACGACTAGACTATTCAAATCACAGCATTTTTGCATTAGATCCAGTTTGAATTGGGCATTCTTCCATGAATAGGCAATTATGGAAGAATTTAATTTTGCCTGACACAAAAAGTGAGAAAATCATAACTGAAGGTTTTTGAGTAAGTAAACCTTTCTTATGAAGACAATTTAATTAGTCCCAGCTATAAGGAATTTTTTTCTTGAAACCAAATTTCATAAGATTCATTTAAGACATACCAGGAGGCCGGTAAATATTTATAACATTTGTACAGGAGGATGTGAGTGGCTTTATTTTTTGAGGGATTGATTAACCGATGCTAAAAGAGATTTCTTCTATGCTGATTGTTAAAAGCTTGGGACAGTTAATCCAAGAAATGATTTGAGTGATTATCAGGTAAATGTTCACCAGATGAAGAAAACATCAAAACGTGCCTGGCATCACTATTCTTTATCCAATGGGCTTTTTGGTGATTTCTTCATCTGGTGACTATTTACCTGATCCTCACTCAAATTATTTCAATGGTTGATCTTCACACACAAAAGAAATGAGTTCTTATACCTTAAATATTTTTTCTTATAAAATTCTTCTTAAAGATCTAATTTCATGTTATGTCAATCTTTCTGTTCTCGCTGATTATGTAACCAAAGTTTGGGGCAGTTAATCCAAAAGAGATGAATTATTATTCATTAAATATTCTTTCTTGTAAAATTCTTCCCAAAGATCTAATTTGATGTTGTTATGTTGATGTTTGCTTCTTGAAAAATTAACGAAATTCCAGAACTCCCTCAGTTTTTGTTACATAGTCAAATTTTTCCTTTAAGTTTCATTGAATTATATTGTTATAAAACTTATTATTATAATTATGATAGTATGTGGAGCCATGATATAAAACAATATTATAATTATGAAAATATATGGAGCCTTGATGATGAAGGGAAGTTTTACTTTGACTTCCTCCGTTGGCCATCTACCTCAATTCGCATGCCTTCAAATTTCACGAACTTTAATTAAGAAAATTTGTCAACAAATGTTGAAGTTCGAAAACTATTGAAAACAAAATAAAACTAGTGTGTTTTAATTGATAAAAGTATCAAGGTTTGTATATTTTATAAAATAAATTTTTGGCTTACATATCAAGAAAAAAATGAGAAAGAGTTTTATGAATGTGTTTTATTGCATTGTTTTGCAGATAATTGATATTGTACCTGAGAGAACAGATCGGATGCATATGCGCTGGTATGATTTTTGCAATGCCCCTCGTTAGAAAGTCCCAAACGACTATCCTGCCATCGTTGCAGCCGACTGCGAGAAGGGTGCCACGCTTGTTGAAAGAGCATGTCACTGCCAAGGATATGCAGTCCAGGGTGCCATCGAACTCCTGTGTACAAATGACATGAGTGAACCGATTCAAAGGATCTTATCAATATAATCACCTCAGGGTAGTTCTGCCCAAAAGACTCTGGAAATTGACAAAAAAAAAGGTTAATTGATAAATAATTTCTATTTTCGATTATTGCTTACCTAATAGCTCCAAGTTCATTTTGTCAGTCCTATCATAACAGCCAAACAAAGTTTCGTTACGCCGGTTTTTTTGTCCTGTGATCCCACTTAAAACACACCTAAACTTCGTGGCATTTAAATTAATTTAAACTTCATTGGTAAACTTCAATATAAAATATTTTTGTTTTGTGTTCAAGGTTTAAAATTGCAGTCTATTTTTTCCTGCTTTGTTCTTTGTTGTTGTAGAAGCAGAGATGCACAAAGCCACAAACCGAACCTCTCTTTATTTACAGTGTACGCTAGCGCCGTAAAATCAGCAAAAGTAGCATCACAAAACTAGTATGTTAAAACGCCAATTTTCAAATAGCAACTTTGAAACGAACAAACTATCAAAATAATTAAACATTTCTTCAAGGAATTTCCGATACTTATGAAATCATTATGAATTCCTCAAAGTTTCTTCAGTTCTTTGCATCTGCTGAAATGACCGTTGTCCTTCCAATGCATTGGATGCTCACACAGCTACAATTATGTGTATTATTTACAGATGGGGAAACACCCCCGTTTTCCTTAAAAATTGGAACAGGTGGACCTTTACCCATGCACAAGGACTGTTTTATTTTAAGTGCCATGCCTACTTGCTCCCTGTACTCGCCAAGGTGGTAAGGCCGGTAAGGGCACTTGACCATGTGTAACACATTGAACAAGTTTTCTCTACGAGTAGGACAGCATTCCCAAATCCTCGGTCGTCCTTAAAAGGATCTTTAATGTCTGTACCTGGCTCATGGCCCTTACCAGACATTTTGATTCTCAAGATAAGAGATAACATACCTCCGCTCACGACTGAATATGTGTGCAAGCGTTGGTGTAGAGGCTTTCCCAGCCCTGAGGGGCCAAGACGAACCTCACTCCCCACTGGCCCATTCCAAGTGGTTGGGTCTGCATTAAGCATCAGACCATATGCCGCGGATAAAGGCTACCAAGGTGGATGAAATGCATCAGCCTGGTCTCCCTAGATAGAGAAGGCCACTCTACCTCCCAGAGTATTGGGGCTCCTCCAGCTCCATGAGTAGGACACATGTATCAAAAGCAGGTGTAAATTGGGTTTGACATCTCTTCACTGACGATCCGACCCTTTTAACACTGCCATTCTTTTATTGCGTTCTTTATTGCTCATACAATCACTGGGCTGTATCATGGTAGTTCTGTTTGGACTTTTGGAGGGGAAGACATCCCAACTTTCACCACCTGGCCTTGTTCATTGACCTCCAGCTCCATGTGTTCGAGTACCCAGATGCTTATCACTGTTTTTTCAAGGCGCTCTGACTTCAGCATATCTCTCTATTAATTACTATCTAATTAGAGCATGGCGAGGGGCTTCTCTGAGAATCTGTCGCTAAAAGTCACAATTGTGCTCATGTGGTAGGTACAGTAGAGATAGGCAAGCCTCTTTCGTCTCAAATCACCCTGAGCATGTGGCAAATAGCATAAAGCTCCACCACACACATAATGCAGGAGCGGTCAGGAAGTGGATGAGCCTTGGCTTATTGACAGATAGACCTTTGACAGATCTAGACCCATCCATGTAGACGAGGCAGTAAAACCCATGAACCCCGAGTGGCTCAGTAGAGGTGCGCTGGCGACCGGTGAACACGACCATGGTTAGCACTGCAAGATTGTCCTAAAAGAGTATGGCTGGGACGACCAAGATCAGCTGTTTTCCCAGCTCAAGTCTATCCCCAGTGTCAAACTGGCCCTTCCTAAGGCTCATAATTATTACATTAGTGAAAGACTATCAAAATGTAGATAAACAAAAATGTTTTCTTTAGTCCTAGCCCGGGTTTAGGATTTTTCATCAAAATTTTCTTTATTTTCATTGTGAGATCCTCATCACCACTCCTCATCCATATTTGAACATTTCAGGCAAAGTGTTTTTCCTTAAGAACAGCCCTTTCTCTGAACCTAATTATATTTGTTTTAACAACCTCCAATGCCAAGAACTTCGGAAGCCATTGCTTGTACATAATAATTAAATGTAATAGTTTGGCAAAAATTCCAACTCGCACAGCTTTTAAAAGGATGGGATATTGAAAACAATTGAACGAGATTTAATTATTTTATTAGTGAAAAACTATCAAAATGCTGGTAAATATAAATGTTGTTCTCTTTACTTACCAATAATAACAATAAAACAATTAATAAAATCCTAACACAAAATTATAAAGTTACTAAAATTAATTATTGCACTATATAAAACAAATATTTGTCTTATTTACACGTATTCAATTTATGAAAAACCTTCTGTTTTTGCATTTAATAAAACAATTCCACAATTTCCCCCTGATATTTTAAAAATTAACTTTGATTAATACAGTATTTTACATTATTATGGAATGTATCTATAGAGTATCAAAGGCACAAATTTGGTTTCTATAATTCAAGTAGGCTTGCATCTCAAACGGAAGAGATAACTCAACGGAGACATAGTTTATTTTTAAATAAGTGTCAGGATTGATAATAAATATTTGCTATGTAAATCTTGTTATGCTAAAATATCTGATGCGTTAAGCTATCACTTTTTCCGTATTGATTCTGAGCTGATGTACTCAAGTTTGATTGAAATGTGCACACTAAGTAAATAAACTGTCTAGTACAAGCTCTAAAAATGAGATATGTTTCATCGATCTTTACTTTAATATAAATATAAATCTATCATTTTACTCGTTAACAACCAACCTTGGTTAATAATTATTGTTTTTAAAACATATGCATTGGAACATTCATTCAGATTAACTATTAAAAACCTTAACTATTTGATTGAAATGTCTTTTATTGAAATTATTAATCATTTAAATTAAATTAAGGTACTATAGACCTATTATATTATGTAAATTTCAACAATGCAGTCTTCCTCAATAAATAAAACAGACAATCGTAATTTTAAAAAATATACTTTTACATACCTTCAATATATCAACAAATATGACACAATTTCATTTTTTAAATTTTTTTTATATACAAAAAACCAAAAAAAAAAAAAAAAAATTAATTTCATTCTATAAAATTCCAATAGTTTCATGTTATAAAAATTGTTTTCTCAAATAAAAAGAAATATTGTTCAAAAAGGTATTCCAGATAAATAAATTGTCCCGGAAAAGTCACGGAGATGTTCACCATGAGGGGTGTATTTCCTTGAAGGTCCACTGTTGGTAGGTGTTGTTCGGGTCACATGACATCAACGACAAAAGCTGAGATTCCGGGTTCACAGCTATGCATTTGCGCTTCTGCTGGTGGTAGATGTTTTTCGTCTTCTGAAAAAGGAAAGCAATGTTGACAAAACACTATCTTAATAATTGCCATTCCAATTATTCAGTACCTCGTCGTACTGCCAAGGGCCGTTGACAGTTCCTAACTTGCAGAAAACAAGCTTAATGCCGGTAGAATCAGCTTCAATGCACCTCTCTCCAATGCCCAGTTGGCCCTTTGAGTTCAACCTTACCAGCTGGAAAGAAGTATTATGGGTGTATACATATAAATATATGACTGCGTCTGGGGTATTTTTTTATTTGTGGGAACTGTGAATATAGACTTTACTTCAGATATTAGACTAGATTATATCTCATATTTGATTGAGAGATTATAAAGATAAATTACCTGGTTGTTCCCATGGCCATGGCAATATGATAGACCCATCAACGTGGGTGCAGGGTGACCCATTGTGTCCATGCAACTTTGTGTAGCCAAATTTCTTAACTGAAATATGTTAAAAGTTGTTAATGTAAGAGTTGTTTAACATTAAGCCATTAAAATTTGTACCTCTCCCCAGTGAATGTTTGGAGGAAGCTCAGGAAACTTTGATGGCATGTCATACGCTACATTGTCCATGAACCACTGAAAGCTCTTACAGTTCAGCCTTTTCTTGAGGGCCAACTGTTCTGAGATGTCTCCCATGTCGAGGAACCTTGCCAAAGGTTCCCTTGTATAAAAAAATTCTTTGTGCTTGTCATCAAACCACGTTTCAATAACACGTTTGTAATTCTAAAAAATAAAAAGTAATAAAATAAATAAATTAGTTTATAAATGATTAATTTGGTTTAGAATATTGAAAAACTCACGATAGTAATTAATGGGCCCTTCTTCTTTTTAGCAAGAGAGCCAAAATTATAAGGCATGAATCCTCGATAAACGTGACCTACTCTTGAACAAGGTACCCAGAGAATTCTTCCGCCACATTGCCATATCTACAAAAGGATAATGCAATAAAAATATTTAAAAAATTGTAAACATTACTTTAAAATTTTAAAACCTTACTTTGAAAGACAGTTCAAAGTTTTCTCCTCCCCAGACAAGAAGGCCAGGATCATAAGCTCCAAGCTCTAAGAAGTACTCTCGATCCATGGCGAACAGACCACCAGCATGAGTCGGGGAGCTGTACAATTGTCAATTAAAAATCGATACTTATCAATCATTCTTTAAAAAATCCTTACAAGTACGGTTCGCTGTGATGAGCTCTTGCAAAGATCTCCTTCGCCGGCAGGTCATTTTCTTTGTACAGCATCCCCCATTCGAATATCCCACGAAAATGGTGGCCTTCCTGATATACAGTTCTGTATTCAAAAGTCTGATAGTCGATGCCATCAATGACAGGTACTGTCATGGTCTTTCTGTCGTAGGCAATCGGGGCAAGCAGTGGTGGAAGCCAATTGATGTTCACCTCACAATGAGCATCCAGGAATACAATGACTTTCCCTCGAGCTTCCACAGCACCCCTAGACCTTGTTCTTATCAGCCCTTCACGTTCCTTATTTCTTATCAGTCTCACTTTACCGTTGAGTTCTTCTATTGTATTTTCCAATTTGGATTTTAAATCCTCTGGGAAAAAAAGAAAACATTTTTTTTGATAGAAAGTTACCGAAATCACAATAAATAAATATTGAATTTATTTTCAATTAATTAATCTTTAAGTAAGGTATCGGTCGAGATAAAGAAGTCAGTGCCATGAGCAGGATTCGAACCCACGACCTTCGGCTAAATACACTGCTGCTCTACCACATGAGCTATCGTGACTTCAATCTGCTCGGACACCAACTTCCCATCTCAACCTCACCTTTTTGAATTTTCCCTCCTTTTTGCCATTTTTATCTCGACCAATACCTTACTTAAAGATTAATTACTTGAAAAGAATTTAATTGGTCAATCAGACCACGAAACCTAATCGATTGAATTTATTTGTACATTAAACCCAAGGGGACCATGAGCCCAAGTTATCAGGGTGCCTGATTTGTATTTTACACATTAGTGGTTCTGGGTTTACATCATTGAACTTTTATTTTAAAACAATTTGACAAAAAATAAATTTTTTTATGGTTCTGACACCCCCCCCCCAGTCTTTGTACCCAATTGGACATGAACACCTCCTGTATTACAGGAAATGCTGTTTTCTTAAACTGAGATTTTTTTTAAAGGCTGTTATGCAAACGTAGTAAGAATCAAAATAGGTCAGGTGATATAAGATTAGTTTAAACTTATCTAATCTAAAGTTGAATAATACCTTTGTCACTGTAATCGTCTACTAAAAGTACTTCTTCTAAAAACTCTGGTGGTGTCCTTTTCAGGACCGAAGTCACTGTGCGCATAAGCACTGAAAATCCTTCATTATGGAAGACAATCACAACTGAAGTTTTAGGAAGACTTTCAGGATAATTCCAATGCTTGCACCTAAAAGTAAAAAGAAAAAAATGAGTGACTAATAATTTAAAAGAAAAAAGTTTAAAAATTAAGATATTAACTCTGGAAGTCGTAGATCTGGTATAGTTCGGTCAAGGGCAATTTCATCCGAACAGGCGATGTTCATGCCATAATCAGACAATGAGGCCTTAGCATCATTTTCTTGATCTGAACGTAGTTTGTGTGGTTTCCCACCTTCACCTGGGCCATTTCGTTTGAGGATGTCGGTCGGCTCGAAATTTCCCATGCCATCTACAATATAAGGAAGCTGAAAAAACAAAATACAAATCTTTGAATATATATGAAAAAATGTATGACAGTTATTAATTCATGTTAAATAGGAAGTATTTTTTTAAAAAATGAATTTAGTACAACTTTGTTTCAATTTGATTGTTTTTTAATGAGTGAATTAAATTTCGCTTGATCTGTTTAATCTTCCAGGGCATATCAATTAGATGAACATATCAAAAAAGAAATAAAAAGCAATACATTCCCTTCGTAATATAAATCAGGGTATATAGGTTTCCTCTTAAGTTCAAATAAAAATTTGATTTATCTTAATAATTTCTATGTTTAAATATAAAGTTATTAAAAATTCTGTCTTACAGTGTTAAATGATACATATCTGATTGGGTCGTGCTGGTAGTAATAGTTTTGTATGAGCATTTCAATAATGTACTTTTCAAAGCTAGCAGGGCGTTTCATAAGCGAGACTGATCTAATGATTCGATTGCTTAATAACATTTTGTATAAAAATATAACTTCTTCGTTTTCAAACCAAGTTGTATTCCCTGATTCAAAATTAACAATTATTTTTTGAATTTCATTTAATATTCTTTTCTGAAAAAAACAACAACAAATAATATAAAATTGAATGAATAGCAAAGCAAATGTTTATAAGAATATATAATTAATTGACACTGTGTTCTTATTTATCGTTTTAAAGCTAAATATGATGTGGTGAATTAAAATGAAGGCTTTTTAAAAATTACTGTGAATTATTATTTGTTTTATACTTAACAGCATTACAAACACATTCTTAAACCATCTTAAAAATATAGGGTAGGATTGTTTCATGTTATGCCTTATGTATAAAACAACTGTCTGAAAGTTATTATAAATGTAGAAATCCTAATTCTCCACAATTAACTATAAAAAATTGCCTATACTTTCTCGAGCAGTTCTAGTGCAGGTTTAGAAATAAACATTTTTAAGAATCTGTAGTTAGAACATTTCTAGACATTCTGGTCTAACAATCCTTACTTTTTGATCTGTCAGCCATGCTTTGGCATTAGACTAATGTCATAGATGGGTTCCTGTAGTGGTTGGTCTTTATGTTTTCTACACAAGGCTTATTTGTGGGTTTATCAAGTAACCTGTGAGTATGTAAAAATGTCAAGAGACCCAAGCAGCGAGGACAGATAGGTCAGGAAAATCAGAAAATTCAACACCACATTCTCCTCAAGGAGAAATCTAATAATGAAATATTGTGTTGAGGTCTACAAGGTGATAAACCTATAAAATGATAAACATCAGATCATCCTGTCCTGCCTATTCTTTCTGATTTTGTATGTCAGGCATATTTCATCAGTTCACCGTTTTCTGTGGTGCCCTCTTTTTCCCAGCTTATAACCCTGTCCCAACGCTTAGACAATAAAATGTTTCTGAAGGGCAATATAGGTGAGACTATGAGGACCACGATGATTGTAAACAACCAAACTACAGATTCATAACCCGAAGGCTTCAGGAATAAATTGTGCAATGAAATATGGTTTCAGTTGATGCTAGGTGTAGGTCTGTAAGTCAGTGAACTTATGCTGAACTGGGGTTTATGTTTGTTCCTCTCTGAAGATGGCACAATGCTGAAATGTGTTTGAGTGATTCAACAAACATAACAAACCATAAGTGGCCCCAGTGCCAATTCAGTATGAGTTTTTGAGGTTTGCAAGCCTGATAATATGAGCACTTGATCCAACTTCTCCCACTGTTGCAGTCTGTCAGACAAGTTTTGACACAGTGACAGCTTCAGAAATGTCTTTCTCCTCAGAATACAACCCTGAGATCACCAAACCTGTGAGACAAATGAACCAGAAGGATAGGCAGACCAGCAAACAAACTACAAGCTCATCACTCCGCAAAATACAATGAGGTGGTCATAATTCTTAAAGAATACTAGTAATAAAAATCCTCACCCTATTAATAATAGGCCATGTGAGGTTGACACACGGACACGTTTGGGCCAAAGCCTGCTTATGTGTCTGGCATGCAGAGAAAGGTTACTCAAAGGGTACTACATGAAGCTTGTGCAAGCATACACTTGGCTCCTTGTAGTGAGCATGTTGGTATGCTGCTCTCTTTAAAAATGGCTTTTGGGCACAGTAGCGATTTTCTGGTCCCCTGTTTTGCTTTTTTGTAAGAATTTTTTTTAAAAAATTGTATAGTGTTTTTTGTGGTTGAATATTTATAAAAGTTCCCCATCAAACCTAATTTAGATTAGTTGAGTATTATTGTGTGTAGGTCGATGAAGGAAGATCAAGTACTCCAACTAATTAGAATGAGTGCAATGTACATAAGTGTGACTGTATTATAAAAGTTAGTTTTGGCTAGATTATAGTTGGGGGATGTAATGAAAGCCCCTGTTGGTTGGGAAGCGATTATCTTCTGGGCATCTAGTTTCTGGGGGATACTTGTGACCTAGCCGCATAACGTGGCAGGTGAACTCCCCTGAGATATACACCCTAGAGTCGTCACATCGGGAGTGACAACCTATCAGGATGAAAGTCCTGATAGGTTTTTTAGCCACTTTAAGAGTTCGTTAAATAAAAAAGCGAAGAAATGGTCCACAACTGGCCAAGAAATTTACATAAATACATGTTCTGCGTTTTGCGCCCGTGCCTCGACGTATTGGGCAAACTTTCTCATATTCACCTGCACTTGCTTCTTGAGCTCCTCGAACCTGGGGGACACCGTTTTCCGATTGGACTTGAGGTAGAGGATGTACAAGAGCGGGACGAGCATCGTGACGAGGACGGCGATTTTAAAAACCCGATTCTTCTTGAATTGTATCACCCTCATTTTCGTTGAATCATTTGACGCATTAAAAAGTCGAAAATCCCTCGAGGTAACTCGGCGACGATACGAGAAAGCACAGGAGTCGGTAAGAGGTCGTATTACCTTCGAAAGATAACCATGACTGCAACCTCCCAGGACTAGTTTGACAGCCGAGACACGTGTCAGAGTGAGCGACAGTTCTTCTAGGCTTCTACTAAAGCCGTTATTTTCCACATAAACTTTTTTTATAAGAAAAATCAATCTAATTTAGCCCTTTTGAAAACCTTCAGTGTTCAATTAGATCTTTTAAAATTTTAAAAACTAATAAAATTGTGTAAGAAAATAAAAAACTCAATGGAGGGTGATGGACGATAGTCCGTCGAGGACAGCCATCACCCTTTGCAGTTTGCCTTTGCCCAATAAAGGGGGCCCCAGACGGTCAATCATTTTGATCAAAGGGTTGAGTCAATCGACTGACGCGCGCTTCAATCGACCCTCAATCTTTTGTTCAAACCTCATTTTGCCCTGGTACATAGTAATGTTCTTTTTTATGCGAGACTTCAGTTGAGAGCTTAAATTAAAATTTTCGCGGCTGAAACAACATTTTCAAATACAGATATTGGCTTCCTCGCCTTGACTTTATCAATCCTGTTAAAGAAGTAGTACAAGAAGAGGAAAGGACGGTGGTCAAAGGAGTGGTATAAATTGAGAAACCACTTCACTTACGAACAACGTTCAATCAACGTTTTACGTAAAACGGAACCAGAAGACTACAGAAACTTTCTCAGAATGAACCAAGAAAATTTCGACTGACGGAAAGATTGATCAAAACCCTCGTAGACGGTCAAGCGTCTTCTTCAAGCACTCCCGTCAATCAAACTTTCCATTATTCATCGTCAATGCTTGAATCAAGCGTCAAACAGGCTTCTACATGGTCAATCACGCTTGAAAGTTTGATTGACGGGAGTGCTTGAAGAAGACGCTTGACCGCTATTCAGCTCCAGCTTTTGATCAAGCAGTTTGACCGTCTAGGGGCACTTACACCGGATAATTTATATGCCTTGACCTCTATTTTCGAAATTACATAAGGAAGAGGTGGGAAAGTGCGAGGAGTGCGGAGTCGGCGCGAGGGGCGGATATTGATCTCGTCCGACAGATGACTTTCTGCTCCCTTTTCGACCGTTTGAACCTTCGGTTGAAGTACGGCACTGGCACCGGGCCTCGCCCACCCCTAGCTCATTCAGGTATCCGCCGTTTTCTCTCGTACCGACAAAGGCCCATGTTCTCGTGATCCTGGTGTCCAAACAGCAGCTACGTTGTCCAAGGTGTTTCCAAGTCCGGGGACAGCCCAGAGTGTCTGGAGTTCGGAGCCAGGCACGGGGCAATCCTGCAACATGGTCTCGGGCCCAGTCACCACCGACCACAAAGACATCAACATCACGGCGCTGCCTTTTTCAGAGAGCACGGAATTCAACGTCGGTCACACCTACAAGTCGGTCTTCGATTTGGTGAGAAATGGGTAAGCAGATGGTTCGTCCTCAAACTCCTGAACACAATTGCAGAATTTTGTTTTCTGAAGATCCTCAGTCCACCAGACCAACTCTACTCTAGAGACGTAGTTCAGAGAAATGCTCGGTCGTTTTTCATAATACACTGTCAGGCAAAAAATCCACCTCTTTTAATATAACTTGATTTGTATATATTTTAATATATAACCAAACTTTCATGTTTTTTTAACGTTTAGTAATTGAGTTTTTCTCTAAAAAAGTTAAAAAAATGTAAATTGCTAAGGAAAAAAATACGGACAGATAAATTTTGTTTTAGATTTTACATTTCAATATCGCGTATTTTCTCCTCTTACATTGCATCTCGAAGACGCCTCGGCATACTTTCTACCAGTCTGGAAATGTCTCTTTGCTGGAGGTTAGCCCATTCTTCTCGAAGAGTCCTTTCAAGATCGTGGCGTGTATCAGGAAGTGATGAACGTGCTCTTATTCGTCTTTTGTGGTTATCCCGTAAATGTTCGATGGGGTTCAAGTCTGGAGAACGGGCTGGTCAGCCTAAGACTCTGATGTTATGTTGTTGAAGGTACGTTTGTGCTATGCCAGCGACATTTGGACGGGCATTATCGTGCATTAGAGTACGATTGGCGCCGATTTCATCGAGGATAGGCAACGAATGATGTTCCCCATAGCGAGTGGCCTTTAAAGTCCCTCCACGAACAATAACCAACTCTGTTTGACATTCCATTGAAATTCCCGCCCACACGTTGAACAGCTACGTTGAAAAGGTTGGCTGTAGGAAAAAGGCTTCGTACCTTTCATTTTGCCTCCTCTACACTCTTTCACGACCATCTGTAGATCTTAGAGCAAATCTACACTCATCTGTAAAAAGTACAGCAGTCCAATCGTCCAAAGACCAATGGCAAACCAAAATTAGACGGCTAGTTCGAACCAATAGAAAACAACAAGCTAACTGAACTGAACTCAATGCATACAAACCTATCAATAATTTTAAAAACAGCACAACAACAGGATAAATATTCTTGATCGAACTGTTGAAAAAAAAAAATACCATACTCTTAATGCGACTTATACAGAAAACTAATTCGAACCCGACATACTTATTCGGTATGTATATTGTTTTTTCAAAAACACCGTCACCCTGAGGGACAGATCTGTGATATGACAGATCCAAATCGATACAACATACTGCTGAAAACTATAAGAATTGCATACAATAAAACAATCATTTGATGTACAAAACAACATTTCATAAACTTAAATGGACCATATTCACCTAAATAGGATAAGAAACGTTCAAACTATTTAATAAATTATGCAGACGAACATTAAGGATATAAAACATATGCAAGAACGCACTAAACAAAAACGGTATATGTAAAAAATAAGCAGAAAGACGAACAAATCAAAAAACAGATTTAATCATTCAAAACCTCTTACAGATAAAGACAACACCGAAATCACCTTTCACATTTCAGTCGAACATTGAAAAATGATCCTACTATAAAGGAGAGCGCACTAACCCATCATTGATAACCAAAACAACGTGACAAGACAGACAAAACCTTCGAAACGACCAAGGAAGCAGGTTAATTTCGCAGACTCAAGAGAAAATCTCAAGTTTACAGTAATATGTAAAGAAGACTGGCAGATTGAGAAGATAGATATAATCAAAAACATAAACAAAAGCAATTCGGTTTATTTTTTCAGATAATTCCATCTATATAAAATGCCATGCATCAATTAAATTCTATGAAGCCCTGAATGAAATAAAACAAACGAAAGTTTGAAAAAAATCCAATTTCCTGCTTTAGGTGCCACATCGGCCTTATTTGATCAGGTTTCTTTTCGGTATCCCTAAAACCAAATTTAATGAGATTTTGCATACTCGTTTTTTAATGCTTGTTCATGATTTATTCCATTCGAATTTTGAAAATGGGACGTAAATGATAAAGCCAGACAAGCTTCGGTGTATTAAACCTCACTAAAGGCAACAAACACCATATACAAGAACCTATTAGACAAAATCGTTGTGTATACAAAATAAATCAGACAGACTAGAATAAAAAACTAATCCTTCAAAACCTTCTACAGAAAAAGAGAAAAGTTCCCGGGTTCAAAGGGAACACTGAAAAATTCCCCTTTCACGACTGTAAATCAGAGCGCATTCACCCAACATTGATAATTACCAAAACGCGTCTGACAGACCGAAACCATCGAAACCACCAAGGCAACAGGACGAAACCATCCACTCGGTAGGCCTCAAGAGAAAATCTCAAAATTAATTGTCATAGGTAAGAAGTGGACTTGTTCGTCTAACAAAAACAAATAACATTATTTTCTAGATAATCATCATCTGTATAAAATTCATTGTATTTATTAAATTCTATGAAGCACTAATGATGAAATAAAACAATCGAAAGGTCGACAGTAATGCAATTTCCTGCTTCCACCACCTCATCCATATCTGATTTCGCACCCTTCGATACATTTAGCTCAGAACGTTCTGATCAAATTTAATGGTAAAAACTAAAGACAACAAACTACAGGTAAAATTCAGTTACAAAACATCTACAAATAGATCACACTAGACAAAACACAAACAAGACAAATATATGAAATACGTACAGACTAAAAAAAACAACAAAAAACAACACAGATTTAATCCATCAAAATCTCCCACAGACTTCTACATCACTCACATTTCAGGACGTACATTTAAAAATGACCCGATGAAAGAAAACCACTCTTAGCCACCACTGATGATAGCAAAAATGACCAAGAAGACCAAAAAGATAGGAAACGTTTAAGCTACAGGTCCATCCGACGATCACCCGCAGACCTCCAGAGGAAATCTCAAAATATTTAGTACATAATATGTAGAGAAAACTGGAAGGTTGAGAAGATTGATCAAACAAAAGCATGTAGCTTAATTTTTCAGATAATAGCCATCTGCGTAAAATTCAATGCACCAGTTAAAGTCTCTGACGCCCTGATGATGAAACAAACTAACCGAAAGTTGTTCAGTATTTTCCTATTTCAAGGGTGTCACCACCTCGACCAAATCTGATTTGGCATATTTTCGGAGCCTTTATCTTCAAAACCCCTCGAACAAATTTAATGAAATTACATGAGTTGAAAGTTACAAATTATGAGTAAATTAGGCTAGCAACTTTATCTAGGTTATTTTTAGCTCTACTGAGAAAAAGGGTCAACTGCATTTATGCAGTGGATTTCGTGTTTCGGCTTGAAAAGAGGAACGTTTCCCTACCACGCAAACTTCCAAGATAAAGAACTAGCACAAGACGTTTTATTTCAGTATAAAACGTCTGATCTTTTTTTTGTATTACCTGAATTACGAATTGAATATTTTTTTAATGAGCAGGATGTTGCCTATTGTTTTTTCTAACTTTGCCGTTTTATTTATAATATTTGCATCGGTGCACAGATTGATTTTAACACCGAAATAATCAATTTGCCGGTCCACATACCATAAATCAATAAACGTTTTAATGTTATTATTTTTGATTAATAATTTAATTGATGCAATACATTTTAAGTCGTAAGTACTATTGTGAATATTAATTACAAATTTGCCTACATCATTCAAACTTCCACCAACGGACACATTTTAATATACGTCGTAAATGAAAGGTTTAACCAAAATAAAATTGAAAGTTCTACATCTACTGATTACTGATCTATAAAAGCTCAAATTTTAACACGCAGATACACAATTGGGGTTTCCTTAGGCAGATGACAATTGATGCCACAACTCAAAAGTACAATTTTACTAAAAAGTACGCAGTACCGATAAAAGAATGTGAAGAATGGGCCAAAGGAACACCGCTAAGGCAAACTCCGACTGGAATACTGACGGCTCTAAAACCGACAATTGACCATGTTACGTCAGATTTTATTTTGGAACGTTTGGACAATTTTAATATTGCTATGTTTGTACACCCCATAGTTGAAACCATATGTCCACATAGGCTTTAGAATTTATTTGTACAAGTACCGACAAGGGCACAGAAGCCGGAGTATTCGGGATGAACCCAAAGGCGAACTGACGGTAAACCTAGGTACAGTTTTCCAGTCTGAAATTATAGCGATTGAACAATGCGCCAGAGAAATAAAAAGGCTAAGACGATAGCCATTTTCTCTGACAGCCAGGCAACACTTAGGGCCCTAGCCTCATGCGAGGCGAAGGCAAAGAACTGCATGGAGGACCTGACGGAAGTCAGTGCTAATGACCTGACCCTGGCAGGGGTCCTTGGACATTTGGGGCATAGAGGCAACGGAAAGTTTGACTATGGCCAAAAAGGACTCTCTGGGTCCTGAAACCTATAGTGGCCTAGCAACTATCTACATCTTAAAATGGATCCTTAATGAGTCCAAAACCTGGTGGAATAATACCACAGGTATGAGGCACACGAAGAGATTCATAGAAGGACCATCCGCAAAACTTATAAAGGAATTACTGGAAGACAACTGCAACCGAACTAGGATTATATTTGGACTCAGACAGGGCACTGCCACTTAAGAAAGCACATGCACCGGATATGAGTACAGATAGAAGAAACCTGTGCAGATACTGCCAGGAAAAGGAGGACACCGCAGAATACATTCTATGTTTCTGTGAAGCTCTATGTAGGTGCAGGTTCTTGCAACTAGGATTAAAAAAAAAAAAAAAGAAGCAATATCTTACAATAAGGAGCCGCTGGCAAAGCTGTGGAGGCTGATTAATAACCTGAAGCTGGCCAGTGAGTTATACACGGCTATTCAGGTCGAAGTTCAGTAGGCCTTGTGGCAGCCTCTTTTATCACTATCCCCTATCCCCTGAGGTTCCCTTAAATTTTTGCGCAAATTCCAAAACAAACATTAATTTTTTTCGAAGTCACATCGTTGCCTTTTTTATTTCAAATTTTTTTCTCAAACAGATTTTTTTCTGAGAAGAATGAGTATATTAGCTTTGCAACACCTTCAAAATTGATTGCTCTAGGATTTTTTGACGATGCGAAAAATGCATGTGTAGACTTATAGACTTATATCCCAGGGTTTATTTCAAAATCTTTAGCCCACACTAATTTTTATGCCTTTGATGATGTGAACATCTATGTCCTCCAAGAACTTGAGGGGATAAAATCTTGATATAGTTTTCTCAGAAACTGCATGATATTTTTTATGTCATCAATCCAGAATTTTATTTAAAAAATATCTTTCTGCCTGCCAGGAGCTAGAACGGTTGGTCTTGCTTTAAACATACAATATGACGAAAGTCAAAACGCGCAACGCGAGACTATACGAACCTGGATGGAATCATCAAAGTGTTACTGTACGCTTTAATAAAAATTAGGCCTCAGCGAGCACGTTTATTTCACGGCGTCGCTCTATGTTAAACCCGCGTGACCGGTATGAATTTCTGGACGTATTCCCCTTTCTATGCATTTATCTCATTCAAAGCACAACCGGTAATATTTTTTTCAATCCTTACCGGACAAATAATTTGGGTAATTCTCTGTCATCCTAATGATCCACAAATCCAAAAGACTGACGGATCACTTCACTTCTTCTCGAAAGAGCTCTCCTTACTAAACTAAAAACTACCTAAACCCCCTTAATTCCTGATTATAAGGTAGGCATCCGTCTCTTTACCTCCACTAAACACCAAACCATCGAGTTGAGGACATCACTGTTACCACTCGTGAATTGAAGCCGTACTTTGTTAGTCTTCCCAAGGGTTTGTCAGTCCCCGACTAAACAATTTTAATATTGCCGAAAAGGAAATATTAACAGGGGAAAAAAATATGATGTCGCCTTATGGAATCAAATTAAAAATCTATATTTATTCAATGTAAGAAACAAAAATTAAAAATGCCTTTTGTCCAAAAATAAAAAAAAAATCCTTTTTTATAGGGAAATAACCAAAATTCAACTTAGGTAAATTAAATTAATAGTTCAAATCAATATAAACACTATTACAAATACAATTTAAAGAAAACGGAGCGTACACACTCAAAAATGAAGTAAGGATGTAGTATTTGATTAAAATAAAGAAACAGGCTCACCGATGTCGTCTCCAGCGACTCCAGCCACTTAATGCCTTTCTCCTTCCTTTCTACATCACGCCGAGGAAGAAAGTCCCGAGAGTTTTTTGTATACAAAATAAGCAAACTTTATGAAATAATTATTCGGAGATCGTGAGATGCGTTCTGGTGTGACGTAGGTTATAGAAAAACATTTTTTTTATCGCGCCAACGTTTCGATCTTTATTGAAATCATCTTCAGGGCTCAAAGTGTTTTTTTCTGCGTAATTGTGTCATTCTTGTGTGTCGTGTTGAGAGTGCCCGTTTATGAAATAATTAATTTGCAATCTTAAAACTTACCAAACAACAACTCACTCATTTGACTGGCTATATCATCTGGGCCGGCTTGGAAACTTAAACGAATGCTTCCTTCTACCTTTGAGTTCATTCTCAATTTTTACTTATCCATTCATTTAATGTAAGCCCAATTGCATTTATGATGTTCTTCAAGGAAGTATTTTTCTCTTTTATAAGCTGAACTGAACCATTATATTTGGTATAATTTATCTTAGACACCTTCACAGCTTGCAACCATGGTTTCGTGCTTGGAGAAGGAAAATCAATGAAAAAATTCCACCATAGTCTTAACCTTAAAAAGAGAAGACCTTCCAGTCTACTACCTCAATCATACAAAATCTCTGTGATTCTACGAGGCGATACTTTGTAGTTTGATAGTTTTCGGTTATTTTGACTATGTGCATGTGCACTTGTTTGGCACTAGAATGATCGGGAACGACCAAACTCCTATATTTTTGTAACACGACAATCCACATGCACTCTTAGGGTGGTATATACTCAGAAAACGATTAAACCGGAATCACATTCGACTAAAACATCTAGACTGTATGCACAGATGATGATCAAATATACATTAGGCAGCAGTTCTATATTAAAGTTACAAGGTCTAGAACGGGGACAGCAATGGACTCTAGCCCCTATCGCATCCAGTCTTTCCAATCCAAGATGTTCTATTCGTTTATTAAACGTCCTCTTTTGCGTAAGAAATCCCACCATTCACATAAACTTATACATTATCTATATCCTACATCATCTTCCCAACGAAAAACGATTGAAACCGAGTGAACAGCTAGTATTCCGGAGATGACTGTCCTGAGCCCAATAAGCACTGTCGTTTAAGCCATTCACGCCATATAATTTCTTGTAGGTCTCTTCCTTTTTATTTATTTTTTATATATGTACTAAATGCAAAAGAGACCAAAAAATTTATGCACATAGTACATGTCGGGTATTATTTTAAACTGAAAATATTGTAATTTCAAAATCACTGGTTTTGTTTCCAGGGCGGTGTCTGATATCGAGTGTTTGGTCGAGAAATTAGGGGCGGAATCTCTGAGCTCACGCGACGAGTGGGGCTACACGCCAGCACATTGGGCGGCTCTCGACGGAAATGTGGAGGTAATTTATGCCCTTGCGTTTTAATTGTTGATCCATTTAATACTGTAAGAAAACGACTGTGACATGATGAATATCATGAGTTAAGGTCGAGTGAAACTTTGACCCGACGAGTTCGATCCAAGGCTCGACACGACCAACCCGGCGTTCGTGTCTGAGACATTACATGAATATTTCGCGTTAAACATGTTCTACATACATGTCTACATATAGTTCAAAGGGTAATCATCGACCCAATAATCACAGTATTTCTAAAGGTGAACGAGTTGTTAATAAGCATAGTCGACTCAAAGCAGAGAAGAAAACTAATCTCTACATAAAAAATGTAATTAATTTTATCATTGTATAACCTACAAATTATTGTACAAATATTTGACTGTGTCCTTGTTGTGTGGGCTTTTTTACATACCAGAGGCCAGTATAGAGTCCTATCGCATGTCTTTCCTGTATTAGATCTAGTATGGGTCAGGGGCTGGTATTTACGGAATTAAACCAAAGACTTTCACATACGCCTTGGGCAACATGACACTGCTTTTCAGTCGTCTGCGGCTATTGAACACTGTGCCCAAGAGATCAAAAGGCTGGGTATTACCAACAAAAGAATAACCATCTACTCGGGCAGCAAGGCGGCACTAAAGGCGACTACCTCACAGGTAGTAAAGTTCAGAGCCGTTTGGGATTGCATCAAGAACCTGTCAGACATTGGGCATACCAATAAAATTACCCTTGTTTTGGTACCTGAGCAACAGGACAGAGGAAGCTATGGGAAGTTTGATGAGGACTGCTAATGGCTCAGAATCCCTCTGTGATTGGTACGTCATTGCCAAAAACATTGATTCATCGGACAAGGATTTAAGTCCTCGGCTCAACGGTATTGTACTGCAGGGCAGGGGCCATGTGAAAAAGTTGGTTAAAGTATCTTTTCAGAAATTAACGGTCGAACTACCTAACCTGGAACGTATTAGGACTAGAATGATAGTAGGACTGCTGACTGAAACTGCAGACTCCGGAGGTATAGGATATGTATAGACTCGGAGCAGCAAAAACAAACCTGTGCAGATATTGCCGGGAAGAAGAAAAAACAGAGTATGTCCTTTATTGGAGTGAAGGTCTATAATTCAGCAGAAATTCCTCCTCCTGTGAGAGGAAAGCCTGGGCCTTTTCTTATACACACAGGAGTCCTTAAGAAAGCGTTAATATCAGATAAAAATGTTAAGCTTAAAGAGGAGCTCTAGATAATAATGGAGATTACATAATAGACCAATAATGGTACTCATACGCAAGGTCGTAAAGAGGACTTACCGTGGTCTAATTGTATGATATGTAGCTAAAAATGAATTAAGTATGGCTAGTAGTAAGGTTACTTTGGTAGTAGTAGGGAATTAAGGTATCCATATACTAACAGACCAGTGATTAAATGCAGATAAGCCTGGACACGCATCTAAATCTTGTAGTCGGCATGTTTCTATCATTGCCCGAGTTCTTTAGGTGGCACTTAAGAGGGCAGTGTCCGGTACCTTCCTCAAATCGTGCTGAGTTTCGTTGCTTTCCTTTTTGAGGGATTTTTAAATCTCTTAGCTTGCCTCATACCTGGTGATTTTGTTCAGTCCTCAAGCCATTTTTCAGTTCCAACAGTAAGCACACACTCCGGTGCACGTAGTTGTGGTTCTGGTCTCTTGGGTGAGAGGGCTGTCCCCATTTTTTGTCTAGTTGGTCAGCCTGTTCATTTCCTTCTACACCTTCACGTCTTGGAACCCATTTTAAGGTTAGTTTAAGGTGTTATGTTTTCCTAGAACCATTCGGCAATTTTGGCACTTCCAGACAAGTTTGGAGTTGAAGGCATTTAGTGCATTTATAGCTGTCAAATCATCTGCGCGTATGTAAATTAGTGCACCTTTTATATTTTATTTTATTAACTCCTGTGCGCAGAGTTCTATTACATGAACTTCAAGTTGGAAAATTGTTGGGATTAGTCCAAGGGGATTTGCTAGGATATAGTTGGGCCCTTTTACCTCTACCTATTCCATGTTCCATCTATGTACCATATTTGTGCCCCTTCCTGAAACTTGGAGGTACTTTCCTTCTATTTGGAAGTGCTGTCAAAGTTGAGTGTTTCTCTCATTTTATCAGGTACCGTTACAGCCATCTCATTTATCTTATCTCTCTCCAAAATTTTGTGGTGGCTCCTCCTTAGTTTTGGCTTTATTTCCTTGCATCTCAGGAGTTTGTTGGCACTCTGAAATCCCATCATCACTTCAAAAGAACATAAACATGTAAAAGTCGAGTAGTAGTACAGTTTCCATTACTATTGGGACCGGCCTGCAATGCCCTTACATCAAGAAATGTTGGTCTTTGTGTGCTTTGTAGCTTGATCTGTGTCTTCTTGTTCAATGTTATTGGCCACCATACTAGAGCTCCATATGTGCCCAGGGGTTTGACCATTGTGGTGTATAATCAATACGCAATCCTGGGATTTTTATGCCCAGTTTATGCCGTATAATCTCTGGCCAATTGTTTGAAGAACCTTGGCTTTGTGCAGAATTTTGACTATATATTTTCTCCATTTGAGCCTTTGGTCAGGGGGTTATGCCTAGCTACATTCTTTTAGGAATGTTAAGGCTTCATCTTTTATAGTGGGTAGATTTACTTCCTTCATCTTGTACAACGTAATCTTCCTACAATAATTGTGCATCCGGTTTTACTGACATCGAATTTAGTTTTTATGATTGTTACCAGATGGGTAACTTATGGTATGATGCCCTAATTTTATTAATATAAATTTCAATTGCACGTATATCTCATCTTTTCTGATTTCGTCTATTATTTAATTTTTGTTATATAAGTTGGTAAAAAATCCAAAATTAAACATAATAATCAATTGATTCTCAATTTATAAGTATGCTTTAGTTACAACATCCTTGTTATTGTGTAATACGAAATCGATATCAATAAGACAATGATAGATAATAAAACGATATGTCTCGTTTCTGAATAAGCCCCCAAAAAGAGAGCTATGAAACAACAAACCGGCAAATAAAAGGAAAAAATATGTATATTTTATTTGTTAGTGAATTTTTGAAATTTATGGTCTTGTTCCAAAAAACGGACATTTTGTGGATGACAACTTATATTTGTAATATGACGTTGAGTGGCAGTTTTGCTCTTTAGCTTTTTTCGTATTTTGAAAAATACAACGGCAATTTATGTTTAATGTCTTATTTTTTTAGGTAATGCGTTATCTGGTCGAGAGGTCGGCCCCTGTCGACTTGCCATGCCTGGGCACCCAAGGACCGAGACCCATCCACTGGGCATGTCGAAAAGGGCACAGCGCGGTTGTTCAAGTTTTACTGCAGGTGATGATTGATAGTAGAAGTCATTTTGTTTTATAATTCAACTGTTGTTTTTCAGGCTGGTGTGGCTGTAAACGCGGCAGATTTCAAAGGTCTGACACCTCTCATGACCGCCGCGATGTTCGGAAGGGCGGCGACCGCGGCCTATCTCCTCGGGATGGAGGCCCTCAACCATTTGACAGACATAAACGGAGACAGCGCCCTTCATTGGGCGGCCTACAAAGGTTTGTTTATTTTTTTTGTCCATCTGTTCTATATAAAAACACCAATGGTTGTAGGACATCCCGACCTAATCAAGCTTCTCATGTACTCCGGAATAGACCTTCAGAAAGTGGACAACTTCGGTTCGACCCCTCTCCACCTCGCTTGCCTCTCCGGAAACGTGGACTGCGTTAAAATTTTATGTGAAAAGGTAGATAACGTGAGTAGTTTGAACTCCTCGATTTTCAGCCCCTTTCCGCTAAAAGCATTACCTAGTCAGCCCGCTCCGATTCGACTTTTTATGATTGTGTGTTTTCACGAGGTAGAGTAAAATAGACCTGGAGCCGAGAGACAAAAACGGAAAGACGCCTCTCATGCTGGCCAAAAGCCATCGCCACGATGATATCGTCCAAGTGCTCGTCGCCGAGAACAAAAGAAGATCCAGATGGATGCCACCAATTTCTGAAATATGGTACTTCAAGAACAATTTTAAGTAGTAAAACTTACTGATTCATAAATACATGTGTTTTTCTCCAGGGGTATACTCTTTGGTGGTGCAGGAGATTCGAAAGGCCCGCTCTTACTATTTATAGGCTCTGTGCTTTGTTGGGAATACCCTATGTACATTTTAAAGGTAAGAGGATTAAAAATTCCACAATTTATGTAGGGAACATATTCTCAAACAGAAGCGACTACGATCAAATTATTGAACTTCTCCAACTTACGGTTTTAAGTAGCAACAAAGAGTCTGACTTGAAAGCATTATAACTTAACATAATAATACAACAATATTTCTTATGCTTAACTAGGATCAATATGAAGACAGAGTAAATTGGCATTAACAAATAAACTTACTATTTACAAGAAATACGACATATAACCTCGTAATTGCATGAAATATCCTCGTTAAAACAAATAAATAATAAAATATCGGGATTTTCAGACTTGAACTCTGAGGTACCAACAGCAGTCTAATTCAGATTGCACAAAATTTAAAGTTCTTCACATCATCACCAACGCGCCTCCCTAGGTGTCCACCAGATTTGAATAAGTTAATAACTATCAAGTTAAAAAATTACTGTGTTTATAAAATTGTTTCAGTTTAGATATAACTCATGTTGAACTGACATTGGGAAACTTATTAGGTCCGTCTTCACTCGCCGGGCCGTTTTGTTGAACTTCTCAAACGAGTTTCCGGTAATGAGCCATCTTCAGCGTGGAACTCTTTATGCCATAATTTTCTGACTTAAGAAGTTTGACAATTTAATAAAGAAAAACATAAACATGGATGCAGTGAACTAGTTATTTGAAACACGTTTAATCACCCTATGCCTACAGTCATCGTAATGCAACAGCAAACCTTATATTTATAAAAAAGCCAAAAAAGCCTGCCGAGAATCCGTCAAGTTATAGACCCATTAGCCTGCTGAGTGCACTTAGTAAGATATTCGAAAAGTGCATTCAGCACCGTCTTAACCTCCACATTAATGCTAATAACATTATTATAGATGAGCAGCACGGTTTTAGACCGGGCCTCTCTACGGCCACCCAACTCACTCGCGTAGTAGATCATGTGACCAACATGTTCAACAACAAAAAACACACTGGGATGGTCCTCTTAGACATGGAGAGGGCCTTTGATTCGGTCTGACAGGACGGTATAGTATACAGGCTCATTGAAATGAATTTCCCTGGATACCTTATAAAAGTTGTCATGGCCTATTTAAAAAACCGTTCTTTCCGTGTTTCCCTAAACAATGAAACTTCTAGACCTTTCCCAATTGTCGCCGGAGTTTCCCAAGGTTCAATCCTAGGGCCATGTTTGTTTCTCCTTTTTATAAATCCACTCCCCTCACTGAGAAATTGCAAAATTGCGCTTTATGCGGATGACATAGCTGTCTATTGTTCATCCTGGAGGCTTAAGACAATTGTGAAAAGACTAAATGACAGCATCACCAGGATTTGCAGGTTTTGTCACCGCCGGAAACTTAGGATTAATGTCCCCAAAACTGAGGCCATATTCTTCACAAAACGACGACCAATATTTAGGGAAACCATTTCAATTCACGGACACAAAATCGAGTGGTGTGAAAGGATTGGGTTTAACTCTGGACCGAAAACTTAACTTCTCTAGACATATAAATGAAATATGTAGTTACAAAAGGTAAAATAGCTATAAAAGCCTTATTTCCGCTGATTGTTGTTGTTGTTTCCTCTAGAGCTGTGATACTATAAGACAATTTGAGATAATCCAATTACCCGTACTGCATTGTTCTTGTTATTCTCATTTATTTATTTATAATCTTGTTAACACATTTTTGTTAATTCAATTGCTAATTGTTATCCTATTTGATACCTAAAATTTTCCCACTATTTTTCTAGTTTGATTAATTAAAAATAACAACAAACTAGGACTAGGTGCGTTGATAGGCAAATTTTTGAAATAGGACGTAAAAGTGTCCCGCCACTTCCCCTGATTAACGAATGTATGTAGCATAATGTATAAGTATATTTTTTTTAAATAAATGTTTATTCATTCATTCATTCCAAGTCATTGTCGTTATGACTATTCAGAGTACATCATCGTTAATTTGTCACACAAAGACAAATGTCTCTCTTGTTTATAATATCCGATCCTTCGTATACTCCACATTGGATGGTATATGAAGAGGCGAATTTTTAAATGTTATACAGTTTTTAGGCGCAAAAACTTGTTTCTTCCAGGAGAAAGGACAGTAGCATTACCACTACCTTGCTACATATGTAAAGCTGGAAAGCTGGAATCTTTCGACAGAATAGATGAAAAAAAATTCATTGCTGCTTCTTCCTTCTTGACTATGTTCCTATTACGAGGCTTAGAAGTCAATTTTGAATTCAGTCCGGCGTACTTGATAATGCTAGACTAGGGCACGTCCCCAATGAAACACTGCATAAAAAGGGAAGTGAAAGTAGTTTCAGAAAATGGGAATTAGATAAGATAGGAAAGGTTAAATGTTTAAAGGTTCACAAGCTACATCTGGACTTAGTGAATTAAACTTGGGGTTCAAAGAACAATCTAACTTAAGATTATGTCCTTCGTACCTACGTACTCCAATAAAACACAGCAAACTTTAGTAGAATCCATACAACTGATTGAAAAAGTAGATGTTGTCAGATTGATATACTTATAAAGACCACTAGAAAATGAAATAAATTCACAATCCGATTAACCGATTCATCCAAGCATACTAACAACAGAATCTAATCAATTCAGTCCTTAATCCTTCGCATCATCATCAATGGTCCTACGACGTCTCCAATAAAACAGAGCTTAAAAGCTTTTTGTAAAAGTGTAGGTCTTATCCCGATTCGAAATTTTCAACTTTACTCCAGTGGATCTCTCGCTTTCATAACCAGAGATCCACTAAACACTACATGAAGACTGAAACTAAGAATGGCTGTAATTAACTACATTGAGAGGGTATAATTCTAAATTTAATATTTTAATAGTTTTAATTTTTCCATTAGAGTATACCAAGAACGTGGAATTTAATGCGTGGCACGCACTACTGTTTCATCTATTGGAACATCCTTATGTGGATTTCGTGGGTGGTGGCTAACAGGAGGAATCCTGGCTACATCCCGCAGAACTCCGAGTGCTACTACCGGGCGATAAAACAGGTATTATCCTCCTTAGCTCATCCAGATTATCCCATTGACCACTACCATTCCAGATACCGTATTATGACAAGCTGAAAAGGAGAGAGATCGTACTGTCGAGGTTGTGCCATTCGTGCCGCTGCCTCAGGCCGCTCAGAGCCAAACACTGCCGGATCTGCAACCGATGCGTTGCGTATTTCGACCACCACTGCCCTTTCATCCACAACTGCATCGGCGTCAGGAACAGGTAACGTCTGCCAAGCAGGGATTTTTACTCAGGGTGTAATAAAAACGATTTGTAGGATTTGGTTCCTTCTCTTCGTACTGAGTGTCGCCATAAACTGCACTTTCACCATTTACTTCTCATGCTACAGCATGGCGATCGACGGTTTCGACGTACTTTTCTTCATCGGATTCATCGAATCGCTCGTGTTCTGCGGGCTCGGTTGGATCCTGACATGTACATCAGTAAGTTTTAGAAAATCCTTTTTTTTTCAGGTTGAAAACTCCGGCAAAATGTATGCACGATAATCTTAAGGAATTTTCGAGTTCTATAGCTGCGATACTTCAGTTGTGGTTACGTAGCTTAGCTGTAGAATTATGTTTTACAAATATCTTTTGTATTAAAAATTGGGGTTAAGGCTAATATGAAAGAAAACAATCATTGTCTGTTCCTTCGATCTTTCGAGAAATATATCCCATCGTAAGGACATTGAAACTTATTATTAATTTGCAAGGTTACTGAAGACAGCATCCACTTACAGTATTTAAATTATGGTTTCAAGCATAATTCAATAAAGAACTGGATTTACAGTGAACGACATCATACAACCAATCATTCTATGTCTGCAATGTAATTTAAATATCAAAATTCCTAAGAGAAAGAAATATATATATATAGGATAGATAGAGATAGAGATAGAGAGAGAGTGAGAGAGAGAGTGAGAGAGAGAGGGAGGGAGAGAGAGAGAGGGAGGGAGGGAAGAGATAGGTAGTGAGAGAATCAGTAAGCGAGTGTGAGAGCGAGAAAAAGAAAGAAAGAGAGAGAGAAAGAGAAAGAGAGAGAGTGAGAGAGAGAGAGAGAGAGAGAGAGAGAGAGAGAGAGAGAGCGGAGTGTGTGTGTGTCTATAAATTATATGTATATTAACAAACATCTATCTACCTAATACTTTTGTATAAATACAAGATATGATACAATTTTCCTTTCATCCTCCAGGTCCTTCATGCTTGCATGAACCTCACTACGAACGAGATGTTCAACTACAAGAGGTACCCGTACCTGCGCGACAAGAGAGGCAAGTACTTGAATCCGTTTTCCAGAGGGCCGCTTCTCAATCTGGTCGAGTTCTTCGTCTGCACGCCCTCCGACTCGGACGAACAAGTCCTGCTTATCGAAGATTCACCTTAGCCTATCGTCGACTTGACGGCGATCAAGCCGGGAATATGAAATGCTGCTTATGTCTACGTTCCCGGGCCGAGCTATTTTTCGACGAATCGCATCTCGGAGGAGCAAGCCGAAGCTATGGCGCACATTGCAACCACTCACGAATAAACGCTTAATAGTTTGTTCACGGTTTATTGGTTTTTCTAATAAATTATCATATTTATAAATATATTTTATTTTATATAAAGAATTTTTATTTCATACAACGACTGATTGAAATAGACGGGGAAATTGTAGATGCATCAGACCTTTTTCGCTCTGGCTACAAGCAGTGAGTAGTCGACTCGGTAATTTCCGTTTTCCTGTTTTTCTGCCAGGTTCAAACAGTCAACGAAATCCGATATGCACTTTCTGTAGTCTGCCTGCTCTTCGTTTGGGATTCTTTCTAAAAATGGGTTGACCGCGCAGATTGAATCTGAAAATTATTTAAATAGAAGACTAACTGGAATGAAAAGCTGCCAAAACAGACAAAACAGAGAGAATAGGTCGACCAAAGTTATTTGAAAGAACCAAGCGACAGGTTTATCATTCTGCGTGTCGCTAGATTTTCCTTTGAGGTCTGCGTAATGATGAGTCGGTAGTTTCCCATTTCAATAATGTTGGTCTGCCCCTTCTCGCTGGGAAACGACCAAACCGCGGGTTCATCACTCCACAGACTCCAGAGGAAAACTCACTAGTCTTTTCTTCCGGTGCTCGACAATTACCAATCATCGACTCCTTCGAGGGGTAGAGGAATGACGTGTTCTTGTTGTAGACTTTCACCTCTGAGAAGTCGACGCTTTTCAGCAGTTTGGCGTACAGAGCTGCGGGGTCGTCGCATTGGTGATAGGGCGAGATGTAGAACTCGACATCCTGCAAATCAACGGCGTAATCTAAAAGTCAATTTTTTTTATTTTTAAGCACGTACTTTCATATAATGGCTCCATTTGATCGTCTGGCTCAGAGACAGGTAAAGCTTAAACACAGGGTTGTGAGAAAGGAAAGTGGCCAGAAGCTCGCCGTCCGCCTTGAGCAGACTGTGGATGTTTTCAGCGGCTTTCCTAAAAAAATTTAATTGTCACGAGGTTCGAGGAAGTCAAGATTGTCATACTTTTGGTCCTGAATCCAATGGAGGCAGTAAAAAGAGAAGATCTTACTGAAGCTTCCTTTCTCCCAGTGGTCCCAGATGTAACTACCTTGGATGTCGAGTTTTCGGAATTTGATTCTGCTAGTTTTGAAATGCGCGTTTCCGTATTCGACCATCTCTTCCAAAATATCACTTCCTATCTGAAAGTGATGAAAAACATGTTGATTCCTTGCAGGATATGAAGAAGAGAGAAGAATATCGAAGATTAAAAAAAAATCTTGGTATCACAATTTTGATTAAATTCCTTACGATTGTCGCATCCGGTGGTGCGAATTTCTTAAGTACGTTGACGGTGACATCTCCGGGCCCGGAGCCGACGTCCAGCACTTTTTCGCCTTCGCTCCAGGTGAAAGTGTGCGTCAGCTCGCTCAGCACTTCCTCCGCGTCCTTCCTCTGCATTGGGTTCGACGTTAAGTACATCCTGGCGTTCTTCATTTTTACAAACTGAAAACAACGAGGACAAGTTGTAATTTCACAACACATATTCAATATGGGTAGTAATAATAATTTATGCTTATATTTAATAAATAAAGAATAATACATGCAGAAAGAAACTGTAGGTACGTTTTGGTATTATACAAGAACAAAATAATTGCATGTATCACAACGGCTTGGAACACATCTTCAAAAAATCGTACCTTTATTGGTTCAAATGAACATCTTTCCAGTTAAATTGAGATCTGATATGGATATTTATCTAAGCCAACTGACAAAGGTTTGAAGCTTCGTAGAACAATATACAAAATAATAGTTCAATTAAGTTAAAATTGTAGTAAATAGAGATTGTTCAGATTCGTCAGTATCGAGAGGACAACAACATGGTAACAGTACTGATCACAATACATTCAAACGTATCAATAACTGACAAAAAAGCATATACATTCTTTACCTAACGAAGGAAAAATGAACAAAGCACTCATATAACTTATATAGAAAACCAATAATAACAAACTGAGTGCAAGCTACCCAAAGATACAAAATTGCCAGCAGAAAAGTACAGTGATATCGATACAGCACACTACTGAAAATATAAAAAGAAATGCGTACAATAAAACAACCTTTGGACTGACTTTTCTTATGAAAGCCAAAACGAGTCCGACAGACCAAAAAAGCGAGACAAGACAGACCAAAACCATCGAAACGACTAAGGTAACAGCAGATCTCAAGGGAAAATCTCAAAATTAACAGTCGTAAGTAAGAAGAGGACTACAAGATTGGTCTAACAAAGACTAATAAACTTATTTTCTAGATAATCATCATCTGTATAAAAAATTCAATGCATTTATTCAATTCTGTGAATCCCTGATGATGATGAAACAACCGAAAGTTTGACAGACCACCTCGACCATATCTGATTGGATATCTCCTTTACATTTATCTTCAGAACCCCTTTTTAAAATTTAATGAAAATTCACATAAATAGGTGAAACAACGTTCTATTATATAAATTATGCACAAAAACAACAAACACCTCGTAAACTTCTGATACATAGCATTTACAAGTCGATCACGCAAGACAAAAACGGTACGTATCAAAGACATCGTACGGACTTCGTAAACCTTTACAACCTCCCATGGACCAAGACAACACCGACATCACCTTTCATATTTCATTTTAAAATTTCAATTTAAAAATGAACCGACTATAAAGAAAATCACGCTTAGCTACCACTGATGATAGCAAAAATGACCAAGAAGACCAAAACGATAGGAAAGGTCTAAGCTAAAGGTCCATCCGACCATCACCCCAGTCCTCAAGAGGAAATCTCAAAATATATAGTACATAATAGGTAGCGAAAACTGGAAGATTGAGAAGAATGATCAATCAAACCATACGTACAGGTATCATACTAGATATAGATCGAACAAAAGAAAGTAGATTCACTTCAGATAATCGCCATCTGTTTAAAATTCAATTCAACAATTAAAATGTATGACGCACTGATGACGAAATAAACTAACCGAAAGATCGTCAGTATGTATTTTCCTACTTTAAGGGTTTCTTACTACCTTGTACTCCTACTTCATCGACATATCTGATTTGGTATCGATTTAGTGCCTTTATCGACAAAACACTTCAACAAATTTAATGAAATTTAGCGTTGTTTAATGTTTGATTATGATTTCCTGTTTGAATTTTGAAATTGTTTTTTTAAGAGTTGAGATGTTTCAATGTTTCACTGTTTTTAAATATTATATGTTGTCTTAATTGTATAAATACATAAATGTATTTATAACACCTTCAAAAAATCGTTTTTTTCCTTGACATAATTGCCCATTCATGTTAATTTTTGTTACAAACTACAAACTATGATTAAATTGGCCTAGAAATACGAATGAAATTTCGAAGTGCTTAAAACTTTGACTTTCTTATGAGTTTTTGTTTTTGCAAAACGTATACGAGACGAACCCGCTAAACAAAAATGGTAATGTACAAAATACATTAGACAGACTGAAACAAACCAAAAAGACGGACGTAATACTTCAAAACCTTCTTCAGTTAAATTTCATCGGCATCATCTTCCATATTTCATGAACATTTAAAACTGTACCGACTATAAAGAAAACCAAGCTTAGTCACCAATGATGATGGCAAAAACGCGTCTTACAGACCAAAGCAGAAAGACTGATCAGAAGAAAATGATCGGAAATGATCAAGCAACTTCAAGACTACATATTATTATTTATATTAATAATTATAATATACTAAGTTTAACAAATAGTTTTATTTTCCATCTTTATAAAATTCGATTCATCAATTAAAATCCGTGAAGCCCACATGACGAAATAAAATAATCGAAAGTTCGACAGTAATACCATTTTATACTTTAGGAGGGTCGCCACCATGACCTTATATGTTTTGGTCGCCTTTAGGTACCCCTAAACTAAACTTAATCAGATTTTGCATACTAGTTTTGTAAAACTCGTCCATGATTTACTACATTAGAATTTTGAAAATGGAAGGTAAAGGATAAAGGAAGCTAAGCCTGGTGTTTTTGTATGAAAGCATTTCGAAATTCTCAGTGTTGAGTTCCTGCTAATAGGACGTACGAGGACACGAGAAAGCGCATAGCCCAAGCAAAACATAAACCCATCCCTGGTGGTGTCGAAAAGATGAAAAACCTCGGGCAAACCGAAACAGGGAAGATAGGCTACCAGGGTGTTCGGAAATCACCCAACAGACTTCAGAATTTTTGTTGTCACCTACGATCATTGATTTTTATAATTTATAGATTAGCAATATATAAAAGACAATTTAGAATGTATTATAAATAAATAATAAATACAAAATTTAGGCATACTCACAGGACGTTGACAGAAAATAAGTTTTGTTTCGGCCTCCGGGCCGTTTTATAAGGCTCTACGTTAAAAAGCTGGTGGGGGTTTTCTCGTGGAAGGGATTAAAAAAACGAATTTTAAATTACCATTGAGAGCATTTATGACTTCTTTTTATATCAAGTTTTAAAAACGCCTGAAGCCTATTGTTAAATCTGTAAATGTACAAAAGGGACAACTTACTTCACAGTACTAAAATAAATTTGCAAATTTGCGTTTTTTGGTATTTATTTTTCTTACAGGGAAGTTGGAAGTGTGGAATATTAGAGAACAAAATGACTAAAAAATAAGATGAATTTTGGAAATTAATTTCAGTCCATTATATTTAGTGGTCTGATTGACCAAATTACTTTTTTCAATTAATTAATGTTTTTATGTAAGGTCTTTGTTAAAATGAAAATGTTAGTGTCACGAGCGGGATTCGAACCACGACCTTCGGCTCAATATGACGACTAGTCACGATAGCTCAAGGGATTAGAGCAGGGGCGTATTGAGCCGAAGGTCGTGGGTTCGAACCCGCTCGTGACACTAACATTTCCATTTCAACCAAGACCTTACACTGAAGAAAGTGTTACAGTGTGAAGTTACACACATGCCCTGGGACCCTGAAGAGGGTGATGATACTATTGTAATATCTCTGAAGATCTGCATGTTTTGGTTATTTCAAAATGTTCCAAATTAAATGTAGACAAAAACACTTCTTTGGTTAAATGTTCCTCATTAATTGAAACGAAAACACTTTTCTTTGGTTAGGTTATCATTTTTTGTAACACATTTCCATTTTTTTGATGTTATTTAAGTTCATAACTATAAAATTTTATTTTATTTGGATCATTGAGGATCCTGATTTTGTGTGAAATTTTTCGTTATTGTTATCTGTGTATATGTCTTTTATTTTTCTGCCGCCTGTATTTTGTGTGCACAGGGTGGTACGCTATGAGGTTAAAAAAATACATTGTAAATCGAGTAGAATGCCACAAAAACGAGTTTTATAGTTCACTCCATCGGGAAGATAGTATATTTATTTTCGATTTTCTAATAAAAATAGATTTTCTTTTGTACTAATGGATTTTTCATCAGTTCTTTTTTAATGAATGTATCATCTACTTATTCAGTTCGATCCGAGTGATAGCCGTTTCGCTGACACAATCCTATAAAATTAAAACAAATTGGAAAATTTTAAAGAATTTGAGAAATTCACTACGCTGTTACAAAATACCCTAGAAATTGGTGAATTTCACAAAACTGTTTCATTTAATAATCTGTTGAATGGTTAATAGGATGGGTTCATACTTTTTTCGAGGATTAAAAAAAATTGTATTATGGGAAAATTAAGGTTTGATGCGATTAGGAAGATTCAATTCGTCTTGATGACAGAATAGATAGACATGCGACAAGAAAAACGTATAAAACTGCGCTATTGTGTAAATTTTTTGATGGCAAGGGTGATTTTTTGAAGACGTTATAAATAAATTTATGAATTTATAAAATTAAGAAGGCAATGTAATTTTTAAAAAAAGTACAACTTTGAAACATCACAAGTCTTAAAAAAACACATTGTCAAAATTCAAATATAAGAAGACATGACCTTGTTTGAGAAATCGATACCGAATCAGATATGGCCTATGAAGTAACACCCTTAAAATAGGAAAATACATACTGACTACCTTTCGGTTAGTTTACTTCAGCATCAGGGTTTATTTAATTCTTGAGGTCTGTAGGGCTTATACGTTTCCTATCTTTTTGGTGTTCTTGGTCATTTTTGCTAACATCAGTAGCGATTTAGCTTGGTTTTCTTAATAGTCGGGTCATTTTTAAATGTTCGTCCTGAAATTTTTAAATTGAAACGTTAAAGTGAAATGTGTGGTGTTTAGTGAGCGTTAGTTAATGATTATTTGGAGATCGTGAGATGCGGTCTAGTGTATAGACGTAGGTTTTAGAAAAACATTTTCTTTATCGTGCCAACGTTTCGATCTTTATTGAGATCATCTTCAGGGCTCAGTGTTTGTTTTCTGTGTAGATGTGTCACTCTTGTGTGGCCGGGGGCCCTCTCTAGGGCACTCTCAACATGACACACAAGAATGACACATCTACACAGAAAACAAACACTTTGAGCCTTGAAGNTATATACACCGTTTGTCTAGTGTGATCGACTTATGTTTCGTACCAGAGGTTTACTTGTGGTGTTTGTTGTTTGTGTTAGAGATGGTTAAATATATCGAAAGAATACCAAAACAGACATGGTCGAGGTGGTGGAAACAGAAAATTGCATTATTGTCGAATTTTCGGTTGTTTTATTTCATCATCAGGGCCTCACAGGATTTAATTGATGCATTGTATTTTGAAAGGCAGATGGCGATTATATCTCCTTGCTTTTGTTTTTTGATATATCTTTTCAATCTACCCTTCTTCTTTACCTATTACTCTAAATTTGTTGATTTCCCTTGAGTGCAGCGGGGTGATGGAGACCTGTACCTTGGTGGTTTCGATGGTTTTGTCTGTCTTGCCACGCCGTTTTGGTCCGTCAGACGCATTTTGGCTATCTTCAGTGATGGGTTGGTTCGCTCTCCTTTACAGTCGGTTAATTTTTAATTTTTTTTTTTTTTGTTCCAGCATGTCTGACGTATTTTGTATATACACCGTTTTGTCTGGTGGGTTCTTGTTTGTTGTCTTTAGTGAGGCTTTTAGGCATCATTTATTAAAGATAGTTTGAATGTCTCACGTGATTTCTCACATGAATGAATTTATGTGAATTTTGCCCATTTACTGTGCCTCTAAAGTGTAGTTTTGTATGTCTTTCGAACGCCCGAATGTTGTTGTTATTGCTTGCAATTCTTATAGTTTTCTGTAATAATTTGTATGGATTTTAATCTGTCATGTGCTTTCCTGTCTGGATAGCTTGAGTCTGCACGTCTATCTGATGCTCTTCGTTTTTTTATAAGTCAAGAGTATCATGCTCACTTTTGCAAAATTAGTTCAAGGTAGTTTAAGGTGGTATTACAGTTATTGTTACATCTGTCTTCAGATCAATTCTTTTAGCATGTTGTTGTTTGTCTAGTGTCTTGATATCAAGGTATCTATTTACTCCAAATTTAGCTTAATTTTGCATTTTCTTCCAGAATACCTTAAACATTTATCAGTTTGCCTAGATAAATTGTTTTGCCGTTTATGCTTGGAATGTTATTCTTCCTCGTTGTTATCTTTTACCTGTCCAAGGGGCCAGAATGAATCCTGTTTCTTATTTCTTACTTATTCAAATTCAAATTAAAAAAAGAGAGAGAAAAAAGACAAAACAGACGAAAGGCGACCGCTCCTTTCTTAAAAAAAAAAAGCATGGAAAACGGTCCATGACCTAGGGGACGAGCGGTCATAGTGTGATAGTAATAACTTTCGTCCGTTATTACTGTAATCTACATATTCAAATTTGAAGTTTTTTTTCCACTTTTTGCTACCCTTTAAATAGGTTTTATCAATGGCCGACGAAAAACTGGTCCCGTGACCCCGGTTTTGGAGGTCGACTTCGGTTTACATTTGAATCCCTGGCGTTTATAGAAACGGTTAGATGGCTTATCGCAGCTTCTGCGCTACTCTTGGACTTTTGTCTGTATTAGAGGGGGGAAAGCTTTTATTTACAAAACAAAAGGCGGAAAATGTGTTGAACTTCCGTGCGCTTGGGCCAATATACAACATAAATAACAGCAAATAACTACCCAAAAGGCTACTCTAGTTACTCCTACAGTCATATCTCGATGGTTAAATAAAGCCTATTCGCAAGTTCAAATGAGTGGCTAACATTCGAACAATGAACTGTAGAGTATCTAAAGGAACCTTTTTCTTAAATTATGTAAATCTGGAGCCTTCTTTCAAATGGTAGTAGCTTCTTTCGAACCGTTTGGACCATAACCAACAAGAAGACTTAAGCACGGTCCTTTGCCAGTATTATCAGACTGTCCACTTAACTCCGTTCCCCTCCTATATTTTTTAAATCGTAATTTTTGTAAAAAAAACCGAGAATCGTAAACTTTTGTTTTGGTCTAGAATCTCACAAACCAAATATTTTGATCTAACTCTCCAAGTTGACGTGATACGGATAGGAACTTAACTTACTATTTCAAATAGAAAGGTATCAATGTACATTTTTCGAAAGGTTTTTTGACGGTAAATTCAAAAATTCAACGGTGCAAACGGTTTTTAAAGTGTAGTGACCGTTTTTAAGTTATTTTCAAAAAACTGTTTCGCTACATCCGAGCGTCCTGTTAATCCAAGCTATTTTTAGGAAATCGTTGCTAAATTTTTCATTCGGCACCGTGATAAAGTAATTTATTATAAATTAAAATAATAAATAAATAAATTGGTGAAAGGATGAAGATTTCGTCTATCTGAGCAACTGTCGGAAAAAGTATTTTGGGAGTAACTTGTAAAAGTTTGCCCCAAATTAAAAACCATTTACACCGTTCAATTCTGCGTCAAAAAAACTTTCCAAAAATATGTACATTGATGAGTATCTTGTAATTTGAAATAGTTAAGTTCCTGTCTATCCCGTAGGATTTCAAAAATACAATTAACCAGAGATATATTCTTAAACATTTATTGTTAAAATGGTCCCTCTTAAATATGACAAACAAATAAAAAATCAAGGCAAGTCAGCCACAACTCTACTCTGGGATGAGCTTATTCACAATAGTTACCCCAAACAATGCTCGTCAATACCAGCTTCCACCTCACATCATTCAGCGTTTTCCAGGATCGTCCTGGGCCCTCGACAGTCGACTTTATTTAATTTTTGCAATGTCTGGCCCTTTCTACTGAGTCCCAAACGGAGTGTGGCTGCTTTCTGATCTGGAAGTCTGGACTGAGTTCTCGACTTGACTTGGGGATGTCTTTGAGTTGACTGCCTGCTTCGAAACCATCCCATTTTATACCGGTTTTCCAACCAGTTTAGGGATAAAGGAAAAGCAAAAACCGGTGGGCCAGTTGATCAACCTCCTTCTTTGCAAGGTTTGGCCGCGCAATACTCGTAAATATCGGGAGTTTCCGTTTCGCAGTCTCCTCGTCCATGTCGATGGATCCAACGAAGGGTTACACCCCCACCCGGCTAACAGGCCTCCAAATTTATAGTGTCCCACAACTGGATAGACTGTGTCTAACGACCTTCCCACAGTGGGCAGACTATTCGAATGGGACTACCTTCCGCGTCTATGCCCCTATTTCTAACATATGTTGGAAGTTCCCTTACGATTTTGAATTTATTTTAACAGCTTTTTTGGATCGGCTTACATTATTGTAGTTAATTTGATGGAATGAGAATCCTATCGGGTTTGCAAAAATTAAACACATTACATTTAATTATATATTTTTCTGACGGTATTTGCTATGGTTATTTGATACATGTTACAAAATTGCACACTCTGACCAGTGAATTATGGTCAACACATTGCTCTGCAAAAAATATATGCATCTATTTTTTTATATGTATAGTGATATTGTAAGTACACAATAATTCGAACCGATTAGCAATTACCTGGTTTTTGACTATTCAGCTGACACTCAACCACGTACACAACTTCAAGACATGGACAATGTGCTTTCTATGCTTACTAGAAGCATTCATATGCTGGCAAAATATCGTACATAGAGCTCGAGCCACCTTACATAGGGTTTGGGGCTCCAAGTGATTACAGATTGAGAAGCACTTACAACCGCATTTTTTGTTGTTGACAAAATTCACTTTTTTCTGTTATTTATTTAAAACATACAGGCAAGAGCCAAATTACAAAAAATAAACTTCTTATTTATACTAATTACTACATATATACTACTTATACATATACAATTAGGTGTACATTCATATAAAAAATCAAATAAAAGTATATTATAAAATATTTACTACTATAATAAAAATTTACTTACAATTTTTCAGTTCTAAAAAATATATTTTTATTATTATTATTAAACAGATCAACAGTATAAAACTTATTACCAATACATAAAATTCTAGAAATGCCAGTGAATAGTTATATTTTTGTGTTCGTTCTGATAAAGGACGAGAATTACGAGTGTTGTGGGTGTTAACATTGAAGGACAGAATCGGTTTTGACTCATGAGTGAAAGGTCATGTCTATTTCACGTTCTATTTAATTTTGTCCTTTATATAACATAAGTATCTTTTCATTTTGTTTCATTTAGTACATATCGGTGCTTGAAATTTAATTACGGGGGCTCCAGGGGGGGGACCCCTAGGCGACTATTCCCTCTGCTCCCCGTCAGGGAAAAACGGAAGTCATCACTCTAAAATGATGACGTTTTCGTACATAAATCATACTATCACTGTACTAACAAAGGTACTAATAGGTAGTTTAACGAAATTTCCCAACTCTCTACCAAGTTATTTTAAAAAATGTGTCAGTCATCCAGTCTGATAGGAAAAATAAATGTCAAAATTATAGAAAACGACTAACCAACAATCGTTTTTAACGGAAGACCGAAGAGGGTTTTTCTTTATGTAGAAGGAACGGGAATACCTTGGAAAAGTAAATCCAATGCTGTTTGCCAGCTTAATAATTCCACAAGGTATATCCGCATTGCAGGGAAAAATCGTATAAAATTATATCGACTACTTTAAAAGATAGTTCTTAAGGCTCGTACACACTGGTAGACCGGGGTCTCTCAACTTGCCGCAGACAGTCTCTAGACTGTCTAATGACCAGGTCTAGATACAAGCAAGTCTCGAGTTAGCATTGAAGCAAAATTTTTTGTTATATCCTGGCTTGAGGGACACGTGCAGGTAAAGTCTGACAATTTTACGTTTAAGCCAATCGATTGGGCAACTTGGAAAAGGCGATTCCAACGCTATCGTGCGATAAGCGGTTGGAAATTACGCCGGGAAAGAACCAAGTCAATATACTCATATACTGCATGGGCGAAAAGGAATAAATATTGGATTCATCTCATCTTGAAGACAAAATCAGTTCTTACGAAATAATCGTTAAACGGTTTGAGGATCATTTCATTCCAAAAAAGAATATATCATATGAACGTGTTAAATTCTTGCGAAGGAAACAAGGCTCGTTAGAACCTGCTGAGGACTACAGATCTTCACACGCTCTCGAGATCCTGTGAATGGGGTACTCTCGAAAACGAAATGCTGTTGAGGGGCATTACCACTGGAATGAGATACCAAAGTTTAAATTTTAATTAATTAAATTAAAAATGTAGCTAATTAAAACAATTAAAATTAAAGTTTGCCACTTGAAGCTGACTTGACGCTTGAAAAGGCGATTAATGCTTTTCGTAGTTTGGAGGAAATGCAACGACAGAAAAAAGGTCTTGAAGGCGATCTAGGAACCTCAGCGATTGATCAATCCCAGAATTAGACATTTCAGAAAATCACAGCCGGGACCGAGCGAGCAGGGGAAAACCACAAGGGAAGTGCTAATGGTGCAGCGGCGCTCTCCACCGCAGAGATTGTGTCCTGCGAAGAATGTTAAGTGCTTGAAATGCAACCGACAAAGGCGTTTTGCTTGCCTTGTGACTAACATCCAGGAAGTCACTAAAAAGCGAAGATAAACAAGACGTTATTCGAGCTTTGTGTTTTCAGAGCATGCGGTTCAGGGAGTTGTCCATGATATTATATTCTTCCATTTGGTATCACCTCAGCACCTTAAAAACGGTAATGGTCAAACTTCAGGCTGCAGGAATCACTCGCAATGGGGAAAAACTGTTTTTTCTCAAAAGACCGTTAAGTTTCTAGGACATCGACTTTCGTCGCGTTAAAATTGATGATGAAAAGGTGAAAGCTACAGTGAACTTAAAACCCCCTGAAGGTATTAAAAAAGGGGTAAACAAGGTAAAAGGCATTCAAAGGTTTCTCGGTATGGTGAATTTTTTTGGGAAAATACATACCTAACCGTCCGAGATCTTAAAACCTATCACCGACTTGCTTTGCGCGAAAAATGTTTGGACTTGGGGACCACTACAGAAAATGGCTTTTGAGCGAATTAAACAGGAATTAACTGCGGCATCCTTACTGGCCTTCTATGACCCACAACTGCCTACTCTGCTGACTCTTCATCCTACGGGGCAGGAGGTGTTCCTTTGCAGCAGCAAAAAAAGAAGGGTGAGGACCAGTATCATACATTTCTCGATCGTTTTCAGAACGCGAACACAACTATTCAAATATCGAACGTGAAGCGCTGGCGGTAGCATGGTGCTGCGACAAGTTGAAAGAATATATTATCGGGATGACTAGAGAAGGAAAACTCAGAATTCATACAATTTTCAGCTGAGAACCAACAGTCCACACTTTCATCAAAGCAATGGGAGTGCAGAAACAGCTATGAAAATAGCCCAATCCTTGCTCAAGAAAAATCAAGATGATCCTTACCTAGTACTTTGGCATACAGAAACTCGCCACTCCCTAACGGATTCTCACCAGTTGAACTCCCCATAGATAGGAAACTGAGAGATACATTACAACGCTTAGCTCGCTATCTCTGTAAAAATCCGGCTACGACACTCCTTCGAGTAAAAGAAGAAGAGTACAGACGGAAATACAAACGGAATTACGACAAAAGACGGGGAGAATCAAGTAGGCTCTCAGTTCTCGTCTCGATGTCGAACAATCAACTTTTCTGTCGTTAACCTCAAAAGTCCTCACTTCACCTAGTTTTGAAAACCCTAAGTTACCCCTCTCGTAACCAAATCCCTGGAACCCGAAGTTTTTCCCACATTTTCATCCATTCCAACTCTATCCACCTTGTTATGCATTTTCTCAATTGACCGTTGCTACTCTAGCAACATCTCTGGCAAACAATCTTCACCAGTAATACCAACACGAAACAACAGATGGCGCGAGCGTCGACGCACAAGGACACCAATAGGAATGTTCGCCTCATTCCACATTGCGGCCAAACAAAAACGAGCACCTCCACTCTGAATAGGTATATAAGCAGGCCGACCTCGCCTTCCAGTCAGTCTACCTTCAAGTTCCAGACGTGCGACTATCTCTACAACGCTCTCCTCACTTAGCGGATATCACTTCTTCTTCGCCTGATCACAACTCGACATCCTCTTCGAGAGTTTTCATTAATTGCCTGTCTTCAGGCACGGCCCCGCTTAGTATAAGCCTTGACGCATTTCATCGGCCACCAGAGCTCACTCACTAATACGCACCACAAAATTGGTGACCCCGACGTGATTAAAGAGCTCTATTTATAACTCTCATGAGCGATGGCCGAAGGCGGACAGGCTACGGAACAAGTGCATGCTGAAAACGTTACAGTAAGCCTGCCAGCATTTTGGGAGGAAGACCCTGCCTTATGGTTCGTACAAGCAGAGACAATCTTTGGGTCGAACCACATCACTTCCCAGGAACGACGGTTCCAACTCATTATAGGCCAGCTCCCTCAACGTTCAAAGACCAACCCCGCTTCCAAGTAGTGAACCCCGGGAAACGTTCGTCACCGTCTTGACGGGGGATTCATATTGATCTAAAGCTAAAGGGGTGTCCTATCCCTAAGTGAGGTAATCGTTTTCCCAACCACTCCTCACTAAACAAAATCCTTCCACCAACCCCTCTCCCTCCATCCTATCCCCCCCAAAGAATCTTGGGCTTGACAGAAAACAGCATCCGCCTCAATCAAAGGTCATGCGTTCCGTGCCGAGTGATTCACTGGCAGCCGGGGTTAATGTGGCTCTCCAAACACATCAAGCAATCTGGAGACCAACCCCTTGATGGACACTCAGTCCTTAGAAACAAAGGAGAGACTACCTCTCCCTAATAAAGACAAATACTAGTCGCTACGTGGGAAATTCAACACCACACAAACGAAGGGTTCAACACCTTCAAGTAGCGACACTAGGAAATATAGACCTCTTCTTGGGAAACCAAAAGGAAAGAAAAAAGTCTCCGCCGAATTGCCAAAACTAGGAGAACCAGGCGGGAAAGACGACCCTCAGGAAAGGTCTTAGCAGTGCTATGACCAAATGGTACCTGAGAGCGATAAAATCGGGGAAAACACCCGAAGAAGCAAGAAAATTGGCCGACGAAAGAAAGGCTAAAATTCAAAAAGAGAAACTGGAGGTACAATCATCCAGCAAGAGAGCAATCTCTTACCCCCAAAGAACTAAGGATAGACAAGACGGCAAAGCCATCCATCCTCAGGCGCTTTTTAGAGCCAGGGAGGCTGCTCCAAGCGTAAGCTATGCCGGAGCAGCAAAGATCATAAGAGTGGCTTTGCTACCGGAGGAATACCCTCTGGTAACATTAACAACGGAAGAGCTGACCCATCTAGAGGAAACCCTCATTGAAGAAATCTTAAAAGGATGGGAAGCCAAAATACAGTTTGAAGGCATACACATCAGGCCGGATATGATGGCCTTAGACTGTCAAGACGGCAAAACTGTACAATGGCTACAGGAAATAGCCCCTAAACTAGAGCTAAGCAAACGAACGAAACTGACAGTGAGGGTAGGGGAGGCTTTCCCAAACCTCACTCAATAGTGGTGTTCTTCCCTAGGACAAAACTAGGAGAAGAACCAAGAACCCTAACTCTGATCAAAGCGCAGAATGATGGGATCTGCGCTGAGGAGAGGAAAGTTCACTCAGTGAAGGCAGAGGGGCCTGAGATTGTCATGATCCTGGGCATCGATGAGACCTCGGCAGAAACGATAATTTCAAGAGGATATACCCTCAATTTTCGTTTTGGGAGGATCCCGGTGAGAGGCCTGAAAAAGGGAGGGGGAGGAGGTAACAAAACGAGAGAAATCTCACACCTCCACCCCAATCACCCCCCCATCCATTAAAAAGAAGCAGGCCCCTACAGCGATGCCTCCACCCACGGAGACTACCTCCGAAAATACTGCTGAGATGGAGGTAGACCAGGTTGTCTTGGGAACCCAGACCCCTCCTCCTCTACAGACGGAGCCAAAAGTACTCACCGAGGAGAAGCTATTGGGAGAGGAGACACCTCCTCCTCCCCCAAAAGAATAACCCTATATGGAGGAAATGAGAATAGCCCAGGTGAACATCCACCACGCTAAAGCTGCCTCGGCAGTAATAGCTAGGATGTTCACCGTGCAACATCTATGGGCAATTCTCATCCAGGAACCCTGGCAGTGGAAAGGACAAATTGGAGGTTCGTCCTGTAAAGATGGTAAGACTGTATGGGATTCCAGACAGGAAAATCCCCGTGAATGCTTATTGATTAGGAAAAACACTAATTATCTCTGTCTTTCAGAATTCATGACTGGTGACTTAGTTTCCATCAAGGTAGAGATACCAATCGATGCGAAGAGACAAGAAGCAGTAGTAGCATAGGCATACTTCCCAGGAGAGGAGGACCACCCTCCTCCCGATGAGCTACGAAGGCTAGCCGGCTACTGCAGCAAGAAGAATCTCCCCTTGTTGGTAGGATGCGATGCCAACACACATCACCAAATCTGGGGAAGCACTAACAACAACAGAAGAGGTGAGTCACTCATAGAATTTTTGTGAATGAAAAATTAGATATACTTAATATAGGATCAATCCCTACCTTTGTCACCAAAGTGAGACGAGAAGTATTGGATATTACCATTTGCAGCCAAGCCCTACATAAAGTAATAAAAAATTGGAGGGTTTCCAGTGAAGAATCGATGTCAGACCACAGAATAATAAGGTTCGACATCGAATCAGATAGGAGAGACCCTACCCCGTACAGAAATCCCCGAAACACAAATTTGGCAAGGTTCACTGAGATGGTAACATATAGTTTAAACCATACAACAGTGAAGAGAGTACCGAAGACCTGCAATGAATTGGAACTTGCAGTTAGGGAACTTACAGGTAATATAATTGATGCATATGAATCAAGCTGCCCTGTTAAGGTCCCAAAAAGTAGACAAGAACCACCTTGGTGAAATGCAGAACTGGGAAAACTAAGGAAAGAAACCAGGAAAGCATTTAACAAAGCTAGAATAGCAAGTAACTGGGGAGAATACAAAAGGTTATATAACCATGCTATCCGCAGGGCGAAAAGAGAGAACTTTCGCAAATTCTGCGGAGAAATCTCTACAGTATCCACAGCAGCTAGATTGCACAAGGCACTAGCACAGGACAGATCAGACATAAACACTGCCCTAAGAAGTAAAGAAGGCAAATACACAGAAGACATAAAACAGAAAGCAATGCTCCTTCTAAGTACACATTTTCCAGATAGTACCTATGACATCCCCCCAGAAAATGTGAGAGCAGTTAATCCCAAGAAAGAAAATTGGAAGAAAGGAGCTGAAATAATCACAGAGAAGAAAATCCTCTGGGCGATTAACACTTTCAGCCCGTATAAAGCACCGGGAACAGATGGGATTTTTCCCATCCTGCTCCAAAAAGAAATGAATATAATTGCTCCAACATTCCTGCGATGATAGTATATATAGTTTAGCACTAGGCTAAATACCACAGACATGGCGTAGGGCAAAGGTGGTTTTTATACCAAAAGTGGGGAAAAAGAGACCCTACATCACCTAAATCCTACAGACCAATCAGCTTAACATCCTTTCTATTAAAGACCCTTGAAAAGCTGATAGACAACTATATAAGAACGACAGCACTGGTAAACAAGCCTCTCCATTTCTGTCAGCATGCATACAGAGCAGGAAGATCAACAGAAACTGCACTGTACCAGCTCACCAGTGACCTAAAAGAAACACGGTACGGTAAAAGAAACGTCGGTCCGCCAGTAACTTGCAAGGTACGTAGGTTACCACCCTATAAATAGCAAACAGTGAAAGAAGAATTCCGGCGCTTAATGGAGCAGGGTACCTGCCGACCTTCGAAGAGCCTGTGGTCAAGCCCGCTCCACGTCGCATACAAAAAAGACGGAAAAATCCGGCCTTGCGGAGACTATCGGCTGCTAATTGCTTGTACTAAACCCGACAGATACGGAGTGCCCAACATCAGAGATTTCACCAACCAACTGCACGGGAAGAAAATTTTTCAACGCTCGACATCAACAGAGCGTACCACACTACATTGGTGACCCCGACGTGATAATGCTCCTGGAAGCAAATTAGGGGTTGGGGGAAACTACTGGAAGAACACGCCACCCAACACCATTGGTCTGCAGCTTTGAATGGCTCGCCCATTGGGGGAGCTATGTAGTAGCCACTAGTTAATTTCCACGATCCCGCTAGGTGCCACTACGACTTATGGAATATTCTCGCCCTCCACTCTGCAGCTAATCAGAGTAGAGCTCTCCCCTATATAAGCAGGGGCACTGCCCCGCTGGAATCAGACTCGTCAACCCGACGAGATATCACCAATCACTAATATTCAACGACCTCAGACTCGTCAGGCCGACGAAGTCTCAAATATCACTAATAATCTACTACACCAGACTCGTCAGCCCGACGAGCTATCAATAATGGAACACCATCGACGATAGCAAGAGTACTCGCAGCATTACCTGATCTCGCCTTCTAAACGCCGACTTAGCCATTAACGCCAACTGCTGCCCCCTCGGCTAATTGCTGCATTCCAGTACCTTCGGCCTCTGTGGAGTCTACCAACCTTAGCCAACGGTTACTCAGTCACACAACACTACCAACGGCACCACTCGCACGGTCTCGGACTCATACCTTCGTCACGGCATCTCTCAACACAACACCGGTCCTTTTCAGGGCCACAAAACTCCCAGTCACTAAACACCTTTTTCACGATTTCCCACGTTCTATTCACCCTGCAGGTCACCATCGTCGTCGCAACTGGGGCTCCAACTTCACGTGGCGGCCTGTAGATCTCTTCCGTTACTTCAACATACAGTCCACAAAAGCCAAGTAAGCGTTCCTTTCCTTTCTTTCTTCCTATTTTTTCCCATTTTATTTATTTTTTTGCCAGCTCAAACACATGGGGTGCACCCACCCATTGGATCCGTTCGACATTGGAGACAAAGTCTGGATATCCCACTTAAAAGAAGAGTTATTATTATCACGCCAGCCAAGGAACCGCGATCTTACATTGTAGAGACAAATAAAAGGACAGTGAGGAGAAACCGGGTCATATAATTCTGTACTCCCATCATGAACAGAGTCTATCTAATACTTCTACTACCCAAGCAAGTGGAGAAGTTCAGGAACCAAGAGCAGATCAATCTATACCCGGTCAAGCAACACCATCATCCACTGGAGGACGAAAGGACGACCATAAAGAATCGCCAACTACATCTCCAGGGACAACGTCTACACCTGAAACACCACCACAGGTCGTGAGCAGATATGGACGGAAAATTAAGTGTCCAAAAAGACTAGATCTTTAAAAGGGGGATGTTCCGAGATATGACGTATTGGTTGAGACTGAGAGGAGAACTCGGGGGGGGGAGGTATTGGTGGTATGGGGGGATTGAGGATTTTATGCTTGTGGGATTATGTTCATATATGAGTAAAAGTCTGGCTTTTGAAAACAAGGGGTTTTATTTAAAGAGTAAGCCCGTAAACACTGTCACGGCCATAATGTCACAGGAAATGTTGCTCCAATGCTAATTCGAGACTTGCTTGAACTCCCTAGCTCTTCCATTCGTCCTAGAATTGGTGCAATTAAACAAGGTGAATAACATCCACAATCCTGTCATAGATTTCCCATTTAGGATAGAAGAACTGGAAGTGGCTTTCTCTACAGTTAGCAATATAGCCCCTGGCATAGACTCGATTCACTACCTAATGTTAAACAGGTTTCCTCCCACAGCTAAATTACAATTGCTCGAAATCTTTAACTCTATATGGAAAGAAGGGACTGTCACTGAGCCCTGAGCATCCCGAACTCCCTCATAAAACCAGGTAAACCATCCGAACTAGCGTCCTTCATTGACCCATAGAAGCGTCTCGAATGATTTGTCAAATCTAGGGACATAACTTCCAAATTTCCAACACGGATTTAGAAGACATAACTCAGACAACAACCTGGCAACATTTATTACAGACACTCAGTGCAATTTGTGTACTAATGAAATGACATTAGTAGTGTTTTTCGACATTACTAATGCTTACAACCATGGGAACATTAAATTGTTATAAAACAATGACATAGGAAAGCTTTCCTTCAACATTAACTCATACCATGATCAACCTAATAAGCAAAGGATACTAATGACAACCATACATTCAGTCCTTGAGAGGTAAACTTGGGCCTCTCAAAGGGCGATTCTTAGTCCTCAGCTTTTCAACATCTATACCGCTTCCCTACTTAAGCTAGTATAAAAGTGCCCCCTAGAAAGGTATCCCACTTCGCGAATAATGTAGGTGATAGTCTGGCAAGTGATAGCAAAGAGTGGCACAAAAGAGAGAACTGTTAGACATACCAATTCCACTTGGAGAGAATGGACATTTTTACACCCCAAAATAGGAATAATTGGCAGAAAGATTGAAAAGAGATCTGATCAGGAGCTTTCTTTCAGTCAGTGAAACCCCAAATCTCCAAAATTACTTGGTTCTGCCACAAATACATGATAAAAAAAAGAGCGCACTATAATCCATAGACTAAGATCACTGAGATAGCAGTTTTTTTCTACATTGTATTAGAGTTAAGGAAACCCATCTATGCTCAACATGGCTGGTCCTTGAGAACTGATAATGCACTGCAATAATTCTCTTAATACAATCATTTTTAATGAGCTATATAGAATGTGAGAGGTAGAGAAGCAATTAACAAATCATTGTTGACAGCGGAGAATGCACAGCCTGAAGGATTCCAAAAAATATTTTATATGTAAGCCACTTACATTGAGAAGCATAAGAGTGCCTTAGGTTCTTTTAATTAACTGGTTTTCATGTGTACAGAGAGTTGAATCATGAAATGGGGCTTGGCTGCATACTGTTATAAGGAGTAGATGTGCAACATGAAGAATTAATTTGCACAGAATCTCTGCGCAGAGTGCCCATTTGGCCTTCGAACAATATATCATTGATGGCCTTTTTCGCAAACAATTGTTGCTGTGGAACCATTTTCTGAAGTTCTACTGCCCAAGATGAAGCAATTTTGTCAAAGTAAGTTTGAGGTTGTTCAAGATGTTTGCGTGGCAGAGATATTAATTCTTCAGACTCGTCGAGTTTCCTTGCCTTCTTGTTTGGAGGACCATTTTTGCTCTGTAAATAAATGCACATTTAAATAAACATATTTTGCATAGTGGACAGAAACAGAAGTTGAATGGAAAGCTATTACAAATGGATTTAATCATTAATGGAATTTTCTGAATTTAATGAGAGCAGGAGATGGAAAGCCACCACCTACAGGTTCATACCACAATTATAGTTTTTCATATTTTGTTGATGGCATGATGTAAATTACAGTTACAAATTTATTATTGTTGTTGTTGGTGGACATCAGATATTTGGGTTATTACTGTAGTTGCAAAAGCAATATCAGATAATGATTTTTGGGAGAGGTATCTTTTTCTAAGGGCCAAGGTAAGCTAAGTTTAGGACCGAATGATAAGATTTTTTGGAGAAAAAAAAACAGTAAATTACTGTTAGTTTTATTAATTACTAATTCTTTTATAACGATATATTTAATTTGTTGGGGTAAAAATTCAGATTTCTTTTCAAAACTAGTTTTATGCTTTTTGTGATGACTATTAAACGTTTATTCAAACATATTCAAACATCCCAGCAACAACAATTTGTCTTTTTGCAAGAGTAACAATTCCTTTTTCTTTTTTAACTTTCATAATTCTATATACATGAACATAATTTTTAAATTTAATATCTTAATATTATATTGGTAATATTTCGGTTGTTATTTATCAATTCGTTTAGAAAAACTTGATATTGCTTATAGTTTTTCAGAAAAACTAATTTATTGCTAACTATATGTATAATACTTCAACCGCATTATAACTTATATACCTGCCAGCATAATAAACTTCATGAATATGACAAGTAGCTACACCACCACAAGTGCATCTATACATAAAAATTCCATTTATGATAGAATTGTAAGAGCTGCAGAAACAAAAATGTTTTTTTAAAAAGAACTAAGCTTTCGTTGTTCTACAGACAGACAAGACTAAAAAAATTGTAGTTATATACAAAGACGAATGTATCACAAAACTGGAAAATATGTTAAAAGGTAATAACACATATGAAAAAGTTAAACAGGATCCTGCTGTAAAACAACAGGCATGGTGCAACAATACAGCCAAAGCACTGCTCGGTTGGAAGTCATCAATTTTGGGGAACAAAAGAAATATAGCACATACACAGGGAGATTACCAAGAATATATAATCAGATAATTTACTTCAAAAGGAAAATAAATTTTCAATAATTAACTATGGCCCATTTCACAGTGGACATTTGTTGGCTGATATTTTGTCATGAAAAGTCGTCTCTCCACACTGGCCAATACATGGATTTTTTATCAGATGATATTTTGTCAGCTCCATGTTGCAGTAGTGCACTGCTATTAATGGATCTTTCATACTACCAGATTTTTGTCAGTTGTCGACAGAGAATTCATCTACAATCGCTAAGGCCAACAGAGTCGATTGATAATTACAGCAATTTCTTTAATAATGTGGGGCAGGTTTCATGGCAGCATACATTTGCATAAAATGTAGAAATGCTTAAATAAATATTACTTACACCAATTGTAAAAGTATTAATGATTGTTCCAATATTGCCCAAACTGTTGATTTCATCTTCTTCCTTGATGCCATACTCTATCTTCATAGTATTTTCTGATTCATTTTGTTCTTCCAGACTTGTGAGAAACTTCATTTCCTCGTTGGTACCCTCCTTACGCTCTTTCTTGTAGCCGTAGTTTAACTTAATAGTATTTTGAGACTCATTTTGTTCTTCCAGACTTGTGAGAAACTTCATTTCCTCAAAATACCATAATGTTGGTTTCATTATGTAGCCTCTTCCTGCATAGTTTTGTTCAAAATCCTTTATCCTCTTCAATTCCTTTCTGAAGTTAGTGCGCAACGAATTCAATTTTTTAACTAACTGCGATTTATCAGCAACGGGATACTTTTCTCTGTACTTACGAAGCAAATGTTCGTATTGTTCATTTTTTTTAATTCTGTTGTTGTAATCTTTACACTTCACGTTCCATAAAGCTGGTAAACTCCGATATAACTCGATACATTCTAAGATAAATTTTCTTTCTTCTGCTTTGGTTCCGTTTGAAACCATTTTTTGATTAGTCGATGTTAAACGCACGACTGTAAAGACAGAACTGATATCATATCGTCTGGACTGAACCAATATTGCGCAATATCGTCCACAGGCGACGCAATGTTTACCACATTGCACAATAAAAATTCAACACTTTTTTATTGACTCAATATATTGGGCAATTCAATATTATGTACACATCTACAGACGGACAATAATATTGTACGTCATAAATTATTGCACAATAATTTCTTTCATTACGATCCCACATAACCCGCGTATAACCTCGTTGCCCATATACGTACAATATTATTGCACAATAATCAGATTTGAACTTTGAGGGGGAGATAATATTGAAGAGTTGAGCAACGTATTGCACAAAACGGGCATAGGCAAGTTACAGGTAGAATGTTATTGCCAAATAAATTCTGTTGCTATATTTTGTTATTTATATTTGTAACATGGTAAACGTGAGTGACAACGAACGATTGATTTTTTAAAAATAGTTAATTCATAATAATTCATCCATCTTGATCAGCAAACACCAATTTGTTACCCTTTAGAACTATATATTGAATTTCTTTGCTGCACATCGGCAGGAAGTTGCTATTTTTCTCGACTTTATTAGTTAGTAAATTCTCATCTTTTGGAATCACTGACTCTCTCCTGGACTGGTTTCATTCTTATCTCTAGATTATTTTTTATTATTTTTTTTTAAACAACTTTGTACTACCTGTGGTTTATTGGAAATTATGGAAATTTATATAAGTTTATAGATTTCCCATTTTTAGACTTTTGAAGATTTGATCAATTTTTGTTCATTCCCTAACATTTATTTTATAGTTCAGGGGATTTTGAGGTAATGAGCGCACCTCAGACAAAAGGGAGGGAGCGAAAGTAATAATAATGTAATAATAATAATAATAATGTAATAATAATAATGTAATAATAATAATGTAAGTGTAATACATCTAATTGATCACCACAGAGGCATGTTGGTGGTATAGCTTTTTCCATGAGGTGCCTGTGGGTCATATTGTGTGCCCTATACGTAATCGACATAGTATGACATCACACCAGGAAGTTTGGAAGGATTTTCCCAAGATTTACAGTTTCTTTTATATTTCATAATTTGTTGGAAGTTGTTTGTTTCCACTGATTTTCCCAATTTTCGTTTAAGTTTGAAAGCAGACTTTATGTCTTCAAGATTTATTAAAACTAAGATGATGGGATTGTTCATTGCCAGCTAGCTCATTTTCCTTAATCCCAACATGACTTGGTGTCCAAATGAAGGAAACAGAAGAGCTGTTCAGAGATAATTTGTTTTAAGTTTTGCCAAATGTTCTGAACTAATGGATTTTTGGAGTACGGGTTCTGAATTTAAAATTTCTCTACCGAACCTTGCAAACTGGTGCCAAAATAACATGTTCCTCAACATAAAGAAATGTAAACCGATTATATTCTACCAATGACTTAAGCTTGGTTTATTAATTATAATCTAAAACCAAGCTTTAATAAATTTAGAGCCACTTTTTAAATACTTGAAGTTAATCAAAAGTCTTTAGTATTCGATTTAAAGAAATTATGCCTTGTGAAAACACTTTGTGGACAAAATTACCATCCTTAAATTTTAATGTATTTAGGTTTATTCATATCTGGTATACCAAAAAATAGGTTTGGTTGCGGAAATAAGATATTTAAAAGGAAAATGTTTATCTAATTCTTAAAAAAAAAAGCATTGAGAATATTGAAAAGTAAAAAATAAAAAAAATAAAATAAAAATGTAAAAAAAACTTTTTTTGTCCTCTTTAATAATGAGAATTTCTACCTTTGGCCCTAATCATGTCCGTTAAATGCTTTTGCTTTCCTTGGAAAAGATTTCTGGTAAAATTGAGAAATTCTTTCCCATTCATCAAGAACAGCAGTTTCCACCTCTTCTATGGTGCTACGACCTGGTTTTCACCATCATACTTGTCTCTTAAGTTGGTCCCAAATTTGTTCACCTAGTTTCAAATCTGGACTTTGGGCAGGCCACATAAAGCACTCATTTCCAACCTCATTCAGGTAGTCATCCCCAATACATTCTCTTTGGGGCCTGACATTATCCTGGATTAGCAAGAATCTCTCATCGATGGGGGCAAATGGCACTCATGTTCTTCGATTATGTCTTTCTTGTAAGCACCTCTGTTAAGTTAGACAACTCCTTGCACTACAACAACCAATTCGGTACGGGTGCCAAAGGAATTGTCACCCCAGAACATCAATGTCCCACCATGGTATGCCACCTGAGGAACCGTACAGCAAGGGGCATACCTGTCTCCTGAGTGTCTCCATTTGAAATTACTTGAAGCCAATTCCCACCTCATCTGTAAAAAAAACTCATCCCCAATCTTCCAATTTCATCCATGCAAATAGAAGCCTGGCCATTTCTTGAGCTTTGGTAAGAAGAAGTCCTCAAGCTGGGTGGTGGGCCCTGAGGTTATTTTCATTGAGCCTTCTTCTTAACCCTGGAGGAAATTAAAACATTTCTAACTTATTTTATTAGCTTTCTTATCTCATTTCCCGTAATGCTTCATAGAGCCTGATGGTCAATGAATCTATCATCTCTCTGGTCTGTAGACCTAGATCTATCCTTGCCTTCTTGTGTGAAGCCCCATTTCTCTGTAGAACCAGACTTCTTTATATTGTAGAGGGTTTTTTCCTCAGTCTCTTGGCTACTTCACAGCTTTATCCTTCTCCTAATGTCACTCAAATGCCTGACTGGAGCCATTGAAAAGGTTTTAGAATAAGAATAATATTAAATGAAATGAACAAAAGAAAAAGATTAACTTGTTCTTTAGGCATAGCAGAATGGAAGGGCATAACGCTACTTTTTGTGCAAATGGGTTTAATCAGTACAAAAGTAAACCAAGGAAGTGAGAAAGCCTTATTTACTGTTTATTTAGACTACAATAGCTCCTAATTACCTATAACTAATGTAGAAAGATAATGGATTTAATTGAAACTAAATAAATTGAGCATTACATTAGTCCATCAGTGAAAGTTTAGTGAACAAAAATTCTCTTATAAGGTTTCATGATGCACGATAAGCTAAACTTTAAAATTTCCATGTTGTAATATCATTTCTTCCACAAACATGCCAGTATTTGACATTATACTATTTCAAAATATATCCAATTGTTTTTGTCTTTCCATTCTATTTTTAAATCTGTTAAGTGGTGAAAAGGGACATCAATATAAAGAAGTATTTATATGCATTTATTTGCAAGTTACAATTTATTGTTATTACAAACTTTATTTTGAGAGTATTCAAAGTACAAATAGAAATGATATGCAGAAAGAACAATATAAAATATTGCTATCATCAATCCTATCATAATTTGCATCACTCATTTTACATTTGATAAAGACTTAAAAGCTAGACTTCAAATTGCCCAACTACTATTACCACTGATTTGAATTCTTCCTGACTACTTTTTCATTTCATTCTTCAAAAACAAAGGAAAAATTGGTTTTAAAACTGTTTGGAGTGAAAATGATGAAATTTATAATTTCTGCTGACAAATAGAATGAAAATAACAATTCTGGTAACTATAAGAAATTAAGAAAATAGTTGACTTAGTCAATTTTTATGTCTTATTGAGGAAAATAATTGTTGGGGTACATTTAACACCAATTATGTTTAACATCAATAACATATTTTACAGCAAACTTCTCTCAGATTTTATTAGTCTATAACTACAACTATCTAATTTCTCTGCCTAACCGATATTCATTTTTTAAAGAATCCCTGAAAAATGAATTGATTGCATGGTGAAATTTAACCTTTCAGGAATTTTTTACATTCCTATCAGCATGGGTCACACAAAGTTTCAAAATAATGTTAACATTAAAAAAATCATATAAATAATTTTCTTAGCAGTATAATGATCATTCTAAAAACGTGTTGCAAGATTATTTCAATTGTAGCATTGCTCATATTATGTTCAAGAACTGGAAAATATTTTAAAAATATCATGAAAAACACCTAATTTAATATAAAAAAAAGAAAAGATGTTTTATGTTTAAATGTTCAAGATGTCCAAAATATGTATATTAAAAGCCAGTTTTTGAGGTATTCCTGAATAGAGCATCAATATCAAAAAAAGACTATACCGTCTTAGCTATTGAATCCTTATATTACAGGGTACTGCGATTATTTATTAAGAGAAATAATTGTGTAAATTTCACTAATATTATGATATGAGACCACTGTTTTATATATATATATATATGTTTAAAACCATGCAAGGCACTTAATTAACATTTATTGACTCACTTATTTTGAACTTGAACACAATGACTACACATTTTTAAGACAACACCCAACACCTAACTAACTCTACAAATTTTGGTACACATGCTATGTTATGTACACAATTTGTGTTGTGTCTTTTCATGATAGTTATATATGAATTTTGTACCCTTGTTTAGTAGCTTCTTTGTCACCAGCTAAAATTTGGACTAACCGAGTAAAAAAAAAAAAAAATTATTTACATCAATAAACTTCTGTCCATTTTATTTACATAAGAAATGTTAAAAACAAACTTTCTCCAATCAATTGGGCCCACATTAGGGGAATTAACACATCCATTGACAGTACAACTTTTGATACTAGCAACAAAAAAAGAAGATAAATATAAATAAATAAATAAATAAATCACAAAATGTTAATAGTAACACAATTTTTTTCCAAGTACAATGAGGAAAACAAATTAGTACAACAAAGTGCAAATGTCAATAAAAACGTGATTGCTTTTATAAAATACATCATCTTTGGTATTTTGAAAATTTGCTTGAACTTCAGGCATTGTTAATGACATTCTGTGCAAAGTACAAGCTTTTATTGCAATATATGGCATCGCTTTTTAACAATGAGTAAAACAAAATGGTATTGCGATCACTTTTCTCTTTAGAGTGGTGAAAAATAAGTGCATTGTATCTGCAAGTATTCATGGCTCCGAGTTGTTCCTAACAACAGGGCTTCTGCAGGTTTACATGCCTCCTTCGTCCATCGCTTTGTTTATATCGGACACAAGCCGGCCGAGCACCTCCTTGTAATCAGATGAAGGTTTGAAGACCGCGTCGAGGAACTGCGGGTTGTCGAAGAATCCAAAGACAGAGTCGATGCGCTGGAGGGACTTGTCTGTGAGGTGTCGTGAGACCACCTTTCTGAGGCAGCTATGTGACTCGTTGAGGGCATTGAGCAGGTACGGCCTATCGTAGCTGAACTCAACCTCATGGAAGCTGATCACCGCCATAGCTGCAGAGTGGAACTTGTGCTTGAACTTCTCAGCAATCCTGATCTCTTCATTGTTGAACTGTCCGTTCCTGTATAGAACACCAATCTTGATCACCACCTTAATGATGTTCTTGATCAGCTTCTCGGATTCCTTCTTGTTGTCGGTCTATAAACATAAAATACAAACGTTATGCTGATTAATTGTAAAAAAAGACCCTCAAAGTTTACATTCTGCTAGATTTTCTAGATTTTCTTAGCTGATTAATGTTCATCTGGTTGTCAAGAGATATGCATAAAATAACAGTCAAAGCTTATCAAAAATGAGATAGTGATCATATGGTGGTTTGTCATGTAGCCCTATTTGGGACAATCAATAAAATGGAAAATAGAATAGGAAAAACAGACTTAACAAGCAAAAATGCTTGACTTAAGGACAAGTCTCTGCATGGACCCACTAATGCATGATAAAATGAGTAAAAAAGAAAAAAAATCGTTATTGCCTGGATTGCGGTACAAAGAAGGCGATAAGAAAGCTGACAAAACTGCTAACAATGCTGGTAACCCGCAGACTTCCATGAGACTAGCAGATGCCAAAAACTATAAAACATTTATGTTGGGAAGATTGACAGAACCGTTGAACATGACTGACCAGTTAAAAGAAAAAATATTGTTGATCATACTGTGGCCCTTGGAGAACAAAAACAAAGAATAATGACTGGATTTTAAATAGGCCACACCTGACTGACAATTGGGTATCTTCTCATTAGCAAAGGACCACGTAGATGCCTCCTATGCACAAGGATTTGTGAATCATATTTTAATTAGAGCTGAACTTAACAAGTTTTGGCCAATCCACGGGTCCCAAAGAACTAGTGAAACAGCAGTGATTGCTGCGAGAAATGCTGCTCTTGGCTGCCTGAAGAGTATACATGCTTATTTAATTTTGAAATTAATTTATTAGCGCGAACTCCTCTTTGGAAGGTATTGATTACTATGAGTTCCATCAAACTTAGATTAGATATAGCAGTATGTGTATGTTTTAAATGTGTTAAATGAGTCATAATGAGTGGTGCCGCGACGGATCTATTATCCGGATTATCCGACTCCAAGATACATTGACATTAATTATTATTTAGTTTCAAGGGCCGTTAGTAGTCCTTCGATGTGACCAAATTCATGGTGTTCCAGAATCATTAATACCACAAACGACCGTTTTATTAAAATACAAGCATCCGCATGCGCAATTAAACAGCTCCTAAGGCTAAAATTTACAAGGGAACACCAACTGTGGACTATAGAGGAAAAAGTTCACCGATGAAATGTGGCGGCTTTTAGCAGCCCAGGTGGCCTTGAAAGAGCTGGAGAAGACCTGGAGAATGGTACAGGCAGTAGGTCATGTTGGAAAAAGTGCATTTGGAGAGAGTCTATCAGGCTCCAAGGGGGTACTTGGTATGTAGCCAAAATCATGTGCCCTTCATGTTTTTCTTAGGATCGTTAGGTCCTTGAGCGGCCAGCAAATACATGAATTTTAATCCAATTGAACACATTTGGAAAAATTTTAGAAGAAATTTTGGATTACGGGATTAACCGACTACAACTCTTGAGGAGTAGAACAACATACTCCAACATTTCCTACAACAACCTTTTAGTGAGTGTGCTAACAAGAAAGGAAGCATTCATAAAAGCTAGAGAGGGCAATACTTGATATTAAAGTCCATTTTAAAACAAATTAAATCAATTAAAAATAGTTGTGTTTTGTTTATTTTATACTTCTGAGAGTTTTATATTTATGTAAAACCAGATGTTCTCATAAAATAGAAAAATCTCAGGATTTTGCTATATTTTTGACGAGGAGTAATTATATTTTAAGTAAATATAAAAAAAGTAATTATTATTTCACTATTTTCTCACACGTTCTTCGAATTGGTGGGTAAAATTGCACGAAATTGTGGTTTTTCGAACTCTGGCCAATTCTGACCTCTGACAATTTTCCATAACAGGGGTGTTTAACATAATTATGCAAATTGGCTCAGTGCCTTCTATCGGATTGACAAAAACGGCCTTGAACTATTAACAATGATGTTAAGTATTTAAAATATCACCCTATTTGTTGAAGTCGTGAGGAGCGATCAAGTATGAGGTAGTTTAGAAAAACATCTTTTTCATTTTTTTTTGCCGATGTTTCGAAATTTATTCGGGACATTTTTTGGGCATAAAGTGTGCCATTCTTGTGGTGTCATATTGGTTTTGTGTGAAAGGTCGAAAGGCCGGCAAAAAAAGAAGAAAAAAAAGGTGTTTGTCTAAACTACCTCATTCTTGTCTACTTCTCATAACTTCAACAAATTATGACACAACCCACTAAAAACACATACCAACATTAACTTTTTTTTTTTCAAACAAAAAAAAAACAATTTTACTGTCCTATAAAGTGTAATTGGGTCACCTCTTTTACTATCTTTTACTTATCTGCTTTTTCTTTTACTGTTGTTATAGGAAATGTAAAACTGTAAAGGACATAGGGGGGAGGAAGAGGCGAGAATAAGCGGACCCTCGGGGCCGAACGGCTATCCCCTGTCAAAATATATCTTTCGTTTTTGTAGTTGACTGCTTACGTATTGCTTCGCCATTCGGTACAGGTTGTCGAGAAGGCTGGCGGTGGTGTCGTCGATGAACATCTTGGCGACGTTCTTGTTCGCCATCCGGCTCAGGATCTTCTTCTGGGCCCGGAGGCCGATGTCACGGGATTTGAAGCCCTCCGACATGACTGAAACGACAAAAGACGAGAATGAACGCTTGGCCATTATAGGTAAAACTGATAGAAAATAGTCGAGAGGAACAGGCATCGTTCCCCACTTCGACCAGTCCGACCTTGTCCACAATTTACATTTGTAAGTTTTTTTCCATTACTAAACATTACATTTTTCTTTTGTCGAAGATTCTTTTGACCTGACGAATCGGCTATAACTTAACTTCGGCCAATATATTTACAAATAAATCAATAGCAAACAATAATGTGGTGAAAATTTTGTTGAACATTTGCTCATAGGACCAGACTGTACGACTGAAGTTTAAATAGAAAAAAGGGCCCAACTGAAAATTGGTACAATAAGCAAACGACTCCCGAGAGATTTATTATAAACTGCAAAAAATGAATAGGGATAATTGTAATTTATTCTTATTCTATTAATTTTAATTAATTAACCGATATATTCTTGTTACATGGATAAAACAAAATAGAAAATAAAAACCAGAAAGAAAAAATGTGTTAATCCACATTTTTAATAACGGGTATACTTAAGAATAGTAAGCATGAAGATATTCATTTTGTAAACAAACGCCTTTTTTCGTCTTTTCTCCATTTTAATCCAGTTATATTCTCTTTAACCATGGAAAGACATTTAAGTAATTAAAAAAGTCTCTTGAACGACAAGTTCGTAATATTATTGTGAGAATGTGTTATCGAGATTAACGGCAAGAGGATATCGCAGAAGCAGTTGGCATTCTTCAGAGCGTGGTCTTCCGGGCTTTAGACTCATTCCGAGAGACTGGAAGTGCCAAAGGAGGCCTGGTAGTGGATATCAGTTCATTATATTAACTGATGAGCTCGCGTTTCTATCTGTGTAGTGATAGCAGAAAAAACAGGAACTCACAGACAGAAACGCGACTAATCAGTAAACATAATTGGTGTTCTCTTCTAGGCGCTCGCTGCAACATATTCTAGTGAGTTGCTGGTGGCGGGCTGTTGCTGCAGGTCGTCTCAAAGGGGCATACGATGTGAGGCCAACTTTCCACAAACGATTACGAATCGTTTGTGTTGATAAAGGCCTTGCCAAAACATTTTGTTCTTCATTTATCATCTGGCGGGCACTATGGAAAGAGTTCTGTCTTACAGCACCGATAATATATCTGTCCTCCCTTATGTCGTAATACACTGAGATCCACCACCAAGCCTCCCATTGGCACTTCCCGTCTCTTGGAATCGTGCTAAAAATGAGGATTAACAAATTTTTTGATTTGTATTTTCTATTTTAGTATATCGAACTAACAAGAATATAGCGGTTAATTTAATTAAAAATAATAGAATAAGAATAAATTACAAATATCCCTATTCAATTTTGCGCAGTTTAGTTTGATTGTTTTGATTGAACATTCATTTATCAACTGATAAATGTCTGTGGTCATCACGACCAATTTTCTTCGCTGGACCAAATTTGATTGAATATTCGCTTATAGATTGATTGTCTATGATCTTCCTGTCCATTTATTCTCGCTGGACCAAACTTGATTGAACAGTCGCCTACAATTTCATTGTCTAGTCATCCATGTTCCGTTATCCCCTCTAGACTTGCAATATCGACCACTGAAACGTATGTAACTTCGACTGTAGGGACACGAATAAAACGTTGAACCGTATGAAAAAGGCTTCTTGGGATAAAAAGCGAGCTTTGCCGTATCCTAGAGATTCTTTAGAAGCTCGATACATACAGAGTTCCACCCTCATGGGAATGGATTACAGCTTGCATCAAATGCGTTGGGCGCGGTTCTAAATATAAAATCGACAATGGCCGGATTCGCTATCGTTTCCATGATATTTGACACAACAATAAGGCTAATCATTTTCAAAGTAAAGTTTTCTTTTTGCTGAATAAATATTAACAAATCGTTTATAGCCTAATTCTCGAGTTATGTTAATTATAATCCCTGATATAAAATTAATTGATAAAGTATTATTGTATTAATTTTTATTTGAAAACAATGGTATATAATCAATAACTTTTATATTTCTCAAAAACAATATTGGACAAAAATCAAAGGTGAACTTCATAATATAAAACGGAGTATTTTAAATGGAAAATTTTATGTATTAGAAGTATCGACCACTTTTTCACTTACGTTCACTCTGGATCAAGGTGTGGTCTTGAAGAAAAAAGGCAATTTCAGTTGTTACTGCCAAGCGTTTGACCTATTTTCACGGTCATAACAATCTTAAATATGTCTAAGATACGAGATTCAATACCGTTACAGTCCTTGGCAATGTTAGGACTGAATCGGTCTGCAAGAAAATTTGAGATCACCTGCAAAAAAAAACTTTAATATGTCATTCTGTAGACATATTTAAGATTGTTTTGCCCTGATGATAACCTTAGAATAGCTTGGCTGTAACCACCGAATTTGCTTTTTTCTTCAAGACCATACCCTCGTTCGTGACATGGAAAGTTGATAAGTTTTGATAAAAATCATTTGGAAGTGTACAAATATTAAAATGATTCTTGACAATCAGGACAGATTAGATTTTAACTTAACTATCGGGACCACGGTAGCCGAATGGTCAACGTGATAGACCCTAGGCCCGTTGACCCCACGGTCGAGGGTTCGATTCCCATCGTCGCCTCTCGACTTTTTTTCTTTTGCCTAATGGGACCGGTGGACGCAATGAAAATTGACACTGCACTCCTCAATGGAAGGTCTGGATTGGATCTCAGCGACCAATTTGATCCCGAACCCCATCAAAAATAATAAGTTGCTTTGATGGAACACCGGCACATCGGGGCTCGATTCACACAAGTGTGGCGAGCTCCAAAAAAATGGAGCCAAGAAGGAGTGCAATAAGCAGCATTGAGCTGCAATACTCAGGGGGAACTCCTCCAGTTGCTAGAATCCAACAGAATAAAAAAAACTACTTAATTTTGACAATACAATATTTTTCTTAATATAATATTGTAGTATAACGATCGTTTAAATAGTTTCAAGTAAATATTTCACTGTAGGCCAAAATTTGACAAGGCTTTTGTTTTAAATACTTAAGCTGCTCCGATAAGCAAACAATGGTCGACAACCGCACACACATTTACGCTTAAACTCACAGTCTGACACTGTATTATGATTTAGTAAAGTGCCTGGAATAGATATTATGGAATAGATAAATTGAGAAAAAAAAGCGAAACGACCAATTTAAAGCTTTAATAGAAAAAACAAAAAAACAAAAAAACAAACAGTGTATAACAGTCGAGAGATAGTAGAAATTTTAACAGCATCACAGCACAAGAATATCATATTTTCAGGAAAAATGTGATACTAGGTGTGTACTCTGCTATCACACCGTTTACCGGCAGACAATTTAAACGACTTCGTTTCCGTTAACGATTTTATAATTTTTTTGCCATGAGAGACCGAGGTAAATGTAGATCTTTCTAAGGTAAACTTAGTCTTGCTGGAATTAATCTATTCTTATGCATCATGTTGCTACTGTTTCGTTTAGGATTTCTAGTCGAACAATTAGTTATAATCTTTTGCATGTGGTGTAATTACAGTTAAGTTTGCTGTCGGGAGAGAAACTACAGTGGTGGGCCTGCGTGGATTCGGGAGTAAGTACCGAAGGTTTCCATTGGTTCCATGGTTCAAATGTCCAAGCGAAATGCTGCTTTGCAAATAGTCGACTTTCGATGCTTCTCCATTAGTATAGAACCTGATGCGGGACGTCTAGAAACTAGACTATTTTCACGAAGCCTTCTGATGACGGTTGCACAGCTCACCCTTACATTACGGTCCGTTTCGTCTATCTATCAAGGAAACCAGTGAATGACAGATTGAATCGTCCCTAAACTGTTGTAGACTATCATGGATGGTAGAGCGCGGCACACCTAGGCTATCCTTCTTTGGCCAAAGGCGAGATCTTCTCGACCTAAAACCACGCTTTAAAGAAAAAAATTGATAATTTTTTTTGAACAAATTCAATGTTTTATCAAAGAAAACGATTTAAAAGTCAATTCACTGGACCGTTTGGCTCTGGAAAGGATGAAATTTAACTGATTTTTTTTTTAAATCTTAAAAAGGATTATTTTATTTTAAAGGATTATTTACAGTCTATAAAGGTAAAAAGTTGTTAATGTTGTGTTTAGCTTTAAGTCAACTTGTAATCTTTATACATAGTTATTACGGAAAATAAACAAATAAATACAAATATCCGGTTTATTTTGTCTTTGAATGTATTAAATAATATATAACAGTAAATGTATTAACATTAAACCATTTAAAATCCACCCACCGCCAAAATAAGTCAATATATATGCAAACATGGTAGGATTTGAAAAGCTATTTCAAATATATTAAATAATGTCCTCAACTTAGCTCAACTAAACACCGCTGAGAAATAAACTTTGTATCTCAATAAATAATATAAATAGCATGGCAAAGTTTATTTTTTCGTTAATAGGGGCCTTCACACGTACGCTCAAGAGTCGACGATTGAGCGGGACACTCAAATCTACGCTCAAAAGCGTCAGTGTAAATGATGTTTCAGCGTGGAGGCTTGAACGGGGCTGATGCGTCATCAGCGCCGACGGTTTTGATCGCACTCCAATTGAAGGTCAGGAGCGACAATGTAATTCACAGTTTTACGTGAGGGTTGGAGTGGAATCAAAAGTGGGGTTAGTCGTCGACGCCGAGTTGTTCGTTACATTCTTATACTGTCGATCTGCTTCTGTTCGCTACTGTTCTCCAAAGGTTGCCAAAAATTTCAGAGCGGCTGAAAGGCGTTGTTCGGCAGAAATGCTAGGTCTCATCACTGTGTCCCTTTTCTTAATTCTTCCCTCTACTAAACTGAGAAGTAAATCAAAAGTATGACCATCCATTCTCAGATAATTTGTGAAATCGCCAGGGTAATTTTCTCTGAGTTCTCGAACAAGTGGTTGATCGTTGAAATCTTCCCTGAACCTCTTCACCCAAACACGACGTTTTCTTTCTAATTTCTTCCGTAGGTAGACTACACAACCAGCAGCAGCCACAGAAAAAGCTTGTTTAAAATGATTACCAACTATTATAGCCATTTTTATTATGTATGCTGTAACACAGTCACTTGGCGTGGAATGAAAACTTTCCAATATTTGGAAACTTCGCACGCTACTCAGGAATGACGTTAAAACTGTAAGTTTACTCTTTACACGTACGTTTTTAAGCGGACGAATACAGCGTCGAGGTTTGCGTGGGGTTAAGAGTGTGGCGTCTAAACACGACCCACTCCTGCGTAGCACACTCTTGAACGGCACACTCCTGGCCAACAGTTTTGCGTGCACGCCAAGACGGGTGTACAAAAATCTGGCGTGTGAAGTTTTAACCGCACTCAAACCTTGCATCAAGAGTGTCCCGTAAAAGAGTCGACTCTTGAGCGTACGTGTGAAGGCCCCTAATAATAGGTTCGTTACGTGCCTCCAGCCGATACAGGTTGTCGACTGTTTGGGTTAAATGGAGGTGGAAAATCGGAAATGATTTTGTTAAATTATTACGTTAGGGTTCACCTGTCAAAACCGCAAAGCATGTATCAATATTTGGGAATAAGGTAATTTGCTGGTCGTCTCCGATCATTTTGGACTCCCTAGTTTCGTTTTTCGGTCTGTAAAATTCCTTTTGGGAATTAAGAAATCATCAGTAGTTGGTTAGTGCAATGGTTAGATTTGGCCTTTTTGCATGTGTATGTTCAAACTTCACAAACTGCATTTCAATATGTCAAAATACCGAAAAGTGTTTAAAGGCAACAGATTAAAGATTTAAGCTACAGGTAGAAATTTCACAATTCAACGTTTTCCACACAATAATTTCCGGATGACGTCAGGATGTGTTTGTCCTATTTGTAGGAGCCCCATAAACACGTCGCTGAAGATGATGAAATGCCGAAATGCATCTGAGAGATCAAGACATCGATGAGGATCAAGATCTATCACCCTGCAGACCTTAAGACGAACGCTTATATATCAATTATTTTGCAATACCAGAGTAACTATATAATTGGTTGATTGGAAATAACCAAACTACTGTTTTATCACCTCGCTGACCTCAAAGTGAAATGTCACAAACAGATATCTTCTGTTATTTTATAAGCATTTTTGATGAGATTTTATTATCCCACTGAATAAACACAGAAATCAGGTGCAGTGGAGGGTTGGGTATAAGCTAGGTTGAGACGAGACACCGCAGCAAACTTCGAGAAAATTAATCATTTCAAAAATATACCTTGAATGAATAAATAAAATGTAAAACTAATATCCACCTAATTAGTCATTAGGGGGGAACCTAAGGGTCTACTGGTTAAAACGTTTGGGATGCCCTGCTATAAATAATTTTGTAGAAAATGGTGTATTTTTTAGGTGTATATCTGATATAATATAGGTTAAACCTTGTTCAACATCCCGCTGTCATGTTCCCGCAAATAAATATATTCGATCTCGCGAGACGTTCACCAAAAAATCATTATTATTATATACAGAAAAGGTCATATTTCTTTCAATCATCTGGAAAATGAACTCAAAAGCCGCTGGGCTCAAGAAGTTCTCATATCGAGTGGCATGCCTATTCGATCCCTATGCAGAGCCACGACATGAATACCGACTATAATAAATTTTTTTGAAAATTATGTTGTACAAATATTAAAACTAATATGTATTATTTACGTTGAAATACGAGAAAGGTCCTCACTGAATACCGCGCCAGTGAAGACAGACCCAATAAATGATCCTTCGCAGTTCAGTATGAAACCTTGATATACGTTTATACAACCACAAACCCACGCACGCACACACACACACAAATACGAAGTTTAAAAATTCACATTGCTTATACACATAATTCAAAACCGTTGTTGTTTTTTTTGTACGAAATGTATATTTAAGTAGTTCAGTAAGGAGGAGATCAACCCATTCAGGGTTTAGCGACCCGCGTTAGTCACCCGCCTATCCGGATACCATATCCATGCAAATAATAATCCGCGTAACCCGATATTAACATAACCAGGCTTGGCGTGTGTAATTATTTTAATGGAGGCCGGAGTTAGATACCCCGACCGGTACCTTTTGCGTACTCGGTACGTAATACTATCTTTGTGAACAGGCCGTCTCGCCGAAAGTCAAATTTGAAACAATTATTGAGCAACTGAAGCATTGCTCGGTTTCTGAAAATAAAAGAACAAAAAAAGAAAAAGAGAAAGGAGAGTTATAACTAAAGGAGAAACTTCTTACCCATTTGTAGTCGTTCCTCTGAGCTTTTGTGTAAATAATAAAGTTATTATAAGGTGCACGAATCCTAAAAAAAAACACAAAACAAAATAAAAATAAAAACAAATAAAAAATTAAAAAAACACAAAATCAATAATAACAAATAAAACCATCAAAAGTGTTGGGCAAAATAAAAAATAAAACACTAGAAAAAATAAAATTATCTATGATTATTGAGAGATAGTGAGATGCGGTCTGGTGTGACGTAAGTTTTAGAAAAACACTTTCTTTATCATGCCAACGTTTCGATCTTTATTGAGATCATCTTCACTGCCTGGGTTTATAAATATTGTTTAAATTTTACAAATAAATGTAGGATGTGAATATTTGTACAATTTAAACAATGTTTATAAATCCCAGGTCTTGAAGATGATCTCATTAAAGATCGAAACGTTGGCACGATAAAGAAAATGTTTTTCTAAAACCTACGCCAGACTAGACCGCATCTCACGACCTCCGAATAATCGTTGACTAACGGTCACTACACCACATTATCATCTATATGACCTTTCCATGTACGTTTGGGACTTTTAACTATAAAAAATTGCTAAACAGGGCAACTGGCATACTCCAATAACGTGATCTTGTGAGAATTTTGAAGCAATTTTAGCAAAAATACCATGAAAGCTCATTTAATTGTGATTTTTGTAATAATAATTGCATTTGTTTAGTACATGCTAAGGCGATTATTCCGTTCTAATAAGCCCACTTCTTTAAACAATGTGTGTTGTTCTATGAAAGTACCGTCGTTAAGGTCATTATCTCTAAAAAGCGAAAAAGCTGGAAAACCGTACGTTTTGTACCTACGGAGGGATAATTGTTTTTCTCTGTTCAAAATTTTTAAACTTTTAATTTGTTCATGACATATTATATAGTAATTTCAGTGATGTTATTACTGAATAAATAACTCAGCATTTCAGGTAAAAATTGTTTTATTTGAATTTTACAAGAAACATTTAATGTTGCGTTGTCATATTCAATTTACCATTCTGTTATTACATTTACATCGTATAAAAACATTTTAAATTGGTTACAAATTAGAGATGTTGGTTTTGTTTTGTTAAATGTACATTTTCCTAATATAAATATACTAGTAGAAATGGTTCACATGTTTTACGTATTTTACGAAAATTTCAAGACTCCTGAGAGAAAAGCGTTTGAGGCTTTGAACCCAGTTACCCCCAGAATTATCGAGTATTCTGGAGAAATGCGAACTAAGTCTTGTGAGTGTGTATTTAACGTACTAACGAGAAAAGAGAGGCTTATCCCCTATTACGCGAGGAATATCAAATACTCTGGGGTAGTATGAATGAGTGTGTGAATGTAATTTATTATCGTGAATGAAGGGGATTGCTCCCAATTACCCGAGGAATATGGAGTACTCTGGGGCAGTGTGAATGAATGTGTGAATGTAACTTATTAGCCTGAATAGAGGGGCTATACCCATTACCCCGAAGGACATCAAATACTTTGGGGTAGTATGAATGAATGTGTGAATGTAATTTATTATCGTGAATGAAGGGTGTTCTTTACTGTTTGTGTATGTTATTGTGTTATTTTATTCTTAATTGACTAAGCCTTAGGCACAGAGAGGCTAGCAATATGATGGAGGAAAGAGTTTTGTTTACCGTTATATCATAAAACATAACTTGATGGAGAAACAGTAAACGTGAGGAAATACAAAGCTAAGAAAGAGCGGGCTGGGCGATGACCAATGTAGTTGGCCTCAAAACTAAAAACTACCAAAATTTTTTTTCTTAGTTCTGCACTGATGATGTGGACAAATGAATAGCTCATCCATATGCCATAGGAAAACAATGTTGAATTTAAAATTTTGCACGTTAAAATAATAGATAAAACATTGTGATATGAAGTAGCTTGATGTCAAAATTGGTGGGGTGACTTGGAGGCATTCGATTAATTTTATGTTACCCTGCATTTGCTTATTTTTCATTCTATTTATTCTTTAATAGTGAACATTTTATTGAGAATTATGTTTAAAATGGAAGTTATAAAAATCTTAAACTACTTACAGTGGATATTATCCATAGGCAACCAATGGTAGATGAGCCAAGACTGCAGTTCGCAAAGGGTAGACATGGCAGCAATCTGAAAAAAAAGAACGTTAGTTCTGCGTTTACTTCTAATGGTATATATTCTAAAATTTCTAATAAAATCCTAGAGAAAATTTCTGTGATTTCAACTTAAGATCTGCGGGGTGAATATTGGTTTGGAGTTTCCAATCATCCTGGCCGGTCCACTGTTTTGGTGTGTCGGAATTTTGACATATTCATTAGTGATTTTGTTGAGGACATGCAAACATGACGTACACACGGAAAAGTGTACTGACCAACCGCTATACAAACTCACAGACGAAAAAAGCGACTTGTTATTAGTTTTAGTCTAATAAATATAATAATAAATAAACTTAAGTCCAAGGGACCGCGGTACTGAGCTGTCAGCGTGATAGACTGTCAGCTAGTAAACCCCGCGGTCGTGAGTTCAATTCCACCCTCGACCCGGGTCCTTTTGTTCACGATACCCATCCCCCACATTTAATCACAATATACCAAGTTTTTGGCTTTTCTTTTTGATGTGTTCTTTCCAATACAAAACTCTGGGATGGTACTAATTTACTACTTAAGCGTTAAATGTGATTGGTTTGTCTTCTAATTTTCTGTTTATACAGTTAACATGTAGATTTTCTGGTCGCTTATTTGATCTTCGAAGTATCTGTCCAATCACAGATGATGTTGGTTGCTCTTTGCAGTCGGTTAATAGATGTATCGATGACTTTTTCTCCTGTGAGTGCAGCAAATGTTGTCGTGGATATGTTTTCCATTTGTGGTAGGCCACTTGTATACAGCAGGTACAGTACGAAGATGCTACCTTGTCGTACGCCAGCCCTGATTTAGAATCTCCTTTAATAACAACTCAACCCCACCTTATGAGTTTTTTATATTATTTTTTGAGATGGGGAGTTGATGTCCGAGTGGATCGAGGTCACGATAGCTCAGGTGGTAGAGCAGCGGCGTATCTAGCCGAAGGTCGTGGGTTCGAATCCCTCTCGTGCCATTAGCTTTTTTTCATCTCAACTAAAAACCTTAATTAATTGTAAAGTATTAATTGGTCAAGCGGACCACGAAAATAGTGAAAATAATATAATACTTTAACCCATCGATAGTAGACAATATCATACAAATTAAATGTATAAAAATGATGAGCTTAACCAGAAAAAAATTGCTGAATTAATGAAAGTAAATCTACTTATTTAGAGAAGAAAACAATAATTTATTGCTATATATTAATTATTGATCGTTTGGAATCAATTGACCTAACTTGTCAATGCTAAGGTAATCAATTTCCGACATTCTAAGGATTCTCACTAGCACTAGCTACATAAATTAACTTGTCCCTAACTAATAAGTGAGTGACAATCTACCTCGCACTTTTTCAATATAATTTTTCTATATAGATTTATATTTTTTAATGGTAGTGAAATATAAGCAGCGTGTGCCAGGAAGTTGCACAGCCCTTCAACTCAATATCGTTAATTGACCTTGCATGAAATTAATAACAGTCTCGTTGAGCCATCAAAGTTTACCGAGTAACGGATATAGTTGAAAATTCCAATATCCAATATCCAAAGCGACGGGCAGAATTAATAAGACTCCTTCCGGCTGAGGTCGACAGCCCACGATTAAAAACAGTCCCGCACAGATCTCGCGTTTAGACGTCTATTCCGTCAAGTAAGTTAACATAATTAGAAGGTCAAGTCAGATTAATCCGAGATAAGTCGGCTTCGAGAAGGCTTTTTGCGAGGGGAGACCCTTAGGGTGGAAGCAACTTAGACGGCAAATCAAAACTGATCAGCTCTGATCAGTTCATTCTCCCCTGTCATATTAAATCATTGTTGTATATGGCCGAGATGTTTTTATCTCTTCTCTTTCTGGTCCATTAATTTTTATGTCTTGCAATTTTTCCGACACTGTTGATATAATAAATCAATTTAACGAGAGTCTAATTTTCGGTTGTTTTTATCTGTCTGAGATTGTTTGTAATTCATGCCACGTAACTAGATCGCCCTTCGTCCTTCAATGACTCGGCAAACCTTCGAGGTGTCTATTGTTCTATTTGTTTGACAAAGTAGGAATTAAGCAAAAGTCGATTTCTAGTCGAGACAAAAGGTATTTCCACAGTTGGTTTATCCTCATTTTCGATTAATTTTTTTAGAAATATTTATATTTATTGTATTTATTTGTATCTGTACAAAATAAATATACATTGAACAAATAGTATAGTAATCATATACAAATTTGACAGATCTGTCAGATTGCGAAACGGGGAGAGAAACCAGCCAGCGCCTTAGACGCTCTGTTATTTAGTTAGTAGAGCTAATACTTAATTTAGGCCACGATGCCGTCGTTTTAGTCGGATGGAGGATTATAAGCATGGAATCTTTGAGGAAAGAGTTTGGTCTAGTTTGTTAGGGTGGAGGGATAGTTTAGAGTGGAAGTGTGTTCGGATCTAAATGGTTCATTTGATTGGTGACATAGAAGCTCGCGTTGACGTTACGCAGAGAACATTGGGTACGTTAGATGTTGGAAGATTTGGCTGAGCCTCACAGTTGAACTTCCAAATCGGCCTGATGAGTGTTTTGTAATCGGTAGTTTAAAAAACGTCGATCAGGCAATGGATTAAGAATAATTCCTCGGTTCAATGGTAACGTATTCTAGTTCTGTCTGTAATTTGCTTAGCGTTCTAAAGTTAGGACGTGTTAGACTAAAATGGTAAGACCGCTGATTGGATACTTCAGACTTTGGAGGCATGTGTGACTCGGAATAGCAGAAACAAGCCTGCGCAGATATTGCCAGAAAAAAAAGAAAAACAAAACAGCGGAACAATTTCTGAGAGAGGAAAAGCCAAGGTCTGAAGGATACATACGAGAGAGGATCTAGTAAAAAGCCTTACTTTTAACAAAGAGATGTATATGATGGAGATTGCAGAATACGCGTATATTGGTCTGGTCTCGTAAAGAGACCGATTCATTTTAACTTTAAACCTTAAGGTGCAGTAGGATATCTGATAGAAGATTTTAGACTGTAGTAACTGCACCTTTTTGCACCTAAACCTGAATAATCCATAAGTTCAGACAGGTTGATGTCCTGTCGAAGAAGGGTGACAGATGTGGCAAAACAACTGAATGGATCTCGGGTGACAAAGAAAAACGAATTAATGAGAAAAGAGGAGATAGTTTAAATCATGTACAACCTTATCCTAAACTTTATGTTACCTTGCCGAACGTTATTTCTCGGTAACGTATGGTCCTTCCTATTCACCCACCCATCCTGTCCGTGGAAGAGTCCCCCATGGTAGTGTTCTTGGTCCACTCCTTTAAATAATATATACTGCTGACATACCTAATCAGCCAAATACTTCCTTATTCACATTTGCGGATAACACTTCAATCCTGTCCTTGCCGATCATTCCCGACAGTCTCACCTTACCGGCCTTGGCTAAAAAAGTGGAGGAAGAAAATAAACGCCAGTACATTAATTTTACATTACAGCGAGCAATCCTTCCTCCTGTATACCTCACCCGTGTTTCTCGAATTATGACAAACTGTGTTCGCTACTTAGGACTAAACATCGACAAACTCCTCACGTGGAATCCGCATCTGGGCTTAAACGACAAGTATATAATAGACGATACAAACTTCCCACTCGACTTTTAGACAGACGATCCAAACTATCTCTTACATAAAAGACTAATCTTCAACATATTACTGTAACCGACTTGGACTTACTGTATGGAAATATGGGGCTTAGCCAAAGTATCCAACTCCTATCGAACCAATCCTTCCAGTCCAAAACCCTCCGCTGTACTACAAATGTTCCTTTCTGTGTGTCCAATCGTACTCTTCACCATGATCTCAACATACATTATGTTTCCAACGCCATCAAATCAAGATAGAACAATTTCCACTCCTCACTCACTGGTCATCCAAATCCCTTAGTAACCCGACTTTCCTCTACTACATTTCCCGATACTCTATACCGCCGAATGAAACGCCGATGGTCTCCTGTCCTTAACTCGTGTGTAACGAGTGACAAGTGTTTACCTTAGGTTTATTTACATCGAAGTATCTCTACTGGGTGACTTTTTCACTCAGGATAATACAAGTCAATTATTCTTTACCAACATTATAATTGCTTGTTGTAGTTAATTCTACAGTTGTAAATTTCAAATAAAACTAAAAAATTAGATATAGTCAGCGTGATCATTAATAAGGTTGATGGTGAAATTTTCCGACGCTGGAATTTGTCAGCTACCTCGTTGAGAATCAATGCTGACAGAACCTCTTAGCTTGGGTTGAAATCGAGAAAGGTCAAATTTCTTTCGACCCCATTTCATCTCCTAATTTCACTGGTAATTTATCATTTGGAAATTGGCCGAAGTTGAAATAATTCGAAGAGCCCGGGGGCGAGTGTGTTTGAATGGGATTTGATGGGCTATCGCATCGCAGGTCACGAGTCTCTTTTGACATCCGGTTCCGTCTTGAAATTGACAAGCCCGTGTCTCCAATTAACCATCCGTCACGAAGCGATCGAACGATTCCACTCAGAACGGATTTTGTCTGAAAGGGAAAACTTTTTATGCCTTGAGACGGCGGAAAAACATCAGCGGCGAATTTTGCCGTCATAGGCCCGCGGAGTCGGATGGAGACACTTGTTGATTTTCCATCTCGGTTCCGATGGTAGTCCCGGATCAACCCCGGAGGGAGCGGAGACTCTAAAGAGGGATAAATTAGGTCGGGCCTTTTAGCCGGATTTCCTGTTCCGAACTCAGTTAATGGAAAATTAGAAAACCACGTGTCCTACGGAAAGTTCTACTTAGCGTGAATTCGACTTGATTAAGGTAGAGTTAATCGAGTTAAATAACGATTTAACAACATTTAAGAGTAAATAATTTCTTGTCGTGTGAATTTCTTGTTGAAATATTATGAACGAAGCACTGAGTCGTTCCGATCATTTGATGTGTCAAGCGCGTTAGATAATCGCCTTCTGAGGTTGTCTTATTTATTCACTGGTTGGTCTGTGCGCTTTTTTTATGTGTATG